TCAATAAGACAAAGAAAAAAGAAAAAAAATGATTTATAGATAACGTATGCAGGAAACATAAAAACTTGACATAAATGTAATCCATTGAATTGATTAACTTCCTTACCATCTTGTTTGTCTATTAATGTAATGAATGATTTGTACGAGTCTTTCTTTTTATTTCTATAGAATTTAATTTCGAACACAAACGTACTCGTCAAACATATACACGTCATCAAACACTTGAGTTAGAAAAAGAATTTCATTATACAAAGTAAGTTTTTGAAAAACAAAATGTTTTTCTTTTTCGTATTTTTAATAAAAAGAAAAAAAAAATTTGGAATTTTTAATAGATATTTAACACGTAGACGACGTATTGAAATTGCTAATAGTCTTGCATTAACTGAACGACAAATCAAAGTAAAGAAAATTTTTTTTTTCAAATAATTGTTTTTTTTTTGTTTTTTGTATGTGATGATCATTTTCTTTTTCTAATTTCTTTCTAGATTTGGTTTCAAAATCGGTAAGAATAAATAAAAATTGAATTAAAAAAAGAAAAGAAAAGAAAATAAATTCTACTTTTGTCTATTTATTTTATTAGTCGTATGAAATGGAAAAAAGAAAATAATTTCAAATCACTTAATGATCCTAATGTTAAACTAGAAGCTAATGCAACAAGTCATGCTAGTAGTGGACATAATCATCATCCACATGCTATGTCAACAAATGATGCATCATCATCATCATGGCCATCGGTACCAAGTGTTAAAAAAGAAAATAATCCTCATCTTTCTCATCAACATCCTCATCAATATGTTACCAATGGAAATAATAAATAGAAAATTACATATACATTTATCTGTATATATGGATAGAGCGAGAGAGAGACATTTGACTTCTAGTCGATTGCAATATGAGCACGCGTTCTTTTTTTCTTGTTTTGTTCATATTATTGTTCTTCTTTTCTTCAATTTGTTTGCAAAGAAAAAAAAAATATACTCGATTATCAAAGATATACATGTAAAATGATTATTGACCAATGAAATTTTTTGAAATTATGTTCAATTACATCGATGAAAATTCATAGTTAAAATCATTATAATATTGATGATTCATGTTATAGATAAGAATAAATAGACTTTTCTTTGAATATTGACAACGCTGAAACGAATAGTATCGATAGAGGGAATCTGTATTTTGTACTAAGAATAGAGCTGGCCTGAGGCAGTCAACATTGTGACAACGGAAAGTGTCACGATTTTTGGGAGGGTGTAAAGATCTTTTTTTCTAAGAGAATGCACGAAAAGTTTTTGGAGGATATCACATTCCGACGACCCCTTCTCTTGGTCGGACAATCCCTAATTAAAAAAAGAATAAATCGAACTATGAATATGACAAGAACATCATACTTGTTTTTCACTATCTCAAAATACCGATTTTGATTTTGTTATTTTCTTAAATATTGAGCAATAACATGAGATTGAAGTTTCGAATGTTATATATGATTTGTTTGATTCATATATTTATTTTATTTTGAAATTATTTTTTTTTTGAAGAAGTTTCTTAGAGACTAAATTGTTTTACAAAATGTCTAGAAAGTCATTCGACAAAGAAAAATTTGAATATTGCTACCATATTTTGATCAAATGGACTGCTATTTTTACCATTGATAAAGGACTATTCATAGCTGATATTCATTCGAGAAATGTATTCAAGAATTATTCTGAAATATTAATAACTAACTCTAATAAAGAACTGTAATCTTTCGCGAATTATGAAAAATCGATACTGCAGTTTTGTCAATAAGTTCTTGTTGTTGATTGCTGAAACTTTCAGAATATACTGAATAACAAGACACGTATCTGTTGTATAAATATAATATCAAACTATACTACATAGTATAGAGAATTAATCGAAAAAATTAGATATTGCTTATTTTTGATTAAGAAAATAAATATATTATGTTTTTCATAATCGATGAAAGGTTACGGTTCTTTGTCGAAATTAGTTGTTCATACTTCAGAACAATTTTTGACAAAGTTTGTTTTGTGAATATGAACTATAAACAATTTCTTTATCATTGCTCAAACCATCAGTTCATTTTGTCAAAATACGGTTACAATATTCAAATTTTTCTTTGTCTAATGGTTTTCTGAATAGCCTGTATTTTAAAATCATAATATACAATCAATTATTTTGATTAGTTTGAATAAATAATCTTTCCATTTTCATCTATTTCCTAAGTGGGACATCATAGATACAGAATATATAAAAATTATTGTTGATTGTCATAACTGAATTGTAGATTGATAAATAGATAACACATAAAAATACATAATTTCTTTTCTTTTACTTTTTTATTGATTGTATATTGTCCTACTTTACTTTATATGCTGTCTACATTAGTTTCACTTCATTTAATATTCAAAACATGCTTTCGTAGATAGTGTCAAATCATTTATAGATAGACTGTTAACAGATATATGTCTTTAGTGTCATCATTTCTTGTTGAATAGAGATCTACAGGACAAGTTTTTCCGTGCCCCTATGTTCTATCTGAGAAAAGTTTTCTAATATTGCCCTATGAAGTATATTTCTCGCTACCTCTTATACGTAATCTAAGTGGAAGACTTTAAAATAAAGTAATAAAATGCCTTTTTTTATTTTGGAAATCTCTAATACACAACATATCATTAACAATGTTATTACTTAAATTTTGTCGCTGCTTTTCGAGTTATAGTCCATTTTTTTCTTTGGATTATCATAGGTTCTTCATTGTGAATGATTAATTTTGCATTAACATAACAATCAATTTCATCTTCATTTTTTTTCATTAGGTTTAAGTTAACTTTCTTAAGCAAATTCTATCATTACATCTTGTTGTGAAAAATAACCTTTCTTTATTGTTTTTTTCTTGGTTTTTCTTATCCTTTTGATTGTATTTCTTTTACCCTACTTTATCCTGTAAGACAGGATAAGGTAATTCTGCATATTTCTATTGCTGAGATAGAATTATTTTGATTATTTAGTTTTTTTTTTTGAAAATATTCGGCAAGTAGATTTCTATTAAATTATAACAAAAAAAAAAGATTCATAATTTTTCGGAATTGAATATTTTTCTTTAAATCTAATAGAAACATCATTGAATACCATTTCTTTAATTAAATTATACTATTAATTAAATGATTTTTTAAATAACTTTATAAGATTAAAAATTAATAAAAATACAAGTATTTATCTTCTTTCTATTTTTATCTTTTATTTTAAATCTACCTAATACATAATCAAGACGTAGATGATTACATGAAAAATAACAATAGTTTCCATACAAAATGAATTTAATCGGAAAATCATTTTGACAAGAAAGTTTTCTTAATTCCAGAGGAGAATCAGCTCATTTGTTATTTTCCAATTTAATTTTTTCATGAAGATGTGCTGCATTAATTGTTCTATTAATGTTTTGAAAAAAATTCAGACAAAGTAATACATGTATTCATATATTGATTAATTTATCTTTTTTTATAATATCCTTCCATTTTTATACAATATTCATTAATTTCTGTCTATATTTATAGTTTGTTACATTCTCAAAAATGAATCAAAACAAGATATTTATCGAGTTCGAATCTAGTCATGTTATTAATAAATTAATATATTTTATTCTTCATACCTAGTTCTCAATTATATTGATTATCTTTTTTACTTTCAATTAGACAATGATAATTTGAAGTGCATCGGATACTATTGTAATCCAAGAAACTTTTTCGATCAGTTTATGTGAAACAATATCTAATGTCCGCACCCAAATTAAAGACGGGTCGATGCTGTAAGCTCAATAACTCGATAATGACAACACTTGGCAATCTTTGATTTTCAGAAATTTAACGAAGACAATTTAGGATGTCTTTTTATCAAATATTATTTAAGATAAAATTATTTCAAAAACCATCATTTTACCAAAACATGCAAAAAAATGCATGAAAACGGTATTTCATTACAATGAAAGTTTGATAAAAAAAATCAGAAAATTTGTTAAAAATCAAAAGAATTCTACATAATTCGACCAAATAGATAGGCGATTTCGTTTTCTCAACATTCATATATGAGAATACAATTACTTGAAATCATTTTTCAAACTATAGATTTGAAGTTCCTCTATAAGAAGCACATGTCAAATTTAAAATTACATCGTAATGAAATATCATTTCCATGAATTTTTTAGAATTTTTTGTGAAGATGATGAGTTTTGAAATAATTTTGTCGTAAATAGTGTCGGATAAAAAGACGTCGGGAGTTCTCATCTATAGATAACTAAAGATGACAGGTCGCTAACTGTTGCCACCCATGTTGTCAAAAAAATCAAAAAAATTTTATGACCTTCATGAATTTTATACCAAAAACACAAAAAAAAAACATTTATGATGATGAAACGGACAAAAAAAATTGATATTTTTCAAATCCATTAATGAAAAGCGACATTTTAATTAAGAAAATGCAGTGAATTTCATTTTTAATCAAAATCATGCAATGAAATTAATGAAAATGTCTATTTTAATCGATGAATTTGAAATACATCAATTTTTTTGTCCATTTCATCATTTTAATGCCAGTTTTTTTTATTTCTTAACTCTCTGAGTATTGCCGAGTTATTAAGGGTACACTCCTCTTCAATTCTGACGCACGAAGATGAGTTTTAGACTACATATTTCATCTTATTTTTTTTCCCATCAACCAACACCGTCATATTTATCAAGTTTTGATTATACTAATATTAAAGCATAAGCAGATACAAAACTCGTCTTTTTCTTTATCTTCAATGAGATTCTATTGAAAAATAAGATAGTATCATCTCTAATGTCACTATTAACATCATTAGAAAAGTAATTATATAAATATGAAACTCATTTTTATTAAGATCCTACATCATAAAGATATATATATAAATACCTTCGTAAGTTACGCATTATTTCAAATTTCCTTCCATTTGTATTCAATCACCAACAACATATACAAAACAAACAATGCAGGTAGATCTTATTTTGATAATTCTAAGCAAAAAAAATAGTATTTGTTTTTAAAGAATTTTATTGTATTTATCATTGCTGTTATCGTGACTATGAATATTCAATTTTTAATTGGTGTACCATTAATTAATGACGATGATTATTATAATAATGAAAGATCAAAACGTTTCGATCAAACATTTCTTCCAAATGGAAATTTTTCATTAGTTACAAAGGAAAAATTGATTAAATTACAAGAACTTGCCAATGTTGTACATGATCCAAAATTACATGATTTATATCGTGCAGTTAATCATTATGCACAAATGGCTAAGAAAAATAATGAATATGTCTTATGGAAATATGATGCTAATCAAGAAGGTCTTGTTCTTGTACTGAAACAAAATTTAAATGGTATACTTTACTATGGCTAAAAGAAAAACCATAAAATAAGAATATAATAATTCATTTATTTCTTTAGCGTTGTTTTTTGCTTTAAAAATTCAATGTACTTATATTTAATGAAAAGGAAAAATAAAAATAAAATTTCAACAATTTTTATCTTTAAGATTCTATGAAAAGTTTCTTGCTTTGTTTTTGTATGAATTCTGAAGAATATACAATTTAATAGAGTAACAGTAACATATTTTTCTCTCTATGTATGTGCAAAAAAAAAGATCGTAATAAACAAAACTTTAAGAAAAAAAAAATGACAAAGAAAGGAACAAGTCCATTTTGTTTTTACATAATCAAATTCTAACCGATGACAACTGTACTGTCATCTTTAAATACATATTGAGGAATTTCAAGATTAAATGGTGCTGGACCTTTTCGTATACGTTCAGATGCATCATAATGCGAACCATGACAAGGACAAAAATAGCCACCAAAATCACGGGCATTTGCTATTGGCATACAACCTTAATATTAATAAAGAAATATAAAAATAGAGATAATTATCTTTTGTTTGTTTTTAATCATGAGTTCATACCAAGATGAGCGCATATACCAATAACAATTACCCATTCGGGTTTTTGTACACGTTCAGAATCATTTTGTGGATGACGTAATTGACTTACATTAACACCTTCTTCTCGTATAATTTCTTGTGGTGTATGATGGCGAACAAAAATTGGTTTATTACGCCATTTAAATACAGCATTTTTGCCTTCAGGACGGTATCAAGATTAATTTCGACTTTAGCAAGTGACGTTACATCTTTAGCTGGGCCCACAAAAGCAGCTATATCTCGTATCATATATTTGGCCATATAAGCTGATGTTATAGCCATACCTTTACAAAAGAAAAGTTGTATTCGTAAGAAATTAATAAGACAAATATAGTATTTTGATCTATTAGATATGTAAGCTATTATATCAAAAATAGCTTGATATATAATTTAAAATAGTGCGTGGGTTGCATTTTTGTATTAGTACTGATAACAAATGTGAGAATTCATTAAAATAGATATTCGATATAATTCTATCTTTTTTCCTAAGACTAATGTGTCATATTTGCAGGAACTCAACATTGATAATATGTTTATATAATATTTCATTTAATAAATTCGACGACAAACATATTTATTAAACTAAAAACTCTAGAGTACAAATATTCAATCGAGTTTAGATTTTAACTATGGAAATGATCTGATTTTTGAATGTTTGATAGATTTTATTATTGATTTATACTAAAATTAAGATAGGTTCTACAAGTCGAGATTTAGAAAGCAAAATTTTTCTTATGTACAAGTTACTATGCTTACAAAATATCTCTAACAGAGATCTCACCGTGCTGAGCCGAATCTTGAATAAAATAAAATTTTCAAAAGATGTTGCGTATTTCCACTAAATTGTTATTCTTTTGAAGATCCCATGTAATTCTTTCATTGGCTAAAACATTTCTGCAAAGAACAACAAATATATAAATTAAAACAAAGAAAAAAAGCAAAATTATCGTCATCTTAAAAAAGCATTCTTTATATTCGATAAAATGTTCTTGCCTAGCTCTCCTCATTCATCATCAATTACTTTTTTCTTTAACTACAGCTGCTGGTTTATCATCATATACAAAACAGTATACATCCAAATGAATTAAATTTCTTTTGAAATAACAACTGTCGACATATATGGTGTTATGAAAAATGAAAAAACAAACACATGTTTATGTTGGCAAGTTTTTGGTTTTCCATATTGTCAAATATGTTAACAAACATTTATTTATATCTTAACTATTAGCACTCGAAATATGCATGCTCATTCATGTGTTAAAAATTTATTTAATGCAATGAAATAAGTGGCAGTCTATAGGCTGACTTTCCTTTACCCAGTCTAGTCTATTGAGACATCTGATCTGTAATACACATGATAATATTATTATTCAGAACAGGAATCTGCAATAGATTTAATGTTTAACTGATATGTATGAAAATGTTACGTACAAAGAATTCAGTTTTCAATATTATGATCATCTATTCTATATATTTTTATTTGATGATAAAGTAAATACTTACCAATTGGAGTTAAATAAGAATAAGGTACAGTATTATCATCAGCATCTAGATACGATTTTGGATAAATCAAGACGTTCTTTACGACGATAATAGTCGAAATTTGGTATTTGAATATCAGTATGCGCATGACGAATGCTAAGAGCAGCTAGATAAAAGAAATATTCATTTAGATCAATTCAAAGAAAGAAAAAGAAACGTAACTACGATAACATACTGTTAAGTCCAGTTGTAACAGATGCATTGTCATGCAATAAATATCTATACATTGAAACCATTGTTTTTACTGTTGAGGTTTTTGGTACAGGTATACGTGTATATTCATCATCATGATGATTATCTTCAACTTTCATTGGTACAGATTTAGCAAGTTGTCGAACAAGTTTTGTTGTCGCTTGAGTGACACGTCTGTTACACATTTGCATGGCCATATCTAAAAATAAGTTTAGAAAAAAACCAATCATATGGTTATATTTTTTGATAAATATCGATTAATGTAGTATTAATTGTTAAAAATTTTCATCTAGAAATAAACAAATTTATCAATTCAAAAAAAAAAAGTGTTTTAATAACTATTTGAGTTTTATATTTTAATTTTTTTCTTCTACCAATAGGTAAAAATAACATCATCTTTACTGTCTATAGTTTGAATTTCCATTTTAACAGGAGTTTTTAATAAAGCAGAAAGAATTTCTTCTGTATAACCTATAAGAAAATACATTCGACGTGGATGTATTGTTCGTGTTACAAGTCCACTTAGAATAATCATATTATGACGTCGTTTTATAATAAGTTCCGAAGCAAATAATGAATGCCATGTACCATAAATAAATTGTCGAAGAAATAGATCATCACTTACTATTTCTGCTTTACGTTTACCATCGCGTAAATTTGATGTATTAAATGTATTCCAAGTTTTTGTATGTCCAATTAATTTTGGAAATTGTCTTTGTTCATCTTTTCTAAGAGAAAAATTAGAGAAAAACAAAAAAATACCAGAAAAAAAACCAAAATATCATACAAGTTAATGGATAATTTCGTTTTCGTGTATGTTTTGGTATTCCTGCTTCTGTATTAACTTGTGTAACATTTGTTAATTTAACAAACCAACTATGAAGAATTGAACTTGTTGATAGATAACAACGCTGATGATAAAGATTTGTAAGAATATTTAATTTTAGAAATGTATTCATCACACAAACGAAAACTAAAAGAATATATCTGTGAAATATATTTGAACAATACAAAAAATTCTGTGGTATTTGGATTGAATTATCATTGGTAAAGGAAAAGAAACTTTAGATAACCCGTTGTTAACTTGATATTAATCTTAAATGGAAAGTAATGCCATCTACTGGTTACTATTTCACTGAGCTTTTTAAATGTACTCATACATTAAGAACTTTATTCAGTGAAAATAATAATGTAGTTTTTGTTTTGATGAGTTTAAAACATTGATAAGGATAGTTTCATGAACAAGGGTGTATTAAATTTTCTATAAATGAAAAGTGTTATTGTTTAATAAAATACAATGTTTGAGATGTGATATAAAATATGATTTAATCAAAAATGATTCAACTATATCGAGCATTGATAAGTAGTAGTTAAAAAGTAAGATATGCATTCACATAAATATCTCTTTAACGATAACTATTTACATAAATATCTATATAGAACAGGAACTATCTATTTGTACTTATAAGTACTTTTGAAGCATATTTCAATTTATTAATACAAAAAAGTTGAAAAAAAAAAGTATGGAAAAGCACTAATAAGTGTACATGAAGTTTTTTGTTTTTCCTAAGTTTTTTTCTGACATGGTTAACGTTTCTATTATTCATAGATTTATTTTATTTGCATACTTTGTAACAAAATATAACGTTAAAATAATATCATGCCATATTATCTTGAATGTTTTATCTCGCGAGTAGGTAGATAATAATGGACCATCCAATTATCTGTTAGATGTATTTTCATGCGCTGAAATGATATCAATATCACTTAAAGAAACAGTATGACGTGCTTGTTTTTAATATATATAGGGTATCTAGTAAGTGACTTCACAAAGAAAAATTAGAATATCTCCATTACGACTCGACCAAACGAACTCATTTTTTTTACCAAGGATAGAGGCATGTTCATACTCCAAATCCATACGGACAAGATTAGTGAAAACCTTTGTTAAGTATCACTATTGACATCAACAAAAAAATTTTACTAGTTCACAGATAGGAAAAGAAAACAATATACTTACCATAGGTTCTCACTAATCTCGTCCGTATGGATTTGGAGTGGAAACATGCCTCTATCCTTGGTAAAAAAAAAGGAGCTCGTTTGGTCGAGCCGTAATGAAGACATTCAACTTTTTCTTTATGGAGTTACTTACTGGACATCCTATATCTATTATTTTCAACATAATTTTCCATAAAACAGACGAAAAAAATCACACGCACAGCCTTTGTTTATTATTTACAGATACATAAAGTATTTGGTGACATTTTTCAACAAATGATACCAGCAACATTTGATAGAACCATTGATTCTAGTGTTGATATACAAGATACAAATCTTGGTATTCACAAATCATCGAGTAGTCATCATCGTCGAGAAAAAAAACCACATATTATTATTAGTATAGCTACACCAACACTTTCTCAATCATCTGCTGCACAACTTGAACGCACTATGCTCGTTGAAGCAAGTTCAACGATATTTGGTAATGAATGTCTTCGACTTGTTAATATTGTTTTTCAAACAAGTCAAACATTTCCATCAATAATGGGTACATGCAACAATGTATGTCAATATTTGCGAAAAGAACTCTTTAAAAAATACCCTCATGAATATTTTCATATAATTATTGGTCAAAATAATGCATTCGGTTTTGCTATTGATGATGACGACTATTTTGCTGAAATGGAACAAGAGCAATATCGTGTGATAATATTCACAACAAGACTAGACAAACAAGTTAAATTAGAAATGCATGATGCTAATAGCCAGATGATGCTTGAATGGAAATCATTAATAGTCAAACAATCAAAAAAATAAAAGTATTACTTCTATTCTATATTGATATAGAAGTATAAGAAAACTTCATAACAGCAATAAGACACTTGTTTATTTATTGTTTGGTCTTGTCTAAACTGACATGAATGAAAGTAAGGAGGAAGATTTTTAAATAAAAAATGTAATGATTATGTAATAAGAGATTACAGGTGTTAAATATGCCGCAATTTTCTAAATATATTCTGAACGATTTATAATTGAACAGATTATAAAGAATCAGTTTTTTTCGGAGTAATAGTGCCACATCCAACACTTCTAGTTTCATATTCTGACGATAAGCAGTGAAATATACTAACGGCAATTCATGCTCGTTTCAACTATTTCTATCTAAGTCATAGCTTATGAAAAATCGATGCACCTTTTTCAATATATTTATCTTGTTAGAAAAAGAATCAAGTTGAAAATATAAACACAAGATGTAAAATTTCTCATTTGATTAACTAAAGAACCGAGAAATTGACAATATCTTGAAAAAATACTATATAGGGTGTCCAAAAAGTAAGGTAACAAAATCTTTTTTTTTCATTTTTTGTTCTCATAGATCGTCAGTCAGCTCTCATATTTATACCACAGATACTAGATGACATAAGTGAAAGATCTAGCATATGAGGATGTAGGTGTGCGTGTAGGGTGTGCGTGTGGGTATGAGTGGTGTAGACATCGGCGTGGATGTAGAGATCAAGCGTTGTCCCTTGTCCAAAACTGATACTCACACCTATACCCACTCAGATATTGTTCATATGTTAGATCTTTCACTTATGTGGATGTGGGGTGTGAGTCTGAGTATGGGTATCGGTTTTGGAAAAGAGACCAACGCTCGGTCTCTACATACACGCCGATGCCCATACCATTCACACCCACATCCAAACCCATACTCCACACCCACATTATCATATACTAGATCTTTCACTTGTGTCATCTAGTATCTGTGGTACAAATTTGAGAGCTGACTGACGATCTATGAGAACGAAAAATGGAAAAAAAAGATTTTGTTACCTTACTTTTGGGACACCCTGTATGTTACTTATGGGTTTGAAATTATTCATCGAGAACAAAATGCGATCGTTCTCAAAATTTGATGATGTGGTAAACCTATATCGTGATACACATACGATGAGTATATATGTGTACTTTATCGCTAAAAATATAGTAAAAAAAGGTTTACTCATTTTAGTATTAAATTTGAAATTTATCGAAAAATAAAAAAGTATTTACGATATGAATCATTAGTTATTATGTATCTTTCTGTGTGATTGCATCACAACAGTATTATCTGTAGAGATAAAATGACGTATTTAGGTAAACATATCGCTCATTTATAACTTCTATAAATATTATACAAAGAAAAAGTATGGGAGATCAGAGTTAAAAAAATTCTCTAAATAAAAGTTTTATTTTAATCCGTATTGAAGTGGAAAAGTTAATGGGAAACGTATTAAAACAATCATTCTGCTTTGTCAATACTGCAAGTATGGATAATAAGATCGATCATCAACGAAAAAAGCTTGATGCAAACAGAATTATTTACAAATATGGCTTTCGAGTTATACAGGAACGAGGTATTTTGGGTGTAGCAATACCAAAACTCTCTCAATTGTATATTCTACCACATGAAAGTGCCAAACTTATTAACTCAAGCACAATCATCTTTGGCAATGAATGTATTCGACTTGTCAATATTGCCTTTCACACAAGTCAGATGTTTCCTTCAATAATGAGTACATGTGATGATATCAGTCAGTACTTACGAAAAGAACTTCTTCGACGACATTCTAGAAAACATTTTCACATAATTATTGGTGAAAAAAATGGATTCAGTTTTGCGATTAATGATTTCGGTCATTTTGCTGACATAGAACTAGAACAATATCGTGTACTGATCTTCTCAACGAAATCACACGATAATATAAAAGTTGATACATTTTATGCTAATAATCAAATGAAATTGCATTGGAAGTCAGTTTTAATTAAACGAATAGATAATTAAAAATTTTTGTATATTAATTTTATTGAAAAATGTTGAAATCGAATTTTAATGTAACAAAGTATATATGTATTTTATTCATTACAAAAATAATAAGTGAAAAACCTAAAGGATTTGTTCTAGTACGTAAATTTTCAATCCTAGTCAGGATCATCTTCAGATGCATGATATATAATAAATTGTAGGATGTGGATGTAGGTGTTACTGAAGAGAATACCACATCCCATACATACGCACCTCGGTTTTCAAGGATACGTTTTTTTTAGAGAATAGTGAAGACCAGGTCATCGAAGAATCCAAACATCCTCTCAATAAAGTATATGTTCATTTCTCCTTTCATGAAATTTTCGATATGAGAGTAAAAGAGGTTGAGACGACGAACACATACTGTTCTCGATCTGCGATCGATGTATCGATAAAGTGGTCAGTCTTCAACGAAAGATTCTAAACAAAAAATATGTTTCACAAACACTGAAATGTTCTCTCTTTACACGATCGATAGTATATGGTTGAGTCCTTGAGAAATCGAAAACAGAAATCAGTATTCCATATGAATGCATCTCATAATCCTTTATAGATAGATTCAAATAGTACTTTTCATGACTTAGTCACAATCGCTCACCAGCGAAAATGACGATGTTTGAGTTTACACCAACCGAATATGAATATTAAATTAGTTGGGAATAAATTCGTTTGAGCAAATCATTTATAAGCTCTTCAATAGACACCTCCAATATATAATGAAGTCAAATAATCAAAAGATAACATGTCAAAATGTCATGTAAAATTCTTCTTCCGAAAAAGAGGATTCTCTAAAAATATTGTGTTCGTGAAAAATATACCGATATAGACGTTTGAAAGCCAAATAACGAGTAATCACCATAAAATATTCAGGGTGCCATTTGACTTCAGAATTTCCATTGCTTCATCTTTTCTCCATTCTCCAATTTGAACGCCCTCAAGATGAAGCGTGGTGAGTGTCTATATAAAAAGTCGAGATGGTGAAGAGCAAGATGAGTAGAAAATAGTATCTTACTGTATTCCTAGTGAGAGCATTACCAAGATATCGTGCCCCTTCGTCCCGAATTTCAGTATACTCAAGTTTGAGTATGGCGAGTGTCTCTGTGGAAAGTCGAAATAAAGAATAGTGTTGTGAGTAGCAAATGATATTTTATCATATTGTTCGTCAGAGCATCGGCAAGATATTATGTCCCTTCGACTCCAATTCCATTTTATTGAAGATTGAGTATAGTGAGTATCTGTTAAAGGTCCAAATAATCTAGAGTGAAATAAGTAGAAAATGATATTTTATCCAGTTGTTTGTGAGAACATTGGTAAGATATTGTGGCACTTCGAACCCGATTCCATTCCATTGAAGGTCGAGTGTAGTGAGTATCTGTGTTCAGAGTCGAGATAGCCAATAGGAAGAGGAATAGACTAGTGTTATACTGTGTCATTGGTGACAGCATTGGCATGATGTTTTGCCCTGTCATGTCCGATTTCATTATGCGAAAGGTCGAGTGTTGTGAGCATCTGTATGGAAATTCGACATAGTGGCGAGCAACGTGAGCAGAACTTGACATTTTACCGTATTATTGATGAGAGCATTCGCAAGATGTTGTGTCTCTTTATGTCCAACTCGAGCTGACTGAAGGTTGAGTGTGGTAAGTGTCTGTATGGAAATAGATATCAGTAAAGAGTGGAATGGATAAAGGATTTCGATATCGATGTTCGATTCGCGAGAAGATTTACAGGTGACCTGTGTTCAATGTATTGGTTTGAAGAGGAATTTAATACGGTTGAGGTTGTTTATTGTCTTGAAAAATATATTATGGTGTCGAAAAATCGATAGATTTTATGGCAACCAGAAATTAAGGTAGAGTACGCTGGTCTATCGAAATATAGAAGCAGGGCACATGATGGAATAGAAACACAGGAGCTTTGTATTTCAACGCTCCTGTTCTTCTTTGTTGTTCGTCGATCGTCTAAGAATTTTTTGTTTGCTGTGGCCATTGTACATCGCAGCATGTGGCATGAGGATAGAGGTCGACTTTCTTATAGGAACATTATTGCCGTGCTGGAAATCTCATTCATGATGGATTTTGTGTTCGAAGAGGAATGTGAGAATCTTTCAGTAACCGTATTGGTGGTGATATAATCATATTATCTATTTAAAAATGGATTCGATTCATATCTAATGGATTAAGTTCCTCCTTTAGTGTGTATATGACAGAATGTTTGAGTGAACCTGAAGTCAATTTCGAAACTGGCTGTCGTATTTGGAATTTGTCTTGTTTATGGCTTAGAGAATGGTCAATGGCAACCCTTGTCGAGATCGTAATGATGAGTGAAAAATTGTCTGTAGAAGCAAGTAGGATGTGAAGCTTGAAAATATCTTGTAATTTATTTTGCTTTAAAATTATCCTTGGGTTTTTGGAGGATCGTTTTGAGCCTTATCGAATGCCTTTCTTGAACAATCGATGTAGACTTTTATTGAGAGACGTACAGACCATGGTTGAAGATCGATGAATCAATGAATGTCAAGATCTGGACAAGGTTAACTTTACATCTGGTCAAGAATCAGGCTGATAGTTCCATGTATTTTTGAATTTCTGTCAAAAGATGTGCAAAATTCTCAAGATATTTTAGAGAGCAACTAATGTCGGATTTTTTTTAAAGTACCAACGACTATTTTTTGAATAACTTTTCAACAGTTCAAGTTATAGAGATCGGGTTTTCATTGTTAGAAAGAGCAAGACAGGAGACGTCGATTTGTATAAAATTCATTAGATTTACGAGTCTTTTGTATGATTGTTTGCAGTCAAATATTTTATTGGTTGTCTATTTTCATGGATTTTCATGACAAGTTAACATCTAAATAGACCAAAATGTAGTCCAAATCGTCCTGTATTTGTGCTCAAATTTTCACATGTTAACATCAAACCGTAAGGAAACAAACTCAAGCATAAGGCCCAAAGATTTGGAAATTTTAGCACAAATAAAGGACGATTTGGGCTATATTTTGGTCTATTTAGATGTTAACTTGTCATGAAAACCCATGAAAATAGACAACCAATAAAATATTTGACTGCAAGCAACCTTACAAAAGACTCGTAAATCTAATAAATTTTATACAGATCGACGTCCCCCGTCTTGCTCTTTCTAACGATGAAAACCCGATCTCTATAACTTGAACCGTTGAAAAGTTATTCAAAAATTAATCGTTGGTACTTTTTAAAAAAATCCGACATTAGTTAATGCGACTTGGAGAATTAATGATAGTTACGTTAGTTTTAGTCAGACTTGAATAAAATCAAGGAAGACTTCACCAAAGTCGTATGAGATTGTTCAGGTGAAGGAGTCTGATTGATGACTGATCGCTCGTCTCTTGGGGTGGAAAACTTTCGTTCCTGATTTTCTATCTGACGGAAATACGAAATAGCATCTTAAGAGAGGATCAACAAAAACATCTACCTATGCAGTATGGATCTAGCTGTAACTAAGATTTTGATTTTTAATTTCAATATTTCACATCAGAGTTAGGCAAATACGAATACGTACTCGTACATGTACTCAAGAAAAGCCGTACCTGTCCAGATCTGTTTCAAACGATAATTCACCATTAAAAACATTCGAGTTTCAAGCTATCATATTTTGCATGATTCATCAACCACTTCATGATACTGACTTGACGAATATGAGATAATGACGTTACTTTGATATGTGTCATTCACACAACAAAAATGATAACACAAACAGTCAAACCATATATATATATATATATATATATATATATATAAATACGCAGTAGTCAATATAGCCTTTATTATACATTTTTTTTTGCAATCTTATTATTTAATCTTCATACAAATGGCTGAAATTGCTGGTGAAATTGTTGGTCGGGTCTTAATCGAATTGGTTGGCATAGTTATTGAAGGCGCGGTACGGTCATATGGACAAGAACGGCGTTCAAAAAAATCAAATTCATCTTCTCAAAAACACAATCGATCATTAACCTTAGGGTCGCCATCATCAGCTCAGTATAACCGTGCAGTACTCATTGCATCAAGCAATATTACTTTCGGTAATGATTGTGAACGTCTTGTTAATATAGCTTTTCAATCAAGTCAAACTTTTCCTACAATGATGGGCACATGTGCTGATGTTAATCAATATTTACACAAAGAACTTGCTAAACAATATCCTAATGAATATTTTCATATAATTATTGGTGAAAATAAAAAATTTGGTTTTTCTATTAGTGAAGATCAACATTTTGCTGAAATTGAACAAGATCGATATCGTGTATTGATTTTTTCAACAAAACAAAATTCTCATACGAAATCGGACACTCATGATGCTAATAGTCAGATGTTATTTGTATGGAATTGAAATTTAGCTTCTTGTTTTTTTTACAGAAAAAAATAATAAAATGAAATACAAATGTACATCAAAAAGTTTATTTAATAGATAATATTTGGATTTGTTTGTCCACTAGCATTATCAAGAACAGTTGATGTTCCACTGCCTTGTTGACTCGGTGTATCTCCGCCAAATTTTTCTGCTTGTAAGTCTGAATCTTTCTTAGGCGAATTTGTTTCATTCAGAAGTTGTTTATCTTTGCTTGTCAATTTATTGTTTGCTGTCTCTTTATAATGTTGATTAACAGCGGCGTCCATCTATATATAATTAAATATACATTTTAACATATTTAGATAAATATATATATAGGATGGTACAAAAGTTCTGCATTAATTTTGTTTTTAGTATAGCACAACAATATATCGTCGTGGAGATTCGATAGCTTTCTTGTTAGAAAGAGCAAGATCTTTAATACTACGCTATTTGAAAAAATTTGATTAAAAATACTTAACGAAGACTGAAAATGTTTAATTGAAAAAGTTCTCTATGCACTTCTGGAATTTAGAAGAAAATCTCCATCTACTAACAAAGTTAGTCTTATTTTTCTGCGTTTTATCCAGTTTTGTAGCGCTACGATAGGACATGTTAAACAGGTAAAAATAAAATTTTCAAGTTACCGGTTGAATTTAACATCGATATTTTTCTAACAAACTTCACTAGCGAAAAAATGTTCATAACTAATAAGTGATTTCAAAAAATAAGATTTTGTCCAGCAATCAAAGTTAGTGAAATCTCATATTTTAAGTCCAATTTGAGTTTAGTGAATCTTCTACAAAAGCACTTTATATAAAACAGAATACAGGTTTTTTATTAAAGATTATCAGAAAAACTTCATAGGTCGTTGCAGAGAAAAAATCAAGTTTTGAATAAAACTGTTTTCTATAGAACCTGTGGTTGTGTAACCTGAATATTTTGATACTACTAGAAAGTCCACATTGAGTTAGCTACACTCACACATAACATGCCTACAAATTTCAAAACCCTGTTGTAAGACAAATTTTCTAACCAAACATGTTTTTAAAACTTTTCAACCGTCAGATAAGTATCTCGAACCAAATATTTTTACACAGTTTTGTAGAAAACTATCGAACCTCTACGACAAGTTGTTGTCATGCTATACTGACAAACAAAATTAATGCAGAACTCTTGTATCATCCATTTAAATATATATATATATTTACTTACAATGTATAGTTACGCGTACAATGGTACAAAATAAAAGAAAGAGAAGTATTAAATGTAATGAAACCATGTTTCTCTTTTGATTTATATAGGCAGTTTTTTTTCTACGCTGTTCTCGTACACGTCATGATTGTTCTTTGTTTGCTCATAACATGCAGAAATACAAAATAAACTCTTTTACCCGGAGTTTTTTCTTCCAACAGTTTCTTACGGATCCTTCGAGAAATATAAAACAGTAACATGCAGTACACGTCGATCGCTTGTCTTCTATTATTACTTCACTCAAGGTAAAAGTATAATCATCGAAAGAAATTTGAAAAAAGAAAACTTTACCATAAATCAATCGAACAAATGCATGCTACTATTAAATGTCTATTTTAAACATTTTCCGCCTATACTATTAGCTCAATAACCTAAATATAAATCAAATTTAACCATATGCAACATTGGACTAAATCAAATCTTGTATAAAACTGAAATTATTTTAAATGACATCTGACAAAATATATTGAGCCGTAGAAAAAAAAAATACAAATTGAAGAAAAAAGAAATAATTGTGTTATATTTGGTCATTCGTTATCTCATTAATCAATCGTTGTCGTTGATGATGAATCGAATTCATGTATTGTTGATTGAGCCGTTGGAGCTGGCGCTGATGTTTGTTGTTGTGAAAGCTCTTTATCTTTAAGTTGTTGTTGGCCTTCACGTAGGCCAGTTATTTTATTTAAAATATCTTTCGCTGCATTTTTTACTTCCGGAAATTCTAGACATTTTCTAGCATATGAACATGCTTGATCATATTGACGTTTTTTTACATGATAATTAGCCAAAAATTCAGCAGCATGAGAAAACTCTGTGAAATTTTTTACCTTAAGAAAAAAAATTAAATTTTTAATTAAACAATCTTGTTTTTTAATACTTGTCGTAATTCTTGCGTACGAATAAATTCCATATATGCACGAGCTGCTGTTTCTTCATCTTTTAAATGATCACATACACTAAAAAAATAATTTTAATTAAATAATAATAAAAAAAGAAAAAAAAATAAACAAAATTAAAATATTTACTGTGCATATTTTGCAAGTGCATTTCCTTCAATATCACCGACACAATATGAACGCCAATAACATTTTTTTGCTTCATGTAATTTTTGTGTCCGTTCATAGACTTCACCAAGTGCATTTGAATAACGTGAATCATTTGGTCTATAAATAAATAAATAAATATATATATATATAAATAAAATAGATATAAAATAAACTAATAAATTTTAATTTACTTAAGAGCAAAAGCTTCTTTAAAATAATACAATGCATAATTGTACATTTTTATTATTTCATATGTTTCACCAAGACCATACCAAGCACGATGATCTCTACGATTAAGATCTAAGTAGAAAAAAAAACAAAAAAGGATATTCTATTTAGTTTTATTGAGGAATGTAAACATTTTATTCTTTAATCGAAACTGTATTGTATTTAATAGAACGTTCCATAACAGAATGAAGAAACAGAAAACTTGCAGAAAGAATTTCACAAAGCGAAAAATCACTTTTCAGATGAGTCTTATATCATTAGTTTCTCGAACACGGGAGATGCATATATAAGTTCGGTTTCGAATCAACTTCTAATTAAAATGCGCATCTCTCTTATGATCCTGTAACGACCTGTGATAGATAGCACAAAGCGTATCGATCGGTTACATTACCATCTGCATTGTGAGGATGTAGATATGAGTGCGGTTGAAGAGAAGATCTACACTGATTCACACCCACTTAACTCGGAAAATCTTAGAAGGAAGACGGTATTTTGTTGAGAAACTCATTAAAATCACCACAACTCAAAAAGAAAGATCTATAGACGCGAATACTTGTAGATTATCTTTAGTCTTAATACAGTTTATTTAATAAGGTAAGACTCATTCTAAAAGTGAATTATTATTTGACAAGATTTTCTCATTAGTTCAATCAAAACTAGACCTTGATATCAATTTTACTATTTCTTTTTCGTTTCATTGTCAACATATTTCTCATATATATATTTTTTCTCAATTATTCAACTTACCTAACGCTTCTCGATAAGCATTAATAGCAGCTGCATGATTTTTTCCTTCGACAAATTCATGACCTAATAATATCCATGCAGCTGGGTAATCAGGATTCATACGTAATGCACGAGTAAAATATTGAATAGCACGAGCATGATCATTACGTATACTATAAAAATTACCTATAAAAGTCAAACATAAAGAAAAAAGAAACTAAATGATATAGTAAATAATAAAAATACCCTTACCAACAACAATACATGTTTCAAAACGATATTTTTCGATTTCAATACATTTTTGTGCTAATCCAGCTAATGCATGATAATCTTCCTTGAAATAAGAAAAAATCATTTTATCATTAGAATAAATATTAATATAGATTTAATTTACAAGAACAAAAAGAATATTTGAAAATATATCCATGGAATCAAGATTATATGGATCAATAGTTCGTGCATCTTCACAACATGTTCGTGCTAATTGTAATTCTAAACAAGAAAAGAAAAGAAAAAAGAATTGTGTTCACAAAAAAAAACAAAACAAAAATTCAATCTTAATTAACTAACCAGCTCCTGTTTCATAAGCTTTAGCTTGTAATAAAAGAATATATGTTGAATTATGAAAACCAATTTGTGTTAATTCTTTACAAATATATACACATAATTCAGGTTTATGTAATTCAACATAACATCGAGCATAAAATACATTGCGTATCCAATGTTTAGGTAAATCAAGACTATGAAGCTAAAACACAAGAATAAAAGAAAGGAAAATCTATATTATTTTTAATAAACCTTTTGTTCACTATCAATAAGCATAACAAGATCTTCCCATGCTGACCAAAGATGAGGTACTGCTTTAACTGTACGAACAAAATATGGTAATGCTTCATTAAGTAAACCTAATCGTTTGAGTACAAGAGCATAACTAAATAAAAAACAAAAATTAACTTAAAAACAAAATATAACTAAAACAAACTTACACATAACAACTATAACCGTTTAATGGTTGAGTTTTTTCACTCGTTGTCAATTCTGTACGAAGACGTATAAGCCATGTATTATCAAGTGATGCTTTAGCTATTCAAAAAAAACAAAGATAATAACATCAATTAATTTTAAAAAGAGATTTACTCGTTGCTTGTCGTTGATTATTAGCTGTATCAGCTATAAATAAACGGAAAAACTTATTTTCAAATGAATAGAACAACAAATAAACATACGAAATACATCAACAAAATCATCACAACGATGTTTAAGACCATCCTAAGAAGATAAAAAAAGAAGAAATAATTTAATAAAAACTATCATTTACATACTAGATATAATGCATAAAGTCGAAGAAAAAAACCATATCCACTTGTACAATTTCTTAAATGATGTGCACATCGAGTGTATTCACGAAGATCAAAATAACTTTTCGCCATTAAATATAAACTTGATGATGTACCTAATTCCTAAAGAGAAAAGAAAACAAGATAAATCTAATTTGTTTCTTTTTTTCTCTTGAACTATTCTATCATTTAAAAAACATGAATTAGCCTAAGAAATGTCGAGATTATCTCAAGAAAATATGAAATATTCAAATTATATGATTATAAATCTAGCTTACTCGTGCTGTTACATTCAAATTAATTCCATCGTCTAATTCATCATTACCACTTTCAGTCGATGCAGATCCTATAGTAATACATTGAAGCATTTCACAACACCTAACGAAAAGAAAAACAACAACTTTCATAAAAATTAATTCAAGAAAAATTTCTTGTCCAATTTACCATTTTCTACTATGTACAAGTCCAACAAGATCCAATTCAGGTATTGCTTTTTGTAAATCAGTTACCACTGTTTTTGGATCAAATTGAAGATAATTAACATCACGCTGTTCATCAAATGACATTGATAATGGATTCATTATTGAATACTCTTCTTCTTTTTTTTTTTATCTCAAAATAAAAATATCTTTTCGTTTTTTTTTTTGATAAAAATAGACAAAGAAATAATAATTAATCATCTTTTCAAAAGTTTTATTCAATGTCTATAAAATATCACACGAAGAAGAAAAAAAACCTATGAAATTTATGAAATCTAATATACATGAATACATAACTACTGTTGCCTTATTCGACTAGCACGAACTCGAGTAAAAATAACTGTTATATATTAAATGGATTTATTGAATTTAATCCATCTCTTGTTCTACTTGACATTGGTGATAATAATATTGGATTTAATAAATTTTTAAATGTATCACGTCGTTCACGTTCAGTTATTTGTTGTTGTTGTTGTTGTTGTTGTGATTTTCTATTATTATTATTATTATTATCATTATTTGTTAATAAACGTGTTTTATATGTATTTAATAATTCCATATTTATTTGTGGAATTGTTTGATGTAAAACATAGTCAAGTTGTTGACCATATTGATTATACCATAATTCATATATATGACCAATCAATGATATAAGATTTGTATTAACACTTTCGTTTTCATTATGTCTTTCAAGTGCTTTAAGCAAACATTGAAATAAAAATTTAATATCAATTAATGAAGAAATATTCACATGTTTTTCAATAATATCTGTATAAAATTTTGTTATTGGAAGAATAATAGGTAAAAAACGATTAATACAATATGCATCAGGAAAAGTTAAACATTCAAATAAAATTTGAATTATATTACTGAACAGTTGTAGAGCCAATGAAGAATCTAAATAGTATATTATATAACAAATATTTCATACGAAATGACTCGTTTGAGTCATTAGTTCAAAAATTCAACAATCTCATGAACGGTACAAATTCAATTTTTAAATGAGCTCATTTCGATTCCCCTTCTCTAGTAGGCAATTCGATAGTAAACTTAATTTCCTCAGAGACGTGATTTCTAGAAAACTTCTGTATTAATTCATTACATGGTACATTAAATGTACTTCAAATTAGCGGATGCAGTTTTTATTGAAAAAAAGATTTATTCAAAATAACTAGTGCCCCTGCAATTCATGACTCAATTTTCTACAAGAATGTATTATTACAATTTTTGCCAAAAAAAAAATTAGATAAAGCATAGTACAAGACTCCAATATGATCAACTTTTACCAATTAAAAACAGTCTGTTTAGGTCTATTCATTAGAGTTTCGAACTAACGAAAAAAATAGATAGCAATCTAGTAGTGCTTGAAAAGCTCTATCGTGTAATCAAGATAGCAAAATTTCTGTATGAATACTAGCCATGTAAATGAGTTATATCTTGTTCTAGACTTAAAAAAAATAAACGGTTTTGAATCATAAGTGATTTTGAGACTGAGAAAATTTTGAATTAATCGACGAAAAAAAAACAGTAAGTCAATATAATTCAATTTTACTTCAATTTCAACCGAAATGCATGGTACATCAGACTGAAATGCCAGAATTTCAATCGGGATATTTATTCAGGTACATTGTGCAAAACAAGCTATGTTTTATATGTTTTTGACTCAGTTTTAATAAAGTAATGTTTGCGTCAAAGAAAAATCGGCGAAAACAAAATTTCAGTGCATTTAATAAGGAAGAACGCACTCAGTTATATTGTTCAACGTACTCTGGCATGTTGTTATAATATGTACAAAGTTAGAAAAAAAACAACTTTTGAAAATTGGGCATCTTAGAATCTCCCAATACTATTTATCTAATATTTCTGCTTAACATTTTACGGCAAAACCTGTGATACTTTCTTGTAGAAAATTGGACGTGAATATTTTTAGAAAAAGATTAAGGTATAGCGATGAACCTTACTAGGAATATTGAGAAAATACTAAGAGAGATATTTGTTTTGGTGCATCCATTAGTTTAGCAAAAGCTTAAGTTTTTAACAACTCTTTATTCTCGTCTTCAAGATAATGAACATATGTATGTGCGATAAACTAGTTTTTCTTTAGTATACACGAGAGACATAGAAAATTCGAGAAGTCAAGAGTTCCTACTGCTTCCTCAAATTTTTTTAGAGAAAATAATTGCTACATCTTGTAATATTGATCCGTCGCTGATAAACAATTTAGAAATTATCCTAAAGAAAAATTCATTGTTTCTATATTTGTTGAGAATTTTAGTAGTAAATAATTATCTGATATTGATTGGAATATAAAAATTAGAATTTTAACTTAAATATTGATAGTTTTAATTAATGAATAAGATATTAGCGAATAAATTTTTTTAATTAATTAACTCACTTTGTCGAGACATTTTAATCATACCCATAAAAAGATCACTATAATCAAGTTTTTCATGTGAATTATTCAATAATTTATTACTAATATTACTATTTGTATTTTGTTCATCCCATTCATCAATTTGATCTAAATCACCATTGATTTCTTCACACATACTTTCACTATTATTACGTCCAATATTTATTTTATTCTTTTTTTTATTAATATTAATAGAAGTAGAATTTATTTGTCCTGGTATTGTTTTAAATATAAAATATCTTATAATATCAATAAAATCTCGTGTTATTAAAACACAAACACATTCTTCAATAACTTCATCTGAATATTGACCTTGTTGATAATTCATTGTTGTTGTTAATAAATTATTCCACATTGTTGTTAAACGTTGTTGAATATAAGGTAAAAAAGCATTAAGAAATTTAAGAAATAATTCATCAATTATTTCTTCATCAGTACCTATTGATGATGAATAATTTTCAACAAATAAACGACAAAAATGTCTTAAAACAATACGAAGACGAAATGATGGTAGAGTATTAAAATTTTCAAAAAGAATTTTTTGTAAATATGTTGTTAATAAATAATTATTATCATTTAATTTTAAATAATATAAATCAGTATCATAAGCAAAATACATTCCATTTATTTGATAACATATATCAAATAGACGATGAAGATAATCACGAAGACGTTCATCATCAATAAGAATATTTGATGTTGATTGTAATCGTACATAACTCACTGGAGGACTTGAAGGTGTAACACTAAATATTTAAATTATTAGTTTCGTATTGTATAAATTAAACATAAAAATTGATTAGCAGAGTTTATTATAAACTACTTAGTCAAAATTTATAAAAGCAACATTACATAATTTTGAAATGAATAACTTCTAATTGCAACTTATGAGGAAATTTTTCGAAATGATTTATTGTTCAAGCATATCAAGAGGACCTCTAGACTAGACTAAACTCAACAAAATTTGGATACATAAAATATTGAAAGTTTAAAAAATTTTCGATTTAAGATAATCTTACAATCATGACGCTGACTTATAGACAACATTTTTAATCAAAAATGTTTTATTGAAATTTCTTATCAATATATTTCATCCTATGATAAAATATAAGGTCAAAGATGACAAATCACTTTCAGTAATTTCCTTGTCAGAGAAACTGATGCGATGATAATCAAGTAATCTTGATGATACGATAATGTTATTTTAATCTGTCAAATTCAATATTAATAGATAACTCGAAATCAATTTTTACTGCTATGCACTTAAAAATTCTAAAATATAAAAACTAATTTCATATTTTTCGTTTTACGAACAGACATTCGATCAATATATCTACAGAAAAAAAACCTATTTTTATGAGCCTAACATAAACATTATCTTATCCTATTTAAGTGCTTTAAACATATCTACTTACAACGATGACACTATCTCTCATCATTCATGATGCATACGATATCAAGCATCAATATTAACATCGATAAATGTGTATTAAATCTAAGTTGACGAGCAGTTTCGGATCTCATTTGTTATCATTATCACTAAAGCATTTGCATTACAAAAAAAGAGATTTATTTTCGTGAGTCTTTACTGTATTGCTTACAAAATATATGGAGATTTCAAACATTAGTTGATTTACTGTAAAAAATTAGAAGATTCTTATTTGAAGTTTTGAAGATCATGTAGTAATTTTTTCTCGAAGAACAATAAAACTTCGATTCCGATAAACATTTTTCTCTTTCTCATATTAACTTGATAGTCGAAATCATGTGGAATGAAAAAGGAAAGATAATCATTCAAATTTCTATCATAAGTCATTTTATGACAATTTTGAAATATGACTACATCGTTTTGAAAAAAAAAAGAATTTGGTAAAAAAGATGTCAGTTACTTAGGAAATAATAACAGCATTATGTATCATAGTAGTCAATAGTCATTTTTATTTTAAATTTTGCTCCGGCTAATACCTGTATCATGCTTTTTCAGTTGTGAGATTGAAAACGCCTACACAAAAACTCTATCCATTAAATACTGCGATCAATCAGTTCCTTTTTTTTTATTATCGATGTAAAAATCTAAAACTCAGAAGAAAACCTTTTAAAATCAGGTCCTGAAAATAAGAGAGTTGGTAAGTCTGGATGTATATCTATCCTTCACTCAAAATTTTATCAATTTCTGTAATACGTCATCATATAGGGAAAGAAAATCCGTAATCACGAGTCTTAACTAACAGTATAGATATCTTTCGTGTTTATTTTCTTTTTGTTGACTAAAATTTCAATTCAGAATATTTTAAAATTATTCTATGAAATTTCTCTTACGTAGATGGAATCATTGCTTTGGCTACATTATTACTTTCATATGTACCCAAATACAATTGTCTTTCTGTGTCACTATATGTTAAATTTGTTTTTAATATATCATAAAATGGATTTATTTGTTGATCATATAGTTGATTACAAAATTGTGTTACTTTTAATATATAATCAAATAAAATTGGACGAAAACACATAGAAATTTTTGAACGTATATTAGTATCGAATTGTTGTTGTTTAACATAACGTAATAATAAACATAAACAATGTAAAGCAAGCATTAAATTTCTTCGTCGATAATGTATTATATTTATAGGTTCAAGTCGATTTGAACATAAATCAAGATATTCAATAAATATTGTTAATGTATCAGCTGTTAATGATATATTTAATATATCATAAATAGGTTTAATTAATTCATAAAAATCTTGTAATTGATTATTATCTATTGTTGTTTGATGAATTAATTTATAAAAAAATAATATTTGCATTGCATCAAGTAATTTTAATGTTGGATTTGATGATTCATCAATTGTTCTTGATAAAAATGTTTTTTTAAATTGAAATTCATTTTTATATAATTGACAAAGAAATGGAAATAATTCCGTATAATAATCAATTATTTTAACAGTAAAATTTTTACATAAATAAAGAAATGCATTTGATGATTGAATTTGCATTACTTCACATTGATTTTTATCAATTCCAGCTATTAAAAAGAAAAATATTATTATTTAAATAATAAAAGCTATTAGTGCATTAAAATGTGAAACACAATGTGACTGCTATTATTAATCACAGAAAGATTGTTTTATTCTATCTATTTTAGGACATACTCATCGTTTTACTTAACCATCCAGAAATGCAATAAGGTAGTTAACATATATTAGAACGAGACGTTATTGATATACGGTCTTCGATCGTATATCAACAATATCTGTTGAGGAAATTCAAATCTTTACCCGTATACTTCAACACTCGTTTTATATCGTATTTTGACAAAAAAAAATAGATGATATTTTCTTACCAATCGATTGTTGTTGATATGATTGAAATGTTGTTAAAAGACGTTGAATTATTTGTATAGCTAATGTTTGATCATGTTGTGTTATAAAAAACATACAAGAAAGTAAATTTAAAACATGTCCATGAATATGTTCACTTAAATTAGGTGTAAATTGTAATAAAAATTTTAATGTACGTAAAAATTGTTCTTTTATTGTTGATGTTATTAATAGTGAATGACATTTTTCTTGAAATTTTATTGTTATTGTTGATGAAGAAAATAATTCTTTACGAACAATAAATAAAACATGATCAAGTAATAAATAAAATGCTTCCCATTCAATAATTAAATATATTGAAGATAATGATGTTGATATTGAGTTACAAGTTTTATTTGGTGTACGTTGTACAAGAGATTCAAGATAGATAAAAAGATTTTCAAGAATTGATCTTAAACATGACATATTCATTTCAATATCTATTGGACGATCGACAGAAAAGAAAAAAAGAATTGTTTATTTGATAATAAATCATATCAATAATAAAATTTAAACTCGAAATATGAAAATTAATATAAGGACTTTCACTTCGACTTTAATTAAAGTCGTTTCCATCTTCTTCTTCTTCTATAGCAATATTCTTAATCGTGCTCTAAGTAAAAACCATGGAAAAATAGTGGTCAATTCCATTTGTTATTAACTGTATGTGAATTCTGAAATATAATTTCAAGTGCCTTGTTTAATCTTAGCGCTTGATATATGATAGGACTCTATTTTTCACATAGGATATCCAATAATAACTACATCAAATATAGAAAAAAAAACTTCTTGTACTTTTCTATAAACAGATAATTGTCAAACAAACTTTTTCCACTATACTTTATTCTAGAGAACTCCTGGTTCTTTTGTTTGATAGAACGGTAACTATAGTTTTGAATGAAAGAAAGTGATTCTTCAATTAGACCCTACTCATGAACACATGGAGGGGGGTTTGTAGTAAAGATTGAGAATGATGTTTGTAAATTTATGAGATTTTAACTTTTGCAGATGATAAAATCCACACAAATTAGAAGAGTTATTTTGCTTATCTGAAATGATACAAAGTTCTCTTTTCAATAAAACTGCCTCTGAGATTCATTGTTTGAAACAAGATAAAAAAAAATGTGCATACGTAACAAGTCCATTTTGTACCTTGATGTCTTAAAAACTTCTAAGCAGTGAAATTTACAGACGCGACAAAATATTCGTAATTGTACTTTTATGTGAAAGATCGAAATTTCAGCCCAAGGAGTATTCGAATTGAATCACAGTTCTAAAGTTCTGTTTAGTAAGATGACGTAGTGCTTAGCATTATGCAATCTACCGACTATTTATAGAAACATGCCTTTTTATGGGCAATAATTAGAGGAAATAGGATCGAAAGTCATTTGAGTCTAAAACAGATGTGCGATAAGAAGTTAGGCGTAGACCGAACTTCTTTCTTGTTTCAATATGAACTTCGATTCAAGTCGAAATTTATGTAACTCATTTATGTATCCACCATTTGTGATAAATCACTTATCCTAAATGCAGATATTCGATAATCAGGTACTAGTAATGCGATAGAAAAAAAATGTTATTCTACGCTCTTTTCAAATAATCTTCATTTACGAACTTTTTTCTCGATTTGTATCGATACTGATTTGCTAGTATTATGTTGAATTATTTAATATCAAATATAAACTTATTTCTAGTCGAATACAACAATCTAATTCGTATAATTTACCTGCAACAGTTTCACTAAAGAACAAACCAATAAATGATTTGATTAATTTCTGTAATTCACTTCTATATTGTGAAAAAAATTTCCAAAAAAATTGTTCTTCGCTATCATATTCAAATAATACATAAATAAAACATTGTTGATTATGCATATATTGTGTTTTTAATATTTCATTTTCATTATCAATCAATGTTGTTGTCATTGGTGATAATGATGATGATGATGATGGAAAATGAATACGATGTAATGATTGTTTTAAATTAAAAATTAATTTTAAACAAAATTGTTCATTTGATAATAATGTTGTTTGTCGAATAATAAATAAATTTAATGCTTGATATGAATTTAATGATAATAAATGAAATGGATGTTGATTAAGTAAAAGAAGAAATTGTAAAAATGAATATGTACGTTCATTAACAAATGTTAAAAAATCATTATCATCAATGGATTTTGTTGCTAATTGTTGAAATAATTGTAATAAATAATTTGATAATTTAATAAGAAATTGACCAAGCATTTTTAAACAATTTATATGATCATTTGTTACTATGGCACGTAATTCTTCAATTGAATTCTAAAATTTACATATAAAAAGAAAAGAGGATATTTCAATATGAGAAATGTTTTAGATTTGTCGACACTATAACTAAGATGTATCGATATATTCAACTTAGGAGAAAACAAATCAATTATTATCTAATTCTCATTTGACAAAAATGAGTATCTCTCTCTCTCGAGATTCAGAATAATAATTCATTCTAGTACAACAATATAATGATCCTTAATATACATATTTTGTATTAAATTGGTTAACAGCTAACCTACTTGATATACAGAGTCATCATCAGAAGAATGACGAGTAAAGTCAACTAACATTTATTGACATTGAGGATAATTCAGAAAATAGGACACATGAAAGACGATCTCCTTTTAATCATGACAGGAATCACCTTTATTTTTTTCTCTTTATGAAATTTATAAAGCAATCCTATGCTGCCGTGATTGAATACATATTGAAATTTCTCTTGAAATTACAATTATGACATATCATAGATGTATGTCAATATTTTCAAAAATACTATAGGAAAATTAAAATTAGCATCATCATGATTACCTATTGAATGAATGAATATCAAACTATGTTCTCTTTCAAATGATCACGAAAGTATAAACGAATATGAACATAAGTTTTTCTAAATAGGAAAATCCGTACTTAAACAAAACAAAAATTTCTACTAGAAATTCTTGAATCAAAAAGAAAAAAATAAAACACTTACTGTTGGACTAATTAAAAGTCGATAGAACATTTCTAATGTATTATCTCCAAGAAAATAATTAAGAAAAAGTTTTTCTTGTTGACAATTCAATGCTGATGAAGCTGATGAAGCAATACGTTTATTTCTTTGTTGTTGTTGTTGTTGTAATTGTCTTCGCGCTAAACGTTTATTAACAAGACTAAGTAAACATTCAAATGAAGCATGCCGTAATTTAACAGAATTCAATTGGAAAAATTTCAAAAATAATTCACAAAGAAATGATTCACATTGTTCAAAATGATTATATTCAACCCATGTAAGAAAACTATTTACACATAAAAGACATGTTTGAGTTAAACGTTCATGTTGTTCTGGAACAGTTAAAAGATCATTTGATATACGAATTAAACATGATAAAATATCATTTAGACGTTTTTGTATTTGATTTAGAATTTGTCGGCGACGTTGTGCTTGAATTGATTGAGCATAAATTGTTAATTCTTCGTTTAGAAAACGAAAGACAAGTAAAATAAGTTCTAGTTGATTTGAATTATTGTCTATAATAAGAGAAACAAAAAAGAATAATTATAAATATGATTTAGTCAACTGTAAAAACGTTTAATATAACTTTGAATCAGTTTTACGATTGTCGAAAAATTCCTTTTATACAATTTATAATCAGAAAAGTAAAAGTGAATTGTACATTTGATAAAAATTGGTTTTGATACAATTATGTTCGTTAAAAGTCAGCTGCTTTCAATTCTATTCATATAATCGGAGATTGTAATTTTTTTGTAAAGAATAAATTTTCCCCCTTATGGATACATCCAAGACGCAATTGCCTACAATACATATTTTTTAAAACTCTTTTTTTTATGCAAGAATACATTACAAATCCCAATATTCATTTCAACATGGTATAGAGAGCATGTTGGTGAGAACATAATCTTTTAGACCATGAGTTTTTTGTGGCTCAATTAAAATGTATCATATATAGTGGCAGACAACAGTCTCCATTCCATCGAATCTTTGCTACCATGCGTCGTGAGAGTCTGAATGGTTTTATGCATCTGCTATACGAAAAATGTAGGTCAACTAAAAAAACTCACATCTTAATTGCATACGAAATACGAGAAATATAATGGATGACACATATTTTTCCTATGAATTTAACAGCTCTGAAAATGAAAGGGCTTTGAGAATCAACTGACTTTTCATTATAAAGTACGCTGTTTCGAGTAACTGGTGCTCTTCGGAGCCCATAAGTGAATAATAGTTCAATAAATCGAGCTCATTCGCTAAGACAAGCTTTTCCTATGATTAAATATTATTGCTTAGAAATTTCAGAAAAAATCCTTGTACAGAAGCAAAACGGCATGTTATTGATCATCGTATCGGTGTCAAAGGGTCCAAGACATACCTAGACTGCAATCTTCCATAAAATAACTGCATATTTTAAATGAAGAAAAAACATAGACTAGACTCCAGTTGTATTTTAAAATATCAAGAATTAGACATATATTCGATAAAAAGCAATACGAAGTATCATAGACAATATTTTTCAGGTTAAAAGCTTGAAGCAAAAATACATATCGTTCATCATCCTGATTCTCGCTATATTAAAGCAATTAGAATGAGATCATGCCGTTAAAACATATGCTTGCTAGAGAGTGTATAGAAAACTTTCCAAATCTCCAACATGTAGAGTACTTAAAATTCCGTGGAATGAAGACCTTTGTCCACTATTGTATTATCAAGAGAAAAGTGCAAAAATAAGTGTCGGTAAACTCTTTTGATATTCAATTAGACACTCTGATCAATGATTAACTTATTGAGACATAAAACAAATGAAAATAAAAGAGAAACATCAATTAAAAATCTATTCTCTTTCACATATTGCTAGATATTTTGTTTTATGTCCTAATGTTTTTTTTTTCATTACAAACATTTATTCATTCATTCATTCTGATATACAAATTTTTTGTCATATTGTTGTTTAAATAGAAAAACAAACCTTGAATTTGAGTAATTCCTTGTATCATATTAATCATTTCATCTAAAGTGGTATTCACTTTTTCAAAACAATCTCGCTTAATCATTTCAACTAAACATTTTGCTAAACAATTTCTTATATGTATTGGATTCATAAATATTTGATTTAAATAAGTACTTTTAATAATAAAAAATAATTCTTTTTTAATTAAATTTCTTTCATCAAGTTTTAAAATATTCCATTTATGTTTTATAATTGATTCAAGAAGATTTAAACTAAAATGATAAAGTATTGATTGATTAGTTGTTTGTTTTAATAATTCAAATGATATTGTTGAACATAAAATTGGTTGATTTTCTTTTAAATCATCAAGAAATTTTAATGCATTTTGTTTTTCATCATTTGTTGTTTTGGAATTAAACGAACAAAGAACAGCAGATATAACTTTTTCAAATAATTCTGATGTATAAATCATTGTTTCTTATTCAATGCTTTTTCAATTCTTAAAAATAATTCAAGTTTATTATTATTATTTTTTTTTGCTATTAAGAAAATGATTAATTTATTACTTAGTTTTCAAATAATTCATTTGTTTGAAATAGCTTATGTCAAAAACAATTAATTAGTTAGTTATATTAGAGAAAGATATTATCGATGAGACAAAAGTAAGAACCAATGACTACTAAGAAAATACATAAATGATTAACTTAAAGTGACATCTGTTGCATTTATTTTTAGATTTAAAATAAAATTTAAAAATTAATCTCTTATAAGAACTGATAATAATTCAAATTTTCTTCTCTCATTAATATTTTCATATTAAACGTAATAACTTATACAATAAATAAACAAAATAATTTAAGCTAATATTAGAATAAAACATGTTTGTAAATATATCATTATTATCTCAGAAAGAAATATTTATATGTACTGAAAATAATATCAGATTAATGTATAATATTTCATTCACAGATGACAATTCTATATAATTAAAAAAAATCTTCTAAAATATGTCAGATAATAAATAAAATATGAATAATTATATTTCATATCATGATGGAAATATCAATGAAGATACTTATGATGATGATTCTATTGATAGAAAACATCATTTATACAATTCATTAGGATCGATTCAACTTCAACGAACAAGTAAGATATTTAAAAAAAGAAAACGATAATAGATCGTTTTTTTTTTAAATATAATAATATTTGTTTTAGATATAAATCCTTCAAATTATCCAATATTACATCAAACTTTATCAACTATTTCACCAAATCAAACACATGTACATCATCAACGAGATATTTTAGCAAAAAATTCTCGTCGTATATTCATTAACGATGATATTATTACAATTGATCATAATGATACTGATGCTTCATTTATATTACCAAATTTATATGAATTACCAGAAGATATTCGTATGCGTGTTATGGATAATCTTGTTGATATATCGACAATGGTATCATTGGAAGAAACAAGTATATTATTAAGAATATCTAATTAGAAAGTTTGTTTTGAAATCATATAATTTTATAGGACGTCTCAATTGGTGGGTTAATAAAAAATTACCATGTTCGAAATTATATCCTTTAGTAACAAGTGGAGATGGAAATTGTTTATTACATGCAACATCACTTGGTAAAAAAAAAAAGTTTTATTCAAAGAATTTATCTGAAATAAAGAAAAGAAAAACCTGTATATCAAAGCAATACTCAGTAATTTCGATTGAAGTTCTGTATGAATATGACATTTTATAATTGAATTTAGTCAAAACGATTTCTTATAATAGAAATCAAAGTGATTTGAAAAATTTCTTTTGGAAAAAATATGAGACTTACGATTTTTGCATGGACAAAATCTATTAGTTTTTAGTTGATACAAATGATTAACAATTAATAATTTATCGTTTAGCAATGTGGGGTTTTCATGATCATTCATTATCAATGCGTAAAGCATTAAATGAAACATTAATTACATCAAAACCAAATAATTCACTTTATCGACGTTGGCGTTGGACTCAATCAGTACAAAATAAAAAAGTAACAAAAACTAAATTAATCTTTTATTAAATAAAGAGAATATTTCATATTTCTAGTATGGTCTTGTTTTTTCTGAACAAGAATGGGACGAAGAATGGAGAAGTTTATTACGATTATCATCAGCTGAACCACGTGTTTCACAAACAAGATCATTCGATTTAAATTCTTCAATTGATGAGTATGTTCAAAATAGAAAAACAAAAAAAAAAAAAGAAAATTAATTTATATTTTGTTTTTTGTTTTTATTTCTTATTTAGAATCAATTATTCAAAATCATCTCAAACAAATATTGATCTTCCAACAAAATCTTCATCACAATCAACTCGACAATATTATGAAAGTTTAGAAGAATTTCATGTTTATGTTCTTGCTAATAATATTCGTCGACCGATTGTTATCTATTCAGATACAATATTACGTACAAATGATGGTGAAGCTATTTCACCGATTGAATTCGGTGGAATTTATTTACCATTAGGTAAATTATATAGAAATTTTTATACAAAAATTAAGATAAAAAAACAATCTTTTTTTTTTTTGTGTCAATAGAAATTTCACCTGATAAATGTCATAAACAACCGGTAAGTTAATTTAATACTTTTTATTTTAATTAATATTTTCTTTTTCATTTAATTAAGATATTTTTGGCATATGATGCTGCACATTTTTCAGCTCTTCTACCTATGGAACAAAATAGTAAATCAACATCAAAAAGTAATTTATTTGAAAATATAAATATTATTTTCTAATGAATGCTTTTTTTTTTCAGTTACTTATCGAATACCTTTAATCGATATTGATACATTTGATATTTTACCAATTCATTTTTGTATTGATCCTGGTGTAAATTTTCAATGGCCAATTGATGAAGAATTATCTGATGATAAAATACATTTCTATATGAATTATGGAGAAAATCGAATGAATATTCTTGAAAAATATTTAAATTTATCAAAAGAATATTTTTCATTAAATAATTTATTTTTACAAACAATAAAAACAAAACATGATAATCGTATATCAACAACAGATATAAATTTATCAAATGAATTAAATTCAACAATAACAAATAAAAAATTCTCTCGTCCATCATTAAATTCATTTTCAAAAATTTTTCGTCGAACATTTATTGAACCATTTTCATCAACTAAACGTCTATCTCATAAAAATTCACATGATAGTTCAATACAAGATACATCTAATTTATCAATAATCAATAAAAATATGTTTGAAAATCAAAGATCATCACCATTATTAAATCATCATACAAATATTTTAACAATAATTCTAACTAATTTTCAACCAAAACGACCACAAACATCTGATAATATGATTAAAAATTATATTGATACATGTATGAATGAATATTATTTTGAAAAAAATCAAAAACAAATCAATAATGAGAATGAAAATTTACAAAATATTGAACCATTAACAAGTTTAAATGAAACTAATATTTCAAAAATTATCAATCATTATTCTGGTATTTAAAGAAAATAAAAAAAATGTTTTTTTTCCCTCAACAAAAAGCGGAAGTTCTAATAATTTTTTTTTTCTTATTAGATTCAACGGATACTTCATCATCAACAATAAATTCATATCATCAAGACACTGTGTCAACTAATATATCTACTAATATGAATAAAAATTCACATGAAAAACAAACAAGACATAAATTACTTCAAATACCATTAAATTCTTTAAATAAAACAATTCCATTAAATCAACATATAGAAAAAAATTCTAACATCGGTAATTTATTACCAATAGAAAATAGTCAATTTTCAATAAACGATAATTATATAGAACAAACACAACCAAAATCAAATCGATTGATACAAGTAATCATTATTTTTTTTTCCTTATATAAAATTTGCAAAAAAAACAAAAACTATTTTTTATTTTCTGTTTGGTTTTTTTTTAGAACAATAGTGTTGATATGACTAATGATCAACATTCTAATCTTGCATTTCATGGTAATAGTATCTCAAATAAATTTTTTCCTAGTCAAAATTTAATCTCATCACCTTTAAAACGTCAGCAATCAATAAGTTCTGATAAAACTTTAAATAATTCATTTGAAAATAATCAAAATTTAAATAATTTTAAATCAACAAGCATAAATATTAATAAACGTATACAAATATTAAATTCAATATCAAATCTTACACAACAAAAACGTCTTTAAAACATTTCACTGGTTATCTTACCGGTGATATCTTATTCCAAAGTAATATATTATTTAATTGAAATATATTCAATACAATATAATTAAAGTTCGCAAAAATACAGTGTGGTCCTTGTTGGCTTCTTTTTTTTGTAATCTTAAAACTTTCCTTTTAAGTATATTTTATTTTTGATTCATATTTATTTTATTTTCAACAAATGAGATGGGGTGCTATAAACAAAACGTTTTACCAACAAATTTTATTTATATGTCATTCAAATGATATACATTCAAATGGAATATATAGATTTATCATCTTATTTTTTTATATTGTGTATATAGTTTTCTGTGTAATACTATTAATTCTAAAATATCTAGCATAGTTTTAGCTGTTTGTTTTTTTTTTCAATGTGAAATATTGTTTTTTTTTTCTTTTGTTAATTAATAATAAGACGAATTGAAAATAATATTTCAAATAAAAAAAAGAAACAAAGAAAACTTCAATAATAGTATCAAATAGATAGAGTAATGTTCAAAATTATAAGAACAAGGTATTTTTGATTTTTTTCTACTGTACTACATATCTATTTTAAACTCAAATAATGATTTGCATAGGCAATAAGATATTCTATCAGGAGCCTCATACACCATATTTTCACAGATGTGAACAGTGCCATCTTATAGAGCGCAAAATTCTGGGCAAAATGAAGAGTCGCTGCATTTTCCACAACGTTCCCTTGCAAAGTTACAGGCATTATAAAAAATGAAAATATCCATTTTTTAGCCGTTTTTTAGCGATTTTTTGTAGAATTTCATGTTTTTTCATTTTTTTGTGATACTTATAACTTTGCAAGGGGAGGTCGTGGAAAATGCGGCAACCCTTCATTTTGCTCAGAATTTTGCGCTCTATCAGATGGCACTGTTCAAAAATGCCTCTGACAAATGCTTTAGGGACTTGAAAAATGTCGGTTTTTGTTTTTTAGAACTTTTTCTCTCTTAAACCATCTACGAAAATATGGTGTATGAGACCCCTGATAGAGCATCGTATTGCCTATGCAAATCACTATTTGAGTTTAAAATAGCTTTGTAGTATAGTTGAAAACAATGAAAAATACCTTGTTCTTATAATTTTGACCGTTACTGTATTTGATTTTGTTCAGTATTTGGAAATTGGCTAGAATTCTTTTTGTTTTTCTAATTCTTATGGATAATATTTAATTTATTAATCAGTAAATCAATAAAAATACTTTTTAGTCATATATTGTAAATTAGAATTAAATTCTAATTTTTAGAAAATTGAGATATAAAATGCTTATGAATTTTCAAATTTTTATAGATCACTGAGCACATTTCAATATTTAGAAAATCAGCTTAGTTTTCTAGAAAAGTTTATTTTCAGAAATATGGAAAACCAAAGTATATTTTATAGAAAATATTATTTAACCTATGATCTATAGAAAGTCATTGTTCAACTATATATAAATATTGGATGATAATGGTTAATAATAGGCATGCACCAAACCCAAACCCAAACTGTTTGGGAGTTTGAGTTTGGGTATCGAGTTTGGGTTTGGGTTTGGGTTTGGGTTTGGGAATGAGTTTGGGTATGGGTTTGGGTCTGATGTCGCAACTAGACATGCACTAGCCCTAAATAGTTTTCGTTTTGGTGCTTTGAGTATTGAGTTTGAGTTTGGGTTTGGGTTTGGGTTTGAGTTTGGGTTTGGGTTTGGGTATGAGTTTGAGTTTGAGTTTGATCAACAGTCGTATATCAAAAGCTTAGATACATGGACCATAATCAAATTTAAACCCAAACTCATATACCCAAACTCAATACCCAAACTCACCAAATCCAAACGGTTTGGGTTTGGTGCACCCTAGTTAATAATCATTCACTTCATCGTCGGTAATAGTAACTGTTATAATATGTTCGTAGTTGCATTACGCGTCCAGTTAACTTCGTTTGAAATTTCACTTGTAAGAAAAATCTAATAATTGTTTTTTTTTTGTTTTATTTTACAAAATATTCTGTATCATTTATTTGTTGTATTTCTGTTTAGAAATAACCATCGGATTTCTGATAGTTTTTCTCACTCGAAATATTTGTTTTAAACACGTATATAAATTTGTTTTTAGTAGATTATTATGTGGCTTATATCGTTTACAATCTTTGTTATATACGTCATGTTAATTTCTTTTATTGTTAATAAATTTTGAAATCTTTCTATTTGTTTTTATTTTATCGTAATTCTTTTTTTGCATACGATACATAAGGTACACAGCTAATACAATAAATATAAGTAAAATCAAGCCTAAAAATGGTTACTCAAATCGTTTTTCAATTTTGTAGACAATGCTCGAATTACTAAATAGTGTAAGATTTTCGAAGAATGTCTATATGAATTCATGCGCGATTCTCTAAAGAGAAATTCAAAATTCGAATTTCTATTTGCTTGAATATCTCATTTTTTTTAGAAAATAGAAACTCATCGATGCATTGACATGAACATTCCTAGAATATCTTTTTTCTATTCTCTATAATTTATGGTCTACTATACAGTGTAGAATATATTAAAACATAATTCGAAAAATTTTCTAATCTGTCTTTAAGATGTTATTAATTGAATATATTTTGATGGAAAAAAAGTGATCTATATAAAGATGAACTATTAGTTGGTCGTAAGTCAACAGCATACATATAGATGATTCATTTGACATTAAATAAACGTTACCATGATAGTTATATTCTACATAAAATCATACTGTATCATTCGCAATAATTAATATTTCAAATTTTTATACTTGTTATCTGATTGTTTCGTTCGATCATTTCAAACTCAGGGTCATTTTTCTCTGTGCATAACAAATATATGCTCGTATTAAAGCTAGCTCAGTCGATACTAGTAAACAATCCTCATCGCTTTTGTAATCACATTTTTCCGATGCTTAAATTCATAGAAAAGATAGATAATATGACAGATCGCTATTCATTTACCAAATTCAATATATCTTCCCGTTAAACGTATCAATTAAGAGAACTATACAAAGAAGACTATCTATGCTTGTAATAAATCATGAATCAAATGCAAGTAGATATAATGATATATTTATTTATCTGTGACTAAAATTATATCAAAAAAATTTCGATTATTCTTTTCCATTGAGTATTCATTCGAATCCAATTCTCCTTTTTTTTTGTTTTACTTGTTTCTAAAGAAAATAAATAATAGTAAATAATTTATAGTATTCTTTTTTAAATACAATAAATCGATCGTTTAAAAATTTGAGTAAAGTACATGTGATCGTGCTCCAACTTCGATTTTATGTCTATAAAAGTTAATAGAAATCACTTAGTAATAGTGTATAATGAATATGTGGGTGTAATGTAGGTGTGAATATGATTGTACGTGAGTAAATGTGTTACCTTTACTCACATTCAATCTATAAAATTGTGTTGCCATAATTGTTTTTTCTTTTTCATTCTTTCGTTTTCTTGTGACATTACACATAAAATAGTAAAAAAACTAACACTTGCAATCACATTGCCTTCAGCATGATTTAATATAGTAATGATTAATAGAAAAAAAACAAGAACAACTGAATAATAGACATTCGATAGGTGAATCAACAAAATAATTTCATTTAGAACAATATATTGGTTTATGCCATCCGAAAATGTTCTTTTAAGTATCATGAAAAAGATATTGAAAAGATTTGACATTGAAAATATTTATTATTCTTTGACAAAAGATTTCAGTTAAATTTATTAGCAATAGAATTTTACTTTCATTGAAAGTCTTTAATTCTCTTTAATCATATATAAATTCTAAGAATAGATTGTTTATTAAAAAAAATTATCGATTGACATAATATTATATGTATGAAATGTATGTTATTTTTTTTCTTTATATCTACTTTGAAAAATTTCAAATAAAATTTAGATATAATATAATTATGAAAAAAAAACCGATTATTGATTACTTGTTATTTAACAAGATAAATTTCATGTTATAATTTTTCTTCGTTAAAAACAACCATTTCTGATGCATGTTCATATTTTGGTGATTGGGTATCGAATTCTGTCGCAAAATTATCAATACCCATAGATGAATTAAGTCGTTGTGAGTACCGTAATTTTGAATGCCAAAAACCATAGGTAAAATAAACAATTTGACCGATACCCATCCAGACAGCAAGTCGAATACCGGTTTCTTTTGAAGAGCTTACCATAAGCAAAATACAGAGTAGTGCTCCAATAGGAGGCAAAATCCAAGGTCCAAAAGGAACCAGAAAACCTCGTGGTACTTCTTTATGTGTAAAACGCATCTAAATTCTAGTATATGAAAAAAAAACCGAAGTTGATTACTACCATAAACTTACAATTATGACAGAAATATGTACAAGAAAAAAGGCTACTAAAGTTCCGATCGATGTCATTTCACCAAGAATACCTAAAGGAAGGACGGCAGCAAATATTGCACAGACTAAACCTAAATAAATAGCATAGTCAAGAGTTTCTATTGATAAAAACATATGAAAATCTTTATACCAATAATAATTGTAGATATCCAAGGAGTTTTAGTACGATGATGAACATTAGCAAATACCGATGGTAACAGACCATCACGAGCCATAGAATAAAATATACGTGATTGTCCAAGAAGACTAACAAGAGATACACTTGTCAAACCGGCAATAGCTCCCAAATCGATAATAATAGGCAACCATATTCCATGTGGCGTACCTTTACTAAAATATAGTTATTTTCATATATATATATATATATATGTATGTACATAATTATAAGAAATGATATAATCTTTACATAGCTTCTGAGATTGGACTTGGTGAGTCAAGTGTTTTATATGGTACAATACCGACCATTACAGCACATACACCGATATAGAGCACTGTAGAAATCGATAACGAACCAATAATTCCAATAGGCATTGAACGCTGTGGATTTTTTGTTTCTTGTGCTGTTGTTGTCACCGAATCGAAACCAATATAAGCAAAAAATACAACGGTTGCACCATGTAACATACCAGTTACTCCATATCTATTAAAACTACCTACACAAAGCGGTATTATATTAAAAAAATAATCCCACTTTTTCCCATCATCGCTTTTTACCTTCATTAGGCGGAAAGAAAGGCGAATAATTACTGCGCTTAGTATAACCACAACATGCAAAGATGAATAATAAGACAACGAGAATTTTGATTACAACAATCACTATATTGACTTTTGCTGATTCACCAATGCCAATAACGAGTAATATTGTGAGTGCAATAATAATTACTACTGCCGGTAGATTAATCACTTTTCCTGTAACATAAAAAGAGTTTGAATCATCACTCCAAGCAATGGGTGCTTGAACAATCGATCTTGTTGCATTATGTTTCGATATAGTTTCAATAAAATGAACAACATAACCACTCCAACCTACAGCTACCGTAGCAGCTGCTAATAAATATTCAAGAATTAAATCCCATCCAATAATCCATGCTAAATATTCTACAAATGAGAAGAAAATGACATCATCACTTATTTTTCTAAAATATCAAAACAACTTACCACCCATAGCTAAATAAAAAAAAAAAATAATGAATAAAAAAAAATTTCAAAATAAAAAATTCATTAATGTTCTAACATACTAGCATAAGTATATGAATAAGCTGAACCAGATATCGGTACCATTGAAGACATTTCGGCATATGAAAAAGCAGCAAGTCCAGCAACAATTGCAGCAATAATAAATGAAACAATAACAGCAGGACCAGCATATTTAGCAGCTGCTTCGCCACTCAATACAAATATACCCGTACCTATCAAAATATTTGTTATCAAAAAAAAAACAAAATATTTATATATTCATTTCACTTACCAATAATACTACCAATACCTAATGCCATTACTTGAAATGTACTTAATGTACGTTTCAATTCATTAGTATTTTCAGCTTCAGATTGTAATTGTGTAATAGTCTTTCGTGTAACAAGTCGAATTCCAAATCTTTTCAAATAATGACATGCTTGATTATCATTTTCAAAATTCCGTAGTTTTGTTGTTAGATTTGTAAAGAATGCCTGTCGTACCATTTCAACTATACGAAAACTTAAATATACACACGTTTATTCTATCTATCTATATTTTAATGTATGTATAACTGTATGTGTTTGTTGTTACCGAAATGACTCGTGACTATTATGTTAAATAGAAATAGGAAGAAATAAAAATAAAGTTTCGCTTGACAAACTGATGATTAACACACATTAGACGAGCTATCACGTTATGTAAAACAGAAAAACAAGACGCACATGACATAAACAGAAGGGAAAAATGTAAATCGACTACTAGCTAGATGCTTATATTACTTCCTTTACCTTTTTGATATCATATAGGTAATACATATAAATATTTTTTTTTCCAAAATTATTCATATTTGTTTTTACTTTCATATCATTGTAAATTCATTCGTCTTTAGCTCACTAAAAAAAAAAGTCATGAAACGTCAAAATAAATATTCGCAATATCACAGACATCGATGATTAAATCTCCTCTGTTATGGCAAATTACAATATAATTGAGATATAAAAGCATCATATAAAATAATAATAAATTATAATTTATATTGTAGATATGTCAATAAATTCGAATGTCCGTAAATTACCAATCCTTTCGTCATCGCATATTCCAATATCTTATCGACGATATCAAAATCGTGCTGCAGCTGTTTATGATATGAGTGTTAATTGTTATGATATTGAAACAATATGTCATATACATCGTTTATCAAAAATTATTATATTACAAGATTGGAAAGGAAATTTTGATTATTTACAAAGTAAATTAAATTTAAATAATCGAAATGATATTAAACAAAGATTTTTAAAAATTATGAAAGAAATTGAACATGATAATATTCAACCAACACTTGGTAACAATAGATCAATTTGATTTTAATAAAAATTCTTTTTGTTCGTTTTTTTTTTTTGTGTTTATTAGCGGCTATTGCTCATCATATACCATTTATTTATATTGAACAAGCAATAGCAGATCAAGATATTACAAATGCATTGAATCGTTTTCTTGATGATTTCAATCCAAAAAACATAATGGAAAGAGAATTTAAAAAAGATAATATTATTCAAAAACAATTAAATAATGGTCAACCTATTCTAACACCATTTGAACAATATTTACTTCTTGAGCATCTTATTAATTCAATATCAATAAAGAAATTTCGAAAAATAATTGATATTAAAAAATGTCTTCTTGAATATATTCAAGAAATTATAAAAATAAATTATTCATCATTAAATAATATTTCTTATTTAAATCAAACATGGTTGAAAACATTTCTTCTATGGGCATATCCACAAATACATACAGATAATCTATCTTGGTTAGATATAAATCAATTATAATCATTTGTATATCAATGTTATCTTGTTATAATGTAAATCAATAAAAATACACAAAATAAACAAACCGTTCAGATATAAGTTTTGTTTTTTGTTTTTTTTTTTTGTCCTTTTTCTTTCGTAATAAAAGAGAATGATTAATAAATTTCATACATATAAGATTTATTTATTCACAATATCGATATATAGAAAGAAACTCGTTAGCATTATATATATATATTCTTTGGACAAATGTCTAGACAATATTAAATGTAATATGATGTCTTTGAATACTAAAACATATCTTTTTACAATAGAAATATTGAATGATCAATAAAAGTGTTTGTAACTATTATATTAAAACAAAAAACAAAATAACTGTGATAATCAATATTGTTATAAGAGATGTATATAAACAATAAGATATAAATTATTTGCAAGAATGACCTTAATTGAATATAAATATAATCATCTTATTTTACATAACTCATGTTTATATAATCAACTTTATTTCGACGAAATGAATCAACTGACCAGATGTATTCTATTAACAATATCAAACAAATAATCAAGTGTTAGATATTATCGATAGATGAATGATATTATTCTATAGAAAGAAAAATAACATAATGTATCTTAAGGAAATATCATTGATTTCTTTAATTGATAACAATAGGATACTATAGTTTTGAAATTTTCTATTATTTATAAATCGAATATTCTCATCATGATCAATCAAAATAGAAAGACAAGTATTCAAAACAAAAATATGTCAATAACATCAAATCACAAAGATTGACAATGCAACATTTACAAGCAAGAAAAAAAAAAGAATCAAAATCAAGTTGATGTTTATTATTTAAAAAATTCTATTATGTTTGCATTTTATTTGCATATACACTTGAGAAAAAAAAAGTTGGTATATAAACGAAAGGTTACATTTCTTTGTATATGATGCCAATCGAACAAACTGATCTTATTCGTATTAAATAAGAATACTATCAAAGTCACCTTGTTCTTTTTTAATATCAATCTTGATAAATTTCTTTTTTGTATACATACTCTTCAGTTTAAATTGTGTAATGAAATTGTGATGTAATTTAATATTTATGAAAATTCAAAAAAACGCGAAAGAAATTCCTTTTTCTTTTTTTTTTTTAAGTTTCAACATGATATTGGTATATAGTCATTCATATTTATTGTAATCTTTAGACAAAAATTATCTATTTATATACTTATCTGTTTATTCTGCAAATGACGTTTATGTATAATATAATCTTCATCGGATGATCTAATGTGTAAATATTAATTTACGAAGAACGTGACTAACTTAGACAAATAAATCGATAAAAAACAGATGTTGTTCAAACATTAAAAAAAATACAATCTTGTTGTTGAATTTTTACTCTTAAGTTATAAATATCAATAATCAACATCAATAATATTGAATAATATTTTTCAATCAAATACATTTGCTATAGACAATGTGTGTAATTGAAGATTATAATCGAAATGAAAAAGAAAAAAGATTATGTCATAAGGACATTTACTGTTTATAATGTATTGCGAAACCTTTTAAGTGAACTTTATAGACAATTTAGAGAAAATTAATGCTTTAAACTTTTCAATAAAGAAAAAAAAGTCTGTCAATCAAATGACCCATTTATATTAATGTAATAATCAACCTTTATCGATCAAAATTAATAACGATAGTTGCTATAGTTCAATCAGAGATTATTTATTGATAATAAAAATAAAATATTTCTCCGTATCTCGATAAATATTTCTTATCATATTAAATAAAACAACAGGTGTACATTTTTTTTTTCAGTCAATCAATTCAAATAATGTAAATGTTCAGGTATTCTTTTTATAATAATATTCAAATCACGTATCAATACCTTTCCTACTATTGAAAATTAATTGAAAAAAATTAATATAGCAAAAAAAACCGAGACATCCTTGATAAGAATTTCAGATTGCTAAATAATATTCATTTTTATTTGTAATTTAACTCAGTAATAGACGATAAAAGTGTGCTTTTTCTCTTCCTTATTCTTTCCCATCTACTCGACTTTTTCTTTTTCTCTCTTTCTCTCTCTTTCATTTTTTTTTTGTATGAATCAGCAATTCTGCTGCTTGGCTTGTAATCGTTATATTACACCTCAAGCACGTTTTCTCTTTTCTTCTCTTTCTCTTCTTTCGCTTGCTTATCTTCGCAATATTTTTCTTCTCCTTTACATCGACTCGCCGTTATTATTTCAAATGCGCACATTCACGTCTACACGACAAAAGCACACCTATCTGTGAAATAGAGAGAGAGAGAGAGAGAGTGAGAGAGAAAAAAACGGAGATGGAGAAAGTAGCTTCCGTAGGTAAGTAAGACATAGTAACACAACTTTTTTTTTTAATGCGTCAATTCTCTTCTCAAAAGACGAAAACGGGGGGGATCAAATGCTAATACAACTGATATAAATGGAATATGCAAGATGAGTAAACTGCATATATACATATTGTGATTGATTCTCCATATATACTTAGTATTAGACTATGTATATTGTTCGAATAGTAGTGATTGCACAACAATCAACGACCGATTCGCTTAAAATGTGTGCTCCCTTTTTCTATGTATACACACATATAATCATATATTTATATATATATATATATATATACATGTATATGAGTTTGTGTCTTTTATATAATCCTTCCTCATGGCTACCTCGTCGTTGTCGTCATCATCATTATTATCATCATCATCACCAGCGATGAACTGATGTTTGAGTATATGTATATCGATAAATAATAATTATATATTACGCCATATATGTGTTCATACGTTAATCTGTCTTTGTTTCTTTTTGTGACCATTGATTCTCATTCAATTTCTATAAATACGTACACACATACACATACACATATACATTCTATGCCTCATGGTCTCGTCTTCTGCTAGACAGACAGACACAAGAATCATAATAGAAATCACATATTGAAGAAATATAGGTAAGTGTTCTCTTGTTCGGACAGTTGAGACATATACTGACTAGCACCAGTTAAACAATCACTGTAGACGTTGATTCAAGTGACCACTTCATTATTTCTTTTTCGTTGTGTGCCATTAGCTGGTTATATCGTTGATCTCACCATTTCTATCTGGATGTATATAAATTGAAGGAAGACCGATATGTGCGCTACGACTAAATGATTTATCGATCTTCCGATGCCGATTGCAGTTTAGTTGTTGTAGCATTAGTACTCCGTAGTAGTAAGTACTATCTTTCTCTTTTTTTTTTCTTCTGCTACTGGTTACGATCATCATCATCATCATCATCATCTTTGCAAGAAAAAAGTACAGCATACAAATAAGAAATACCACCCACGCTTCTCGTCTCATCCAACATTCGATTTAGGATTAGGATTAGTATTAGTACTAGTTGTTGTCATCTTACTGCATAAAAAAAAGAAAGAAAACGACAAAGAAAAACGAGTCGACTGAGATGAGCTTTGATGCGTATACTTGCAAAGAGACGTGCGTGAGCTGTCCTTGATCGCATGTGTCTTATTCATTGCCATCATTCTTGATAACATATAAGAGCTAGTGAACATACATGGAAAAAATAGAGAGAAGAAAATTCGTATAAGATGTTCGCAGCTTCAATCTATAAATAATCGAGCGTCATTCTCTCTCATCATTGTTACAATTGTCATATGCTATTCGGCACAATGCTGTAGTGATGACCTCGTTTCAGTGTGCGGGCGTATGCATGTGTGCGTGTATATATGTATGTGCGCATGCACACACACAAGCGCAAAGACAAATGGGTGAAGAAAAAAACGCACGCACTGCGTACTTGCACATAGTAGCATATACCCAGCACAAGAGGGAAGAAGAAGAAGATTGTTGAACTAATTTTGCGTCGACGATCACCATAGAAAAATAGTGTTCTGTATGTATTTTATTGTGAGTAAATGACGAAAAAGAAAATGTTGACAAGAGAAAAAAAAGAGAAATCAGTTTATATGATAACTATTTTTATTTCAGATGACCACTACAAATGATGATATGATGGAATTAAAAATAGACGAGCCTATTTCATCATCATCATCATCTTTATTAAATACTCATCATCATCATCATTATCATGAATCATCAGGTTACTCATCAAAAGAAGCTGAATGTAGTAGTCCAGAAAATAAAACTCATATACCACATCGACAGCATGAAACTAAATTGAGAATTACGGCAAACAATAATAACAATAATAATAATAATAATAATAATAATAACAATAGTAGCAGAACAACTGACATTCATCGTCGACGACATAGATTACCTACGTCATCAATAACAACACCAAATAGTGGTTCATTATCTGTTGATGAATCTTTAACAGAATCAAACGATACCGAACGAACGGTAAGAATTCTATTAAAATTTTTTCATTATATTAAAATTTTAACATAAAACAAAATGAAAAAAACAAACCGTGCATAAAGTGAACTTTTATTTTCTCGAAGTTAATAAATATTTTATTCAATAGCAATATTTTTCTTTCATTTTGTAACTTAAAAAAAGAAAAATGCTAATTCATAAATAATCTATTTATCTATTTCAAAGGTCATTACTCTCGATAAATCGATTCATCGTCTATCACCGATCTGTGATGAACAACTACTACCAACAACGAATACATTATCAAATAATCAACATTTTCCTATAATTATTCCGTCCGATGATAATCATATTTGTACATCATCACCACCATCACCACCACCACCATCGCAACCATCATCATCATCAACATCAACAGCATTATCTAGACATTCAACTAAATCACCTTCACATCAAGCAACACTTTTAGCTCGTCGACATTTTCATGTATATGATTGGACACGTCTTTCATTTTATGATAATGTACCACCACCACTTGGTTATCAAAGTGAACCATTATTTATTGATAATCATTCTCCAACAACAACATCAATATCATCTACAGATGAAAATAATATAAAACATTTATCATTAACACATATACGTTCATCAACTGATAGAAAAGATTCTGGTCTTGATACAAGTAGTGTTGAAAGACAAATTGATTCTATTGCATTAACAACAAATACTGAACAATTACATCGATCAACAACTTCTTTATCATCATCTTTATCATCAGAAAATGATGCAACAAATACTATACCATCATCATCAACACCATCACGTTTACCAACTAGTCGCAAAATTCGTGTGAAATGGCATTCATTTACAAAATCTCATCGTCCAAGTTTTAATTCATCAAAATATCATTTAGGACAAATGTCTGTTGGACAATTATTTGCTTTACGTCGTGCAGCATCAATACGTATACAAGAATTACTTGATACAACAAGAATATTATCATCAAATAAAGATGATCAAATACCAACATTAGTTAATACAACAGTTGCAACATCACAAAGTTTACTTGCAACTGCATTTAGTGCTGTACCAAAATTAATTATTCGACGACATCAACAAAGAAAAGTTTGTTTTCATTATTATTAAACCAAAAATTGAATTTCTTTCTTAATTATTATTATTATTATTATTATTTAATCTTTAGGAAGGTCATCATCATCCTCAAATAAAAGATATTAAAAAAACTGTATTTGGTGTATCACTTCTTTCAATGACACAACGTACTGGACATCCAGTACCAATAACAATAATTTCAGCAATGAAATATTTAAGAAGAACATCAATTGATAGTGTTGGAATATTTCGTAAACCGTAAGTTAATAAAAAAAAAAAGAGAAGAAGAAAAAAGAAGATGATGAGTTATTTGATCTTCTTATCCTTATATATTAACCTTGAGTATGTCGAGAATGTTGAGAATGAAAGAGAATCAAATATCAGAAAGATGATACAATTTTTAATCTGAAGGTTGTTAATCACATATTGTTATTATATTAAATAAATGACAGTTCTTTTCTTTTGAGTTAATTGATCAAAAAAAAAATGTACTCGAACTATTTATTCAACTTATTATAATCTTACCATTATCAAAATCTAAAAATGAATTAGTTTTTTTTGTGGAATGAAATGTAAACTCTATGCTAAAATTTTATCTTCATATTGTTCATTTAATGGTTAAAAAAGCTCTTCAATAGTCATATATATATATATGCATAAATTTGAACTGATTGCTATCTATGTGTGATAAATTACAATAATTCGACGGATCAAAGTAGTAGATGAATAGTTACCTATGAATAGACTGATTTTTATATTTACGTTGAAAAGTATCTAATGTGTGTGTAAGCCATAAGTAAGAACAAATCAGTTCATTGACCTTGCCAAGTCAATAAAATTTGCCTTAGGATCTTATTTTTGAATTTTTTTATTTTATATCTCGTTGAATTCTATAGAGAACTACTTAGAATACACCAAAAGTAATGAGATTTTGAAGAGAAAAAAAAAACTTATGTAAAAACAAGTTATTCAAAACTTTATTTCATCAATTTTTCGAAGTAGTTGTTCTGCTTATTTATATACGATTTATTTTCATCAAGTCAATTATGAAAAGTTTGCTTTTTTTTAAAGTCATCTTTACTCAATAAATTAAGTATCTTAGTTACGGTGCCGTACATATATTCTGTATTGTGCTGTTCTGTTAGATTTTGTTTGATCAGATTAAATAGCTAGATTTGAAACCATACTAGACGATTTTTACTGGTTTTTTTTCAATTTTTAAGGCATTGAAGTTTGTCTATTTTGCTTGATTTTCATGACGTTAACGATCCAAAAATATGAGTCTGAAAGTCTCCAAATAAGAAAGTTCTAGTCATCATCAAAATCTCACCTCTAAATTTTGAACTCATGCTTTTTCATCGTACAATAACATCCTTAGGTCATGTTGAATGAATTTATCATAGTCAGTGATGAGAAGTTAAATTGTATGTAAAGTACAGATATTCCAACTTGAAATTTCGAATATACTTTTTTTTGAACTACTTTTAATCGAGTGTGAGAAACTCTCAATGACTTGTAGTTTTCAGTGCATGTTTTTCATTATAAAAATATTAGAAAAGATTGCATTCTGCTGTAAAAGTTATGTCAGTACTAGTTTCCTGCAACAGAAAAAATGTTTAGATATTAAGAAGGGTAGAAATATGTAGTCTAGTATGAAAACCAAACTTTATGGGTCATATTGTCTTTCTATCGGCTATAATAACATCATAGAAATTGAGAAATGTTTCGGCCGTACTAACTAATGATGAAATCATCAATCTTATCAATACTTGAAAAGAAATCATATATTTATTGAAGAAAGTCAAGCAAAATAAAGCATAGATGTTGTTCTTGTAAATAAGAAAATGAAAAGTTCTGAAAGAATTCTTAATATTGAATATATAGAATGCGATAGATTAAAATAGAAGTTATTATTAGTAGGAACTTCGAGAATTATATGAATATCACATTGTATGTCGTTATGGACCTGCAGTAAAAAAAATGTTTTCTCGAACAAACTAGTTGTTTAATTGATATATTAAATGAACCGATTTTTCACCGGTTGGATTTTGTAATTCACATGGTCGATTCGGTCCGATTGAATAAAACTTTACCGATTCCAAGTTTGACCTTTGCTTTCTATTTTTTTTGACAGGGATTATAAATGATTATTAATGTCAGATTAATGATCCATAGTTAATTGTTATTTCATATGATGGATGAACATAGAACCTATTGTCTCGAAAGTAAAGCGAAATGATGTTTTTAAAACGAAGCCATTTAGTGGAAATATAGGAAATATATTTTCGAAGTTTGCTTTTCAGCAACCGTTCGACGATTTACGATCAGTTTTGTTTACGATAAAACCATTCTTTGTTGCCTGTCATATTTGTTGTTCAGATTTAGTTAAATCTTCTCTATCTATTCAGACTTACTCAACATTTTCAAATATCGTGCAATTCATTAAGTATTTATTGAGCAGTTATGTTTTTTTAACCTCCGATATTCAAAATAGATTTATTCAATAATATCACTAATCATATCAGTCTTGATTTCCATTTTGTTAATCATGCGAGGATGAGAATCATTACCAATATTTTTAGATGACATCTTCCTTTTTCTATTCAATAAAATATAAGGTCAAATATATAAACAAAATTTTTCATTATTTATCCAAAAAAACAAAACATTCAAAGCTCCGTTTTTATATTCTTCGTCAGACTTTGATTATTATAACATAATACTTTTTTTGAGTATGTCTGAAGTATAAAATAGTTCAGAAAAAAAACAAGACTCGATTAATATTATTTGTAACATTCAATAAAAACAAATTTTTTTTTTAATTTATTTTTAGTGGTGTATCACATCGTATAAAACGTTTACATGATTTAATTGAATCTGATCTTGAATTTCATCAATTCGATGATTTTAGTCCATATGATGTATCTGATGTATTAAAACAATATTTTCGTTCATTACCTGAATGTTTATTTACAACAAAATTATCACCATTATTCCTTAATATAAGTGAACATTTTTCTACAATATCATCTTCAACATCAATTGATTCAACATTAATTAAATTAAATAATGAACGTCGTTTACGTTCATTACAATATGCTGTTCTTTTATTACCAGATGAAAATCGTCTTGTTTTACATTTACTTTTATCATTTTTAAATGATGTTTCAAAACATTCAAAAACAAATCAAATGAGTTCAATTAATCTTGCAACTTGTTTTGCACCAACATTATTTTCGTTTTATAATTATAATAACAACAACAATAATAATAATAATAATAATAATAATATTGAAATAAATGATTCAACATCAATATCAATACGTAAAACTTCACAAACAATTATTTCTTCAAATATAATGGGTATGCCTGATTGGAGAGAAATTCAAGAACAACGTAAAGCTATGGAAATTCTTTCATTTATGATTGATAATGTTCGTTTATTATTTCTTGTACCTGATGAACTTCATCAAGCATGTCATTTTTCTTATATTGAAATTGGTGAACCATGTACACTTGATGAATTATCTCGTCGTGTATCAGAAACAACAACATCAATAACAACTACAACAACTCCTATTTTAAATAAATATCGTCGATGTTCATCAAGTAATCTTGTTGGTAAACGTACAGCACAACAACGTGCTACAGAAATTGGTACAATATCAGCATCTGATTCTATTGGTTCATTATCATCATCACCATCAGTATCATCATCATGTGAAAATATGCTTTTAAATGATAATTTATCTGGTAATCATTGTTCAACATCACCAACAACAATAAAATCATTTTCATCATCACGTTTATTTAATGATGATACAAATACATCTTTACATTCATCATCAACAACAACAACAGCAGCAAATATAAAAAGTTCTTCTTATCAAGGTTTTATGGATCGTTGTATTGTTGAAGTTATGCGTGAATCATGTTCAAATAAATTAAAAGGATGGACATCATTTGGAATAAATAATGAATTAGAATTAGCATTTAAAAAATTAGATGATGGTCATCCACTTGGATTATGGAAATGTTCAGTAGAAATTGAAGCACCACCTATTGAAATATTAAATCGACTTTTAAATGAACGACATTTATGGGATGATGGTTTGTATTCAAATTTTTAATATTTTTTTTCTCTAAAAACATAATCATCAATTATAGTGGAGAAAACCAGACTCATCATTCATCCTAAAACCCATTATAATGAGAATAGAGGAATCTAATGCTAGCATATTATACGTGATGTTTTGTTATCGTCAAAGAGTTCGACTCCATTTCTGTTAAATGACAAATTTTGAAACATGTTGCTAACATCCATTGAAATTCATATTTAAATATATCAATAGGGTTGTTTTCCTTTGTTATTTTCGAATCATTATTTTCAGATTTTCAATCCGGTACAATTATAGAACAGTTAAATCAAAATACACATGTTTATCAATATACACTTAATTCAATGGTAAATATATTTAAATTTTTTATTTATAAAAAAAAATCTATCATATGTTCTATTTTATTTTTATCAGGCTCCTCTAGCATCACGATATTTTTGTGAAGTACGTAGTTGGAGAACAAATATTCAATTGAATTCAAATGGAAATTATCAAAATTCAATATCAATAAATAATAGTAATGTAATAACACTAACAGTTGGTTCATCATCATTGGCATCATCAAGTGCAATAGCATCATTTGATACAACACAAAATCCAAATAATCAAAAACGTGATGCTTGTGTACTTGTTTGTACATCCATTGAACATCCAAAAGCACATTGTCCACCAACACTTGGTATATTTTTTTATCGAGAAAAAAAAAAGAAACAACAATTTTCATGTTATGTATTTTTTTGTTTTATATTGTTTAGTTCGTGCTGTTACATTAGCTTCTCGATATTTAATACAATCTGTCGGTAAGAATTTGATTTTTATTTATTATAGAAAAGAACATTTTTGTTTTTTGTTTTAAATTTAATTTAGGTTGTGGAAAATCAAAAGTAACACATTTAAGTCGAGTAGATTTAATGGGACGTTCTCATGAATGGTATACGAAAGCATATGGGTCAATACTAACTCGATCGATAACGAAACTTAGAGATTCATTTATTCATTTAAATACGGGACCCGAAACAAAAGTCTGATCTTATGTGATTTTATGTCATTTGTAAATAATATCAGTGTGTGTATTATAAAAAAAAAACTAACAAGCATTTGCTTTTCTTTTTTCTTTTTATAAAGCAAATGAGACACCGCTATTTATTGGTTAATTAAACACAAATCGCGATTGAGTTTTTGAGTTTTTTCTTTTCTAGACAGATGTGGTTTTTGCTTCTGTTTAATATTGTTTTTCTTTTTCTTTTCTGTGTTTGTATGTTATTTTTTTTTTATGTGATCGACTGATATATTGAATGAGATTGAAAACAAAAATGCAGAAGAAAAAGAAGAACAGAATCTTATCTGAATCTTTAAAATGCATTTTTATATAAAATGTAACGAAAGATATTCAATACAGAATTTTATATCAATAAAAATGATGATCTTTTTAACAGTCATGATTATGATAAAAGAATTCAATCATCTATTCTATCAAAACTACTACCATTGGACGTTGCAAAACTTGTACTGCTTACTCTTCGGAAAATTAATTATGAAATCAACGAATGTAGTAATTGGGACTAGTATTTTGCAAGAATAAATTTATCTTTTAATTAAATTGTACTATGTTGTTCAATAGTACTTGTATTATCTTCGTAGAGACATTGATAATAAACGATATTGATAAAAAGTTTTTTCTAAAAAATGAACAATAATGTTGATTTCTAGAAAAGAAATATTTCTTTTTTGCAATTTTTCTAGCTAGCACTTCTCTATTTCAAATAAAAATCAGTGTACTCCAACAAAATACTTCGATTAATGTACACCATTCAAAACTTCACGCATTTCAATATGAAAATGATATATTAGCAATGGTATTAACTGCTATACATAAATATTCGATATATTCTTTTTTTGTGTCAAAGTTTCATCTCGTTAATTGATAAATATCTTTCATTATTCTTACTTTTCATAACTAAATAAACTAAAGACACTATTTTTAACATTGTTTTTCAATATAAATTTGCTATTTTCTTAATTATCTATTTTTCTAACTGATTGATAAGGTAAGTTAATGTGATTAAAATGATTTTATTTTCACTATTAAATGGAAAGAACGATTCCATAACGAATATGACTGTTAGACTATGACGTATTTTTTTTTCTTATTTCGATTTGTTATTTTCTCTGATAAACATGTGTATTTCCATTCTTTCTCTTTTTCTTTCTAAATCTATCCTTTATATAATGTATTCAATATATCGATATTTGTTGTTCAAAATTTCATCGTTTAAATTTGATTTTATATTCTATTCTAGATCGTTATTATTGTTTCTATTTTGAGATAAGCCAGACTCGGACAACAAAAAAAATAAATCCCCAATGGGAATTGAAGGTCTTCATCCATTGCTTAAATCAGCTATACACCGTGTTAATATAAAAAATGCTGAATTTCAAGGAACAACTTGTGCTGTTGATACAAGTTTTTTACTTCATCGAGGTGCTTATGCATGTGCTGGAAAATTAGCACAAAATGAATCGACTGATAGGTACGTAATTCTACATTTAAATTATGTTATTAAATAAGTTTGTTTAGATATGTTCAATATGTTACACGATTTATTGAAAGATTACTTGAATGGAAGATAAAACCTATAATGGTTTTTGATGGTTCACCATTACCAGCGAAACGAATAACCAATATTAATCGTAGCGAGTATGTTTAACATATTGAATATTGATATAAAACAATTCATTTTTTTCTCTCGTTTGAAGTGAACGTGAAAGAAATCGGTTACGTGGACAAAAAGCTCTTGCTCATGGTAAAACTCGTGAAGCTGAACAATTTTTTCAAAAAGCTATTGAAATTACACCGGACATGGTTTTAAATGTTATTCGAGTATGAAATTCAATTGTTTTTTTCTATTTTCACATTAATATTATATTTTTCTTTTTTTGTTTTAGACTCTTCGAACTATGGGTATCGATATTATTGTTGCACCATATGAAGCCGATGCTCAATTAGCATATTTAAATAGAGCAAAAATAGCTGATTATGTTATAACAGAAGATTCAGATCTTGTTCTTTTTGGTTGTCATCATGTTAGTAATGAAAAAGACAAAAAAACAAAAAACACAAGCAGATTTTCTTTTGTTAATATTTTATAATTTAAGATTTTATTTAAACTTGATGAACAAGGAAATGGTGAATTATTTGAAAGAACAAAATTTGATTTGAAAAAAGAATTTGGTCTTGATAGTTTTGAACGTTTTCGTTGGATGTGTATTTTATCTGGATGTGATTATCTTGAAAATATAACTGGAATTGGTTTAGTAAAAGCAAAAAAAATTATGAGTAGAACTCAAGTAACAAATATTGAATTGGTAATTTTGATATAATGTGTTTTGTTTTTTTAAATATTATTCTGTTTTTGTTTTTTGAAATAGATTCTTAAACAATTACCACAAAATCTTGGCAAATTAAATCTTCGTGTAACTGATGAGTATATCACAGGTTTTAAACGAGCACATTTAGCATTTCTTTATCAAATTGTCTATGATCCTATACAAAGAAAACAAGTACCACTTAATCCATTACCAGATGATGTTGATCATGATCAACTGAAATTTTCTGGACAGTATGTTAGCAAGATGTTGGCAATTATAAATTTGAGAAAGAAAAAATTTTTTTAATGCTTTTTTTTATCATGGTTGCATAGAGCTTGTCGATTTAATTCGAAAAATGTTATTTTTCACCTATTCAAACAATATTTTTATAGTGAAACTAAGGAAGATTATGTTAAATAAAATTGGAAAAACTTGTGTCAAAAGCACCAAGTCTTCAGAGCTTCAATATTTATTCGATATTCTTTTTTTTTTGATTTTACTTGCTATAGGGTTAGAAAAAATCAAGTTTTTCAACATGATAGTACAACATCATAAATATGCCTTTCTAATTCAGAAATGTTGACTATTAGATCTTCATTTCTAAATGAAACAAACATAATATTCAAAATCTATATCGAAAAGTCTATACAATATTTAAAAATACTTCAATTCATACACTCTCACTGTTTTTTTGAATCATCTAACCTGCGCTTCCCCTATGGTGGAAATTTAACAACAATTTATTTCAAATATTGAGTATACTATATGATGCAGATTCTCCCGTTGATTCTGAATATGATGTTTGTTTCATGTGAAAATGAAGTTCTTACACTCAGAATCTTTGAATAGGAATCCATATTTATTGTGTTTTGCTATCTTGTCGAAAAAATTGATTTTTCTAATTCTGTAGTGAATAAAATTAAAAAAATAAACAATATCCGATAAATATTGAAGCTACCGAGACTTCATACTTTTGACGTATTTCAGTGATTAGATCTTGTAGAAGTAAATTGATGGGCTATATTCAACTATAACAAAAAAACATAAAAAGTGTTGCTCAAATTTCGAATAGCCAACATCTTAACAATTAAGAAAATAAAATTGTTCGAATAATATCTTCATTTTTTAGACTTGATCACACACCACTTGCTTTTCAACATGCAATTGGAAATTTAAATGTAAAAACAAAATGTATCGTTGATAATTTTGATCCAAATCAATGGAAAGTAAGTAATTATTTAGTTATTTTTCTTCGACAAAAAAAAAAACCAAATTTTCTTTCTATTAGTATCGTTCACCTAGCTTATCATCATGTACTCCAGTACATCTGAAATCAATTTGGAGTAAAGAATATGCTATTCGTTCTCAACCCTTTTCATTAACATCAACACCAATAAATCAACAAAAACTTTCAACACCATCACCACCAAGAAAAATTCGTTCACAAACAGATCCAATATCTAAATCAACATCTGATGCATTAACATCTTCAACTATTCTTAATATGTATTTACCAATATCAAATGAAAATAAAATTGATATTACAACAAAAACTTCATCATCTATTGAATATCATACATCATTAATTCAAAGTATTGAAATTGTCAAACGACCACTTCTATTTAATCAATATGATAATGATACATGTAGTCGATTTTTTTCATCATCTGATGTAGCTAAAACAAGTGTATTTGATGCAATTAATGAGAATCAAAATATTATATCGACTAAAGAAAAACTTTCACCAGCTTATACTAATAAAAAATTTAAAGGATCAAATACGAATAATAATGATGATGATGATGATGATTATAATTCTTTATCACAATCGACAAGTCAAAGTTCAATTGATAAATTTACTACACCAACAAAACAAAATCGATTTGTATTAAAAAGAAAATCATCAAATATTGATAAACAATCATCACCAATAGATAATTCAGATATAAATATATTCGAACAAGATATAGAAATTGCTCGTAAAAATTTTTCTATGGAAAATAAATAAATAAATAAATAATATTATTATTTATTTAGAATCTTCATCAACATCATTAACAACTGAAGCTAAATCACCAGTACTTCAATTACCTCAAAATCTTCGAAATCACTTTACTAAACAAACGTAAGTTTAATTTTATTTTATTTAATTTTTAAATTCAATTTTTTATCTTTTTTTCTTCTAAGTGCATCTCGAATGGTTCGACTAACATGAACAAAAAAAAAACCTGTTTCTTGTTTCATATTTGTTATGTTATGCATGTATTAGCCATTCTCAAATATTTTTCTGTCTGTGCGTGTGTTTGACTTCTCAATAAGTTTGTTATGTATATTGTTCTTTCTTTCTTCAAATATCCACTATTTCTTTTTTCTTGTATCTTCTCTATTTCTTTCTTTTCTTTTTAATTTCTTGGTAGATTCGAATGAAACTTATGTGCGTGTGTGTATAGACAGATATTTTTTGGCTATGTTTATTATTATTATTATTATTATTATTTTTCTTTTGATGTCTTCAAGTACTCTCATATATTTTTGAAAATGGATAGAATTACATTTATGAAATATTAGTTTTCATCCGAATCATCAGGAGAATGTTCACATACACCCCAACCTGACATTCGTCGTTGAGTAGTTGGAACGATTGTTGTTGTCGGTGTTGCTAAAGTTGATGAATGTGTCTTAGTCTTAGGTAATTGATGATTAGTAACTTCAGCAGTATCAGTTTGATGTTTATTTGTTATTGGTGATGATATACTTCGTGATGATGGTGAACGACGATCGTTTGATTCAAGTGTTTTTACAAAAATATCAGATTCCGACATTCGCGGTGTTTTCGTTTGTTTAGTCTTTGTTTTATAATCAGTATTAATTAATGGTGTTGTTGGTGGACGATGTCCTACAGTATCTGTATTGTTATCATTAATTGGTTGAAAGCGACTTTGTTGAAATGGATTTGTATCAATTACTTGTGGTGTTATATCATCCGGTGTCGATAATAATACTTGTTGTGGAGTGGATACATCTGATGTTGGTTCGAACCAATCATCGACAACACCAATACTTGATTCTACTGATCGTGTTGTTGATTGACGTTCGAATGAACGTGCTGTTTGCATAGCTAAAATAAATACCATAATGAATATTAATGTTACTTAAGATTGTATAAAGTAAGGAATGAACTTACCCGAAACTTGTTGAGAATAAACTTTTGATGGATTTTCATCATTGTTAATTATACTTCCACATACTTTACATACACTATCGGACTGTATCACAGGCATCGAACTTGTATTTCCTTTTCTCATTGATAAACTAAAATCTCCCATATATTGTCTACGTTTATAAGGTGCATCTGAATGTGATCTTGACAATCTATTTCGATATTTTTCTCGTCTAGGTTGAAATATATTTTCATCATTCAATATTTCTTCTTCTTTCGATTTAACAAATGATTTATGAATTTGTTTAGTACCACTTTTTTCTGATACATTATGAAATAATCTTTCATCATCATGAGATTTCTGTTGTTGTTGTTGTTGTTGAAGTTCGTCTGATTGTAAGATTTGTTCTTTATCACGTACTTGTCTAGCTATTTCGGCAAGTTTTTCTCGATGTTGACGACGTTCATTTTTATCATGAATACGTTGTTTATATTTAATGAATTGTGGTACATAAGGTTGTTCACGTTGAAAATCTTCTGAAATTGTATAGGTCGATGCATTTGTTGTTGATGATATATTTGATTTTGTTTTTATTGGTTTAATAAGTTCTTGTTCAAGTATATCACGATATGATCGAATATCTTTTCCTAATTTAACAGCTTGTTGATTTAAACGATTAGTAGAAACAAGATTTGTTAAATTTATATCTAGTGCTTGTTTTGAATCAGTTGTCTAAAAAATATTAATTAAAATTATAGGTTTTCTTTCTTTCTTCATTTCATGGAAAAAGAAACATTATTTACATCGTGTTTAGGTAAATTATCGCAAGTTGATCCAACTGTTGGTATTGTAAAAATACCATTAATTTGACTTTGATTAGATGCACGACGTTCTCGCATGTTTATCTCATTTGTATTTTCTATATTAACCTTAGAACGTGGTGAAATGATTGATTGTGATTGTAAATTAGTTGCTACAGTTTTTGAAACGATGTCAGCATTCTTATTATTATTAGTATTGTCTACGGATGTTTTAAATGATTTTGGAAATTTTTTTTGAAGATATTGAACAATAGCAACAGCTGGATCGGATGGCATTTGTTGTGCAAGAGTATGTGTCAATTCTTTCAATAAACTTTCAATATTGTTTTGTCTCCAGTAATCTTCTAATTTCGAAGACTTTGCCATGATTATATTTGTATGATGTTTTGTCAGTGCGTTATTTGAACAATATGATGATACATGGAAGACATTAATCTTGTTTTCTTTATGTTGTCCATGAACAACCGTCAATAGTAATCATACATATGCGACAAAACTATTGACTTGATCTGGCGACATCATCAGAACGAAAAGTCAAAGATTTCGTGAAACTATAAGAATGTAGTGAGACTTGTTGTTATGATGTAAAATCAGAATTGATCATGCTAAATATCAAACTAACCGATTATCAATTACTATAACTCACCCTAATATGAGAAACTAGCGTTTTTCAAGTTATTTTCAATAACATGCATCGCATCAACATCAGAAATAAATCTTCATAGATGCCTTTATAATTTTTCAAATAATTCTTACAATTAATAAGAGAAAAGTCTTCTTAAAAGATGACTAAACTATCTAAATCAACGAAAAGACAGACAAGTTTATATATCAATTGATTCAACGCAATTATATACAAGGAAAACAATAATTTAACGAATTAAATTGTTCTTTTTTTTCTACTGACAGTATACAGATTAGAATTAATTAAAAAAATACCATTATTTATAGTATTCCAAGAAGCAAAATATATGTTTAGTAAGTTTCAATTAGAAAACTATCAGTCAAGTCTGATTATTAAGATCAAGATAGAAATAAAGATATTTAATAAAAGAGTACATTCATACTATGTTTAATCTGATTACATGTACCATTAACTCATGACTTAAAACATTATCTCCATAAGCAAGAATATAGATATTTCACTTGGTCTAGCATTAATGACAGTTGAAATCCAAAAGATTCTAATTTTTAATTATCGAATTTAAAGAGAAAATGGTCGAGAAACCAAATAATCTATTTCCAATATTTTTAGTTGATCTCTTAATAACGTTTAGATTTCATTATATCATATAAGATAAAATTATTTAGAAGTTATAAAATTATAATATTGTACGAAGACGTGCCTATCTATAAAAGAATTAAAAATGAATTTCTACTACAATGATATAAAGTACATACGATGAAGAAAAATTTCAAACAACTAATTAATAAAAAAAAAAGGAAAAAAGTGAGTATGCATTTTGAAGATGGTAGTATACTCCTAAATAATAAAAAAGGTCGAAAGAGTTCTGTTGAGTTTTGATCAACTCATGTATATCACAGATCTGCTTAGGTTCTTTTTCTGTAAGGAAATAAAACAATTACGTGCGAAATATTCTATGTTTGTTAATATGAGCGTGACAGGAAAAACACTTTTTTGTTGCTTAAATTAATTATAATTATATGCATGTTTAATAATTAAACAGAAAAATGTTACATTCGTCTAAAACATGATTTCAATTTGTAAGTATCCATTGTTCTTTGGCTATTTAAACATAGACTTTAAAGATACTAGAGGCTATTTCGAGTAACTATTCAAGAAAACACTTGTTTGCATGTAAAAGGAGTCTTCATACGAATTTCATCGCGAGGGTAACTTTCATTCGATTACTCTTGAACTGTTATTACACATCATCCATAACAATATTTCTTTTTACATCATCCATAGACGTATACCATTTGAGTTTTTTTCTTTAAAAAATCTATACATGTATGCATGGTGTTTATATAGAATGTAGACATTTTAGCAATCTTAAAGAATAAGAAAAATTTGTACTTAAAATAAAGAAGATGGATTCATAGTCGAATATTTTTCATTATCAATAATATTTCTTTTTTTGCCGATAGTCTATTCTTTTTACTATTTACAACAAGATATTTTGTTTCATGACTTAACATGTTTATTATTCGGTTGGCCAGAAAGTTTGTACGTTTTTTCTTTAATTTTCCTAGAACAGGCAAGAAAGTTTTAGAAGTTTCCATACTGAGAGTATATAAAGGGGGTAGAATTCCTTTCGAACAATAACAAAATCATCGATATGGACGTTGATCTTGAATTAGAATTGAAGATATCTCATAGAGACCTCTGGGTGCTTTTGCTTCATGAATTTTGTTTGGGTCACAAAGCAACCGAAGCAACCAGAAACATATGCAGCACGATGAGCAAGGATGTACTCTCCATTCGTACAGCGCAACATTGGTTCAATCGGTTCAAGAACGGTAATTTAGAACTCGACGATTTACCTCGTTCCAGCAGACCATTAGAGGTGGATTTGGATGTTTTGAAGCAACTCATCGAAGAAGATCCTAGACTGACTACACGGTGTTTAGCAGAGCGGCTTGGGTGCGTTCATGCTACAGTAGAAACACACCTGAAAGAATTAGGCAAAACGTGGAAATATGGTGTTTGGATACCACATGCGTTGTCACCGTGTCAGTTCCAACTTAGGGTTGACGCTTGCATGGAATTAATGACGTCTCATCGCAATTATCAATGGCTCCACAATCTTATTACTGGTGATGAAAAGTGGGTGTTGTATGTTAACCATACGCACAAGCGGCAGGTGCTAGGAACTGGACAAGCAGGTATAGCAACGCCCAAGAATGAACTTCATCCAAAGAAGATTAGACTGAGCGTCTGGTGGGGATTCAAAGGAATTATTCATGGGGAACTTCTTTCAACTGGTTGGAACATCACTGCTGATCTCTATTGTCAACAATTGGATCGAGTTGCAGCAAAACTCCATGGGAAGCAGGATAGAATTTCTTTTTTAAATGATAACGCCAGACCTCATATTGCAAAGTCGACACATGAAAAATTATTGAAGTTCGGATGGATTACGGTTTCACATCCACCTTATTCTCCAGACTTAGTTCCTATGGACTACCACTTGTACCGTTCTATGTCTGATTATTTACGTGAGAAAAAATTCGACGAAGAGAACGACCTCAAAATGGACCTTGCCAACTTCTTTGCCTAAAAGTTTCAAGACTTCTACGAGTGCAGGATCCTTTCTCTACCAGAACGTTGGCAACAAGTCATAGACGGTAATGGAGCTTACATTCTTGAGAGCTAATTGTATTCTTGAAGTTAAAAAATAAAAATAAAATTTTCAAAAAAACAAACGCAAAAACTTTCTCGCCAACCCAATATTATTATTACATTTTTGTTGGTTTTTTTTAATGTCATCGAGAACTTAGTGCTATGATAATTTTATCTTTATCCTAAAAAAAAAGTTTCATTCTATATTGACAAGATATTTGTTTGAGTCTAACAAACACTAAAACAGCGTATTTTATTTATCAGCAGTGTTACATAAACGGATCAAATATTTAGAATTAGATAAAATGCCTGTGTTGTCTGAAAAATCTAGAACGATGGAAAAAAAACCTAGAAAAAAATCCATTGGTATGAATGAAGCGAAGTCAGTTCAACATTTTATGATTTTGCTATAACAGCACTACTTGAATTCCCTGACATCGGAATTCAATCTTGAAAAGCGAACAACTGCAAGTCGAGCTGCTTCATTCGTGGCCCCGCAATGTTTTACAAAGAGCACACGGTTACATATGAGTACTTCGAAACTACTTATTATTTAAAATTAAATGGAGTCTCATGGGTTCCATAATTTCCAAATTCATAAAACTTACTCATGCATTAAGGATTACACTGAAAGCTTTTTTCTAGATTTTGCGATATATTCATATTATCAAACAGATATAGAGTGAACTACTTCTAATTAAATTTACTGTATGATTTTTTCTTTACTAGATACACTAAAAAAATTCAATTCATAGTTTTTTAAAATAATGTCGCTGAACTTATCTCATGCTCATATACAATCAACTACGTCTTGAAAGTTTAAAGAAAATATAAATTAATTGTTTACTTGTTGTTATTAAGTTACATACAGTTAAATATTCGTTATGTATTAATAAATTGTTCAAGTACGTCATGTACATATATATTTTATTTTTGAATTTATAAAATAATCTAGAAATCAATGTAACTGTTCGAATATATTTTATATATACGACTAATATCATTTCTATGTTTCTTTTTGTAAGTGTATCACTTAGATTTATTTTTAAATATAAGAAATATACAAGCATCTATCATTTGTCAATTTTGATTGAACAAACAAAACTTGATAAATTGTTTAATTTTCATAGAATTACGTAGGATAGATTGATAAAACAAAATCAAGCATTTCTTGAAACAAACACATCAAATGACGTTAATGCATCACATTAGGGATGTCATATAACATTAGAAAACTGTCATCGATATTTTCTAGCTAAACCAAATGATATCATAGTAATAATATTTTCTTTTTTAACTTTTATCTGATATATTTGTAAAAGAATAAATAGTAAAAAAAAGAAAAAACTAATTTGCATAATGTTCAAAGGCTAATCATATAAAAAAATTTAATGAATGCGAGAATGTTAAAGAAAAACAAATATAGAGTTTCAAAACAATTATTATATAAAATGATATTGCTGACAATAAAAAAAAAACTGAGTTGGCGGATGTGCTAATATGTAATATGTGCTGACGTGACATTATTCATAGAAAAATGTAAAAAGTAGAATATGCCCACGTATACAGTCACGAGAATTTAAACTTAAATCTCAATTTGTTCGAGTAAATTAGAGAAATTATTCATGTTAAGTAAGCTTATCAAGTCATTTTCGATATATATACATATATATAAGTTTCTTATTTATTAATTATTTATTAATGAAGCGTAAGTTTAAACATATGTATATATTATAGAATTTAGACTAAATGAATGCAATCAGATCAATGATTAGATTGTATGCTAGATAGGAATGACGAATGGAACTAGAAATAAAAGATATATTTTATTTATAGATAAAATAATTTATACAAAGCAAATTAAACAACTTCTTCTGATTGCCTCTAATAAACAAACTTGGTAAAAAAAAGAAGGACAAATGTTTGTTGTTCAAGTAAAATGTTTTTCTAGTATATTGTTATAGTAAGATTCGATAATTGATGACAGAAGTATAATTTTTGTGTCTTTGTTTTTATATATCACGAAGATAGTCTATTCATTGTGATACTCTTGATTACAATAGAGATCATTCTCACAGCAAAAAAAATTTTTTATTTTTGAAATTAATTATTTCATTATGGTATTCGTATAATATTTAAAAAAATAAATTTTAATTATATACATTATAATTGATAATATGTTTTATTAATTGAAAAAGAGTCGATATTTTTTACTATTGAAAAGATAAATATCTTTTTCATAACAATTATTAATCTCTTTTTTTTTCGTTTTGTACTTGAACTTGATTATTCAAATCAAAATTGACGAAAGATTAGTATACTATATCGATATATAAATGTATCAAGTCGAGAGACATTATTTGTTTGTTAAGAATAGCTCTACGACTATTGACATTGTTTTCATAGCTTACATAGGGATCAATCGCTCGTTGTTCACTAATGAACAAATCCACGGTTGTATACATTTGCCTTGTAGATGGCTTTTTTTTTTCATTGTTCAAATATATCTTTTACTGATATATGTTTATATATATGTATGTATGTATACTGTCTAACGGATAAAGCTAGTAATAGCATCGAATAAATAAAAAGGAAAAAAATGTTTGAAATAAAGTACAAATTAAAAGAAAATTCGATAATAAATAATTTCCATGATTTTTAACATCAATATACACTGTCTTAAGATGTTGTATTTCATTAAATGATGTTGTTATTTCATTTGTACTTGTCAATTCAATTATTGTAGAATTTTCAATTGAAATTTCTTCTTCAGTTTCAATTATAGCTGGTAATGTAGTTGTGATTGGCGTTGTAGTAACTAGTAATGTTGTAGTTACAATCGTTGTGGTTGCGATTGTAGTAGTAGTAGTAGTACTTGAGCTCGAAGTTGAGCTTGTAGTAGTAATAACAGTCGTAGTCATACTAGTACTACTACTAGAAGTAGTGGTCGATGCTGTTGTTGTTGTCGTTGTTGTTGCTGTTGTTGCGATGAATATCTTTATAGTAGAGGTGCTAGTAGACATTGTTGTTGTTGTTATTGTTGTTGATATAGTTGAATTCAAAGGAACATCAAGAGCTAAATTTAATCGTGGTTGAGATGGTGCTTGTTGAAATCGTTGGCATGTTGATACATCTTGATTACACATTGGTCGTTGACATGTACAATGAGTTCGATTATTTTGTTCACGTTCACCAAATATTAAACATTCATAATGATACATAGACTTAAATTCCGTACGTATACGACAACTACGACATTTATGACGAATTTCAAGTGGATATAAACTGGAATTAGAACCATGATAACATGCAAAATGACGTTTTGATGTTACTTCATAAATACATCGTTGAATATTTGAATTACATTGATTAGAATTACAATAACAATGTGTTTGATCGTAACCATATAATGGACCGTCTAATTCTCGAGCACATTGTTGATGAATTATTGTATCAACATCACGTCGACGACGACGACGACGACGACGTTTTGCTTCACCAAATAAAAACAGTTCTTCTAATGATGGTTCAGCATATGATGTAAACATATTTTTTGTTAAAGTTGTCGCTTTTGTTGTTGTACTAGGTGTAGATAAAATTGCAGGAGCAATAAAAATAACACATGCTCGACAATTTTCAATTATTTGAAAAGATCCATTGATATCTTCATTACAACGTAAATTTATTGCAATGATGATATTGATTGATTGAGTTATTAGTAATAATAACCAAATTGAAAACATATGAAACATAGAAGAATATCTATTCTTTTTTTTTTGTATTGAAAATTAATAAACAGAATAGCAAAGAAGATTGTATAGATAAGATGAATTATTTTTGTGATGTATAAAAGAAAAGGCTTTTCTTTTTATATCATATTTAAATAAAGAATGAATAAACTTTCATTGTAGATGCACTTTTGAAGAAAAAAAGATAAAGATGAATCTGTACAAGGAGGTGATGATGATCGTGAACTTCTCAACGTAAGCTTAACGCAAAGTGAGCAACTGTACGTGTGCACATCCTATGTATCTTTCTCTTCTTTCTTTCGGTTTTTTTTTCGTTTTGTTTGTTCAAAGATTGCTCTTGCTGTCTTTTGTGTGTGCCGTGTCTTGTACTTTGTCGCACACATACATCCACCATGAATTATCTACCCAATTGTCTCGTTGTATTGCATATATATATAATAGAAAGTATCATATGACATATAGATATTTATGAAAATGAACATTCCAAGCATGTTCAAGGTTATTGTTATCAAGAATATTATAGAAAGATTCATAATTGATCTAACAAAATCTATACATATTTGTTATTTGTGATAATTAAGAATATGAAATGTTCGTCTTTGATATTATATTGAATACGATTGTGTTGAAAGACGACAGATATCGTTGGCGTAACTGCTAATGGAGTTTGCCCATCGTGCATTTATCAATGATCCATGAGATGTCCTTGCTCAAATTATCATGCCCGTCTTTCTTTTTTTTTTCCTCTTTCTATTCTGATGCTACAAATGTCCAACCTTGACTTATGATAGAAAGGAGACGGGAAAAATTCCTGATACCAATGCTATGCTGTTGCCCATATCAAAGGCGGAAAAAGCCAGAGATTGTCTTTTTGTCCGTCAATATGCTGTTTCTTTTTTCTTTCGTATACCGATATGACAATGAGACAGACGATTCGAACAGGTAACTTGGAAGAAGAAGAAGAAGAAGAAGAAGAAGAAGAAGAAGAGAGCATGTTTGATAGGAAAAAAAATGCTAGATGAATTTTCTTTCTTTGCATGTTCGTCAAACTCTCGCTAACAGTATGATTAAAGAAGGAACAAACGAACGAACAAACAAGCGCACGATCGATTTATAAGCCTTGTCTACATGGCATTGATGAGTATGAGAGTAGCACATCGAATAATCATGACATGCTTTTCTTATGTGTGTGGTGTGCCAGTCACATACATACACAGATACACGAAGAAATGCGGTATGTGTCTGTGCACACTTGAAACGGGAAGAGCGTCAAAGAAGATGTGTTGAAGAGAGGGAAAAGAAGAGAAATGGGTTGAAAGGAAACACTAGTACTTCTTCTGCTTAGTGAATGCCAAGTTATCTATTTTGTCATCCAACCACATATATTCTACTGAAGAAGAACGAAGAGATTGAGATAGAAAGAAAGAAGAGTCCATTTTCCTTTAGAAAATGCGCTGTCGCTATACTTCTATCACCGTGCTATATCAACAACAACAACAGTCTCATCGTTATCATCGTCTGTTGTTGTTATTGTTGTTGTTGTTCTGCTCTCTGCTCCTACTGCCATTGCTGTGTATTTATGTGCATTCCAGAGATCGTCATTCGTCGTCGGTCTCGTCGTATATGCGGCGTATTTATTAGTATTTTTAATATTTCTCTATTTTTTGCTCTTTTTTTTCTCTTCTTTCACATACACTCGCTCTGTTTCCCCGTTATTGTGCCACACGCTTGCGTTGCAATCAGTCGAGGACGACGACGACCGACGACAATTCCTTCCGTATTACTCTTCCTGCGTTTCTTGCTTCTGCTTGTTCTTCCTCTTCTTCTATTTCTTCTACTTCATCTACATTTTTAGCTTCTTCTTCTTCTTCTTCTTTGCCTGCTGCTGCCTGTGAAAAAAGAAAAAAACAGAGGAAGAATCCAACGTGTGTAATGCGCTCACAACCTAAAAGCAAAAATAAATAAACAGGCGCGTGCGACACAAAGCTCGGAGACCACCAAGTCTCTTCTTCTTCTTCTTCTTCTTCTTTTTCTCGTTTTCTTTCTTTCCCTGATCGCCCTCCATCGTTGTCTGGAGTAAGCTTTTGCCATGCACGCGGGCTTGTATTGTGATGCAATTTCAAGTATAGATAGTTTCTTTTCAATAGACAAAAAGAGACGCACTGAAACTAAGACATCAGTAGCATTATTTTGTGACAATAGGCAAAAAAGAATACTGTTTTGACAGTTGATGAGTAATGACGTGTGTGATCAGAAAATCTGTGAAGTTCATTGTTTTTTTTCTCTCTCTCACAATGTTCCTACTAGAAAATTCCTATCGTTCTGATTGAGTACGTGAAGCTCATGTCATGTTTTTCTTTTGTCTACATTTATATTTGTAGATGAGGGTAAAAAAAAAAGAAAAACAATATGTGTGACACGACTACAGAATATCGCTAACAAGCAGCAGGAGGGGAGTGTTTGATCGAGGTTTTTTGTCTTTCGGGCAATACTGTGCTTGCTTGTGTATTTCTTGTGTGCGATTTCCGTTTTTTTGTCTTTTACTTACTCATATTTAGTATTTTTAGCCCAAACGCACATGGCAGCATCATTGTGCATCACTGTATTTTACTGGAAATTGATCAACTTGTGAAGACAACACATTCAAATTTGCTGCTACTCTTCACAACATCATAGTTGCACCGTCGTCCTTCTCATTTCCTCCTCCTTCTTCTTCTTCTTCTACTGCTACTACTAGTGCTATTACAAAGATTCTGTGTGACCCCCTACCACTTCTTCTTTTTCAATATTCTTCTTTTACTATCATCGACATCGTCGTCTTTGTCGTCGTTGTCGATGCTGCTGCTGCTGCTATTGCCGCCACTGTTGATCATCATTGAACGGACGCCCGAATGAACGTCGGAGTGAATGGAGGTCGCTTCGATTTTGATGACGGCGGTACCTATTGTGGGGGATGGAATGATGGTAAAGCACATGGACACGGTGTTTGTACAGGTCCTAAAGGTCAAGGTGAATATTCGGGTGCATGGCAATTTGGTTATGAATTTTCGGGCATCTATTTATGGGTAATTATATTTTTTTAATTAATTTTTTTTTAAATAACTCACTGTTATTAATATATTATTATTATTACAGCCGGCAGGAAACTCATATGAAGGACAATGGATGAGTGGAAAACGACATGGATTGGGTGTTGAGAAAAAAGGAAGATGGATATATAAAGGCGAATGGACACAAGGCTTTAAAGGACGATATGGTATACGTGTATCGGATATTTCAGGCGCTAGATATGAAGGCACATGGGCAAATGGCCTTCAAGATGGATATGGAGTTGAAATATATGCAGATGGTGGTATTTATCATGGTCAGATACAACAAGGATTACGCCATGGTTTTGGTATCCGACGAAGTGTACCATATGGTGTTGCATCACGTTATCGATCAAAAGATGTACGCGATTCTTTAACATCACTTCGTTCAGAAGAAGATGATGAACGAACACAACGTGAGTATCTTGTCATTTTTTTTGCTTTATATTAAGATTCATTAGAGTAAAAAACAATATATGTATATATTTTTTTTTCTTTCTTTTAATTCATCTATTTAGGTGAACGAGACAAACGTATGGATGACAATCGTGGTGGATTTGTATTACGTTCAAGATCTGAACCACATGATCCATCATCTCGTAGTGCTAGTCAAGGACCACGTCGTGGTTCATTATCAAATAGTGCCGACCGTCGTACATCATTACGTAAAACTCTTCTATCAAAATTACGTAAACAAAAATCTACGAGTGATATTGAAGATTTATCGATAACAAAAAAGACAAGTTCATTTCGCTCAACAGCAAGTACAGTTAGTGGTGATTCAAAGCATTCAGTTAAAACAGCTACAATAATGTCATCACATCCAAATACACCCAATTCATTTGGTACATTAGATGATGGTGATCATTCATTTATATCTCAAGATGATATACTTGATAATAATGTTGTTGAAACATATATGGGTGAATGGAAAGCTGATAAACGTACTGGATTTGGTATAGCTGAACGTTCAGATGGTTTAAAATATGAAGGTGAATGGTTTAATAATAAGAAGAATGGTTATGGAGTTACAACATTTCGTGATGGTACTAAGGAGGAGGGAAAATATAAAAATAATGTTTTGGTAACCGATAAACGTAAACCAAGTAAATTATTTTTAATTCGTTCATCTAAATTTCGTGATAAAATTGATGCTGCTCTTAATCATGCAATGAAATTTGCAACATCAGCACAACAAAAGGCTGAAATTGCTATGGCGAGGTAAAAGTTTAATAAAAAAAAAAACAAAAACTCATATTCTTTAATATTAAAAAACATTATTATTTTAGAGCAAATAATGCTCGTTCAAAAGCTCATTCAGCTGAAATTTATGCAAAACAAGCTCGAAATGATAGCGTTGAAGCTCGATCATGTGCTAAAGCAGCTGCTCCTGATTTTCGTCAACCAGGTTACAAAAAAAACAACAATAACACTTATAAACAAAACAAAACTATTTAATCTTATTTTTGTTTCCATTTTTTCTTTATTAGGTGAAGAAAAACCACAACCATTTATCTCATTAGATATTGATCGACAAATTGATGGAAAATCACTTCCAAACAATCACATCAATATCAGTCCACCAAATGGTCGTTTACAAACGCCATCAAACTATCCTCCAAATAGGCCAATACCATTACCATCACATATACCTCAATCTCATCCAAGTACAACAACAACACCTTCATCATTGCCACTAGATGGTGGAGTTTATCAAGGTCTACCACCAACACAATCTACTAATCGGAATGCAAATACAAAAGTAAAATTATTTATTTTAAAAACTAACTTCTTTTTCATTTAAAAAAAAAATTAATTTAGCCTTTTGGATCACCATCTTCTACAATTCCCATGCATCAACAATCTCAAGATTATTATCGTGATGTTAATCAACTTCAATCACATCATCCACACAAAACTACGCCAGCAACACCCTACAATGAAACATCCGATTCACATACAGGTTTGAATTCATATGTAAAATGAAATAATTATCTTTTATAATTTCAAACAATCAAAATTTATAGCATACAGAGTATCATTTTAATTAAACATGATTCTCTATATTATTGAATATTTTTACAATAGCATTAGAATTTTTATTAAAGTAGATTGAGTTTGTAAAGTACATCAAATCTTATTGAATAACCTTAGTGTATTTAAAGCAAAAAATCTAAAAATATAACAATGAAATAGAAATAGATTTAACCCATTTGTTTTTCCTCGATGATTCTATGAATAATTATCGTTATTTTATGATTATTATCAATAGTACAAATATAAAGATCAAACATTAATCATTTTCTATTAGACAGCTGGAAAGAAAAAAACAAAAAAATATTCTCCATTATAAAAAAAAGAACAAATGATATTTTAAAAAAAAATGATTTCTTTTTGCTTTCCTATTGAAATCTATTAGAACAATTAAAGACTATTGAAAATACAATCAGTAGAACAAAAGTTTTCAAGAACATTTTATTCCGGAACATTACCTTCGGAAATGTGAATATTTCCTGACGTTTTTTTTTTTTGTTTTCAAGTTCTATTCTCAATCTAATAAATGTTTTTTTTAGAAGTTTTTAATGCAAATAGATATTTTATCAAAAAGAATAATGTCTAAAAACAAAACAAAACAAAAAATTTAAATATGACTATTTATATTAATATAATTATCTTCTAGGTGTATCCGTGTCTAAACATCATTCTAATTTAACTCAACAATTACCTCCCGATATTTTAATACCAAATAATTCAAATTATGATTATGGTCGTAATGCAACAATACCAACGAATTTTAATCCAGTATCTCCATCACGATCATCTCCTTCACAATTTGTACAGAATGCCGTCGGTGTAGGACAACGCTCAACATCTAAACGAAATACATTTAAAAGGACTACTCGTGTCGATGCATCAAACGAGGATCTTCATGATCCACAACAATTTATTGAACATCCTCATCAATTAAAACAACATGAATATAATCAACCGTCGTCAAATATTCATGCTCCACAACCTATACGTCATACATCTGGTCAACGATCAAATTTACCACCATATATGTCTGGAATTAATACTAGTAGTGTTCAACATAATCTTATATACGGTGCTCATGATTCAGGTTTAAATTTAGTTGATACAAATTTTGATTTTGAACAACTTCATATACATTATTTAGGTAATCAAAATTATCCATCAATACCAAAAACATCAATGGTTGAACAATATGAAGTTCCACAACCAATTCCTATTCCAAGACGAAAATCTTTACCGAGTATTGTTAAAACTAAACCAGGTGATTATAAAATCGATGAAACCGCTCGATCAAGTGATAATTTACAAGAAAAAGAAACATTTATTATTGAAAATGGTATACGTAAACGTGTCACTGGATTAGCACCCACTTATACAGAAAGTGGTACACCTATACCACAAGCAACTGTGATGACGAGCAGTAGTGGTTCACCTACTCTTGCTCGTCGTGTTATTCTCGAAAGTGTTAAACGAGTTGATGGACCAACATCAACTACGAGTGGTACCGGTGGAAATCAACGTGGTAGTATGCCAACAATTGTTACTGTTGCTAGACAACGTCAAGCAGCTCCTAGTAAGTTTATTAAATAAAAAAACTGTTGTTTTTTTTTGGAGGAATTTAAAAAAAGCAAATGTTTTTTTTTAATTTCTAGGTATATCAAGAGAAGAAGCAACGATACTCGGTTCTCAACGACGAGAAGAATTACGACGTTTACGTGATCGTGATTCAACTACTTTTGGTCGTCTTAAAACTTTGTTACAGGTATGAAAAAAAAAGAAATTTTCTTTTTCGCATGTCGAATGATTGCTAATTGTTTGAACATATTATTTAGCCATGATAAATAGATAAATAGCAAAAAAAAAAAATTTATTCTATTTTAAAGCAAATAGATAGCCGAGTGTTGCTTCATCTATCTTTTGTAATCCAGCTATTTAAGTTTTCCAACTACCAAAACTATCTCCCATTTGCTATTGATCTTTTTTTTTTCTTTGCCTTGTTTCTCTACTACTATCTTCAATTAGAAACAAAAATTCATTTCGTTGGACCTTAGTTTGTTGTCAGTTGCTGTTAATGATTAACATCGATCACATCCATATTAGCGTATGTCAGCAAAAAAAAAAAAAGAAAAAAGTATCAAAATAATAACAAACAGAAAAGAAGAAAGAAAATTGCTTGAGTTTGATCAATAATAAAAATCTATCATGGGAATATATAAGCAATAGTTTTTATCTCGAGCGATTAAGATTAGATTTGCATGTGCATGTTTTCAGTCTAAAACTTCTACTACTGGTTCAACTAACACCGCCAATATGCATGTATCTACTCAAGAGACATCAGTACAAACGGACGATCGTGTTGGTGACATTCAGGTACATATATATGTGTAAAGATAATATTTATTGTTGTGTCTTAATGATAGTACTGAAATGACATCGATTAAATTTTTATTTTGTTTTTATTGTTGTTTAGAATGTCATCTATCGAAATCGAGTGTTTATTGCCATTTTCTTTCTAAATTTATCCCTTGCTCTTTGGTTCATTCAATTGTTGAGATGATATGATGATGCTTGTTACCCATTATCGTTCGTTTTTTTTTTTTTGCTTTTTTTTTTCTTTCTCTATTTTTTTCTTCTCTTTGTGCGTATATGTATGTATGTGTGCATACAGCTCAAGGTTCTTATTGCCTATTGCTGCTATTGCTGGTAGAAATACAAGAACAACAACAAATACTACTATTACTACTACTATTACTTCATTGCGGATAAACAACGAACAACGAAGGTTTTCTTTCTTTCATGCATTTTCTCTTCTATTTTATTCTTTCATCGTGTGCGTGTGTATAGAAAACAAAAAGATTGTTGCTCTGTTGTTAGACATAACAATAAGATGATGATACTAGCGACTTTCGGATCGTTGTTTTGTTGCAACCGCACAATCTCTTCTTTCTTTTTTTTTTTATTTTTATCGATGCTCTTCCGTGTGTGTATGTCTGTGGGTGTATGATGCACTCCTTTTTTTTTCCTCTATTTTATGCTCTCTATTTTTCTTCGTCCTGTATGATAGACACAGACACAACACAAAAAGAGAAAAAATATGGATTTTTTTTCTTTTTTTGCATTTGTATTTTTGTTTTTTTTTGTTCTCTTTGTATACGACAAACGCACATAAATACGCACAAATAGAGAATAATTTTTTTTTTCTTTCTTTTTAATTTTAATGGAAAAAAAAAATATTTGAATTGAAGAAAGCGATGAATTTTTAACGAGTTAAATGAGAAGATTATTGATGTGAAAAATGATTTGAAAATTGAAGAAATATTGAATCAATAATCGACGAATTAAACTAAGCTAATTGTTTAGGAATTAATAAAAAATATGCAATGAGTATTTTTATAATATTCTCAAAGAAGATTAAAAATAACTTCAAATATCATTTCTAATTTCTATATTCAAAAATCAATAAAAAGTTTTTTCTTCTTTTTTCGAATATGCACTAACTCTGTTATCTTTCTAAATGCTCCTTGATGTCAGATTAATAACAAAGTATTATAAAAGTTGACAGTCAGAAGCGGACACCATTCTTTGAGGAAAAAAAAAGAAATGCTAAGTTCCGGCTTCATTTCCATGCTCAAATAGACTCACTTCTCTGCCGTATATAGTGTCTATGTTAAATAGATATTTGATATAGTCATTTTTGGAAGTCTGTGAATACACTCGTTTGATAATATATTGAGAAAATATTGAGTTTTCTTTCGATGGAAAATTATAAAATTGTCAAACTGAAATTTGAATGAATATATGTATACAGAAAGATTTTCGATGCCTTTATTTTTTTGATTGATTTTGACGATATTATTGAAGCGTCGAACAGCTGCAAAATAAAAAGAAAGAAATTCTATTGATATAAAAGCTATGAATAGTTAAAGTACTTATGATAGTTTTTTAAGAAATACTCTCAGCATTAGTCGAGCTAATAAAACAACAATCAATATTGTTCCTCTTCTTTTTTATTTATATTTTCAAAAAAAAGGTAAGAATATTTGAAATTAATTTTGAACATTATAGATCTAGAATAAAATTGCGCATATCAAAATATTCTATCTGAAACTAATGACTAATCTGTATAAATGAATATACTAATGATGACTGATTTTTCTATTATATTCAACAAATTATCCATGTCATTTCATATATAAAAATGAAAAGAACACGCACAAAAATATATATATATATATATATATTGTATTGGAAACATGATTGAATATATTCTTAAAAAACAAAGTTAACAATGCAATTTTTCTATACAACCAAAGAATGTTCATATGGAAATCAAAAAAAATGTATGCTTGATTAGATAACAGAAGATATGCAAAATATTCGAAATAGATTGATTCGAATATAATTAAAATAATGAATTAAAGTCTAATTAATGATAAGACATCAAAGCTTGAGTGAACAAATATTAAATACGAAATAAAAATGACCTATTTAATTAAAATTGATGAATAGCGTACATCCGAAAAGAATATACGCATGCAAAAATTATTAATCTATTAACAATCAAGATAATAAAAATTCATGTATATATAAAGTAATTTGACAATGTAAAACAGCTTATCATATACTCATATTTCTTACTTTGAAATCCGCCCATGACAAAAAAAAAGACTTTTATCCTATGATTTTTTTTAATTATATTGTGAAGTACTAATATAACATTCGATTATTATTATTTTTTTTTTTTTTCTAAGATCATGTTTTCAAAAGTGAGTAGATATTATAAAATGAATAGTTGTTAATATCGATTTTTGTTTTGATTAATAATGATGATAGACCAAAAAATCTTATATTATTAACTTTAAGATCCTTTCAAAACTTTAGTGGAAATGTTCTTAATTTCTTTCTTGTCAATTTCAATTATAATATTATCTTTGTTAGAAATTAATTTTTATAATTGATAAAAGAATAAAAGATGAGCAAAAGATTAGAAAACAACATTGTTCACTCGTATAAGAGGATGTATTGAGGTAACATGATAGAAAGTTCTATCTTGGTCTTTTTTGAACAGCGAATAACATTAAAGTATTTCACACATTTTCAATTTACGACATTAAAAAAAAATGAACTCAACATTTTTTTTTTTCTATGGCATAATAATCTTCTTATAAATAGTTTTTCCCTATATAATAGACTAGCATGATTAACAAAAGAATTAATTCACATTATATATGCATTCCATTACTCGCACGTTTTTGTCTACTGATATGTAAAATATTGACTGCTGAGTTTTTTCAATTATTTTCCAGCTATGAAAAATCATTCATTAGAATATTTGGTATGTAATTATAACTGAGCATTAAAAAGTAAGTTATACTGGATGAAAGTAAAAAAAAAACAAGTTTTCGTAAATCAATAAAATTATTATAGTAATTTATAGCAAGATTAAAAATCAAACCAAAATTTTTCATATCTTTATTGTAATAACGCAAGATGACATAAACAAAAGACACAATTACTGTCATCTTTTATATCTTATTATTAAAGGAATACAATCAAAAAATCATATAGTTCTCAAGAGATGATGTAGGCGACACTAATACAAAAAAAAAAAGAAAATTATGATGATGTCTTGAATAACAGTATGTGTCTCTATACAAATTGATAAATAATTTTTTTTGCTAGATTGGTTATTTTTCCTTAATATACTGGGTATACAGAATTATGGAGCGCATAAAGCGTCTTTACATATAAATATATATATATAGATATATCATCAACACATTTCTTCTCCCTTTATACATGTTTAATCACTTGTAATGCTCGACACAATCGAATAAAAAAAAAAGTATTCAGTAACAAATAATAATAGTGTTTAATGACGAACGACAGAAATACTCAGGTACAATATGTAAAAGTAAATGATTATTCGTACTTCCGAGTGTTTTTATATATACGAGAAAGTGATTAAATACTATCAGGTAGTGATGCACACATTTAGAAATAGAATTTCTTTATGTGTTATTAAATATGAGTAATAGCTAACATGTTGGAACCATTGATTGATCCATGAAAAAAGTCTGCAGAAAACAGGAAATTAAATAAAAAGAAACTTGGCAAAAAAAGTAGTAGGTAAAAAATACCCTTCATAGATCAGTCTTTAAAATCTTAAGTATGCCTTTATTGATAACCGGTAATAGAATTGCGTCCGTTCGCTTAATTCAATATATTGCCTGACTACATGATAAGATTTTTTTTTCTTCTTATTTTTTTTTAGAGTATTCATGGAAAGGGAAAAGTCAGAGAAACTAGATCTAATCTCTTTTAAAAGACAAGCATAAATTTTCAAATAATAGGTTTTCATAGAAATAGTATTAGGTTATATTTTTGATTTATATATATATATAATGATGAATTAATAAGTGATTTTTCTTTATCTTTTAAGCCTACGCATTTATCATATAAACATCTTGCACACAATAGAACCAATTCTCGTATGTTGTTTTATGCATGTTTTGAGGCAATACAATTGTTTTCGTGTATAAAAGCCTGGAAACGATGTGGAATAAAACAATAGCAAAAAGAAAAAAAAATTATGTTGCGTAGGTGCTGGTAGTTTTATTTATCTACCGTCATTTTTATTCATAGTTTCGTCATTGGTGAATAACGTATCAAGGGAATTTGTCATCGTCGTAGACGTGTTAAATAAGAAGGATTGACATTGTTCACTTTTTATGTCCTCAGGGCAATCTGTCACACTATAGTCTAATCATGTTTCTTTCGATGTTAAGCTTATAAAAAACAATTGAGAATTTCTTGTCATGTACTTATACTCTCTTTTATAGATGCTATTTCTTGAACGTGTTCGTACAATAGCTCTTTTATGTTTAACCGTATTTGGATGTACGGGAAATATTTTGACATTGATTGTTATTAATCAACAATTTTTTCGAAAAACTGCTTCAGCTGCTTTTATATCAGCCTTATCAATTGCTGATTGTATTGTATTATGTTTACAAAGTTTACAAATTGTAACCAAACTTCATCCACAAGTAACATCATATGATTGTGTAGTATTCTTTCTTATGGATGTATTTCGTCTTTTATCGGTTTGGATTGTTTGTTTTATTAATATCGAACGTTGTTCTTTGGTATTCAATCCATGCCATATGCCACGCTTAATTAGTCGTACTAAGTCACGCATATTTGTGATAATATTATTTATTATTTCTTTACTTATATTTAGTCATTATACTCTACATATGCATATTGAATATGTTAATAATTCTAATCGAACAGTCCCAATACGTTCATTTTGTGCATATAAACCAAATTTTCATCGTTTAACATGGGAATGTATAAGATCTGGTCTAACATATTGGTTTCCTATACCATTATGTATGATTTGTAATCTTATTATAATTCAACGTCTTCATCATGCATCACATATTGAACGTACATTAAATAATGAAAATTCTCGAACTAATCACTTAATTAATACAAATAAATTCAATTTATCAAGTAAACAACGACAATTAACAGCAATGCTTGTTACATCATCAATATGTTTTGTATTAACAGTAACACCATCAACAATACATACAATTTATTTATTAATAACAAGTAAATTTAATAATATTCAATATGCAATACATATATTTACAAATATTTTACTTCATTTTCATCATGCATCAAATTTTTTAGTTTTTATTTTTTCATGTGCTCGTTTTCGTATTGAATTATTAAATTTATTTCGACAATATTTTTATTGTCAAATTTATATGAAATGGTATAAACGTTCAATACCAAATACTGAACAAAATATTATTTATTCAACTAAACAACAAAAATCACCAATAAAATTTTTAACAACAACAAGAACAAAAACAAAAGAACAAAAACGAAATATTCAATCACAACATCATAATGGAATTGTTCTACATGGAATAAATAAGTATAAAAAATCTCAAAAACAGAGCATGCAACCATTTATATAAAAATTTCATATTCTTACGTTCTATAAAAAAAAAAGATATCTGCTATTAGAAACATGTATTTTTTTTATTCTTTTTTTTTTTTGTATCTATTCAAATCAACAATCTCATATCTTCTATCATAAAAATATAGATTTAATAAATCAAATTTATATTCAATATGACTTATCCTATTATGTCTAACAAACTATGGCTTCAGGATATTTTACTAACAAAAGAAATTGTAGTTGCGTGTGTGTTAATGCAAAAAGAGAAAAGTATACTTAGATATGATTCACTATATTTATAAAAAACTCTCATATCTAAGAGGTGGTACTTTATGAATTTATAAAAACTGTAAAACGTTAATGATTATATTCTCTTGATTAAAAAATAAATTTCTTTTAAATACGAAAAATCATACACGAGTGTTTATTTGTATCATAATTTTTTATCTTGTTTAAAAGATTCTAGTTAACAACAAACAATCGTTATATGAAATTCTCGGATAGTATAATAGAATTTATTTTTATTTTTTTATCGTTTGTGTTTTTAAAATTGTTAAATAAAATTTACAGACAACCTCATACAGAATATTAACAAATAATTGAAACCATTGACAAAAAAAAATAAAGAAATCACTTTCATATAATAGTAATCAAAGACAAAAGATTTTTTAAAATTTCATTTTCTTTCAAATTCAAATTTTATTAAGATATTAACAGAAAACATGAGAGTTTTTTCTTTTTCATTGGACTATTTTAGATTGCAAAAACAAAAAAAAGAATCTGGAACTGTTATTTGTATTTAATTTGTTCGCACCATCAGATAATTTAAATTTAATTCTATTTTCGATTCTTTGTTTTCTTCCATGATCACTTTTATCCATATAACGGTAATATATCCGTTGTTTATTTTTCGAATTTATACAAATCGAGGCCGAAACACACGTGTATGGTACCGTCGGTTGTAGAATTTACGCCATATCAATTCTCGATGATGGACGACTATTTCTATAGATAATAATGAAGAGAAAATAGTTTTATTCTTTAAATAGAGATAGAATCTATCGAATTCATTTCGTCTATCGATTCATTTCATCCTATTTAACCTCACACTGCACACACACACACAAACAAGTACATAACACATACTACTATTGTCTCTATTCTAACCGATCATGGCGTCTGCTAAGACTTCGAGAAAATCGAAATCATCAAGTTCTTCACCAAAAAAAGGTAAAATTGGATCACCAATAAAAAAACAATCATCATCACGACATCCAAATTATCAACGAATGGTTACTGACGCACTTCAAGAAGTAAATTATTTTCATAGTCTATTTAATTTTAAATAAAAATATTTTTTTCTCCCTTTATTTAGCTCAATTCGCGTACAGGTTCAACTCGATCAAAAATTTTGAATTATATTAGAATTACCTATGGAGTCGAAAGTGGTAAAAGTGTTAATGTAAGTTTTATTTAAGAAACCTCAATTATTCATTAATAGAAACAACTTCCTGTTTTAGAATCATCTTCGTTCTGCACTTGAAGGACTTCTTGAAGAAAGTATTATTTCACTTGCTAAAGGTAAATTTCTTATTTTGTTTTTTTTTTACTTCACATTTTTATATTTATAAATAGGTACAGGGTATAGTAATGGTTATTACCGATTAACACCTAAAGGAAGACGACAAAATAATGAACGATCGTCATCTTCAGTAAGAATTTTTTTTTTTTTAAGTAATCTTCTTAAACTTTCTTGATTTTGTTTTTGTTTAAGAAAAAAAATCAACGAAGATCATCATCTCAAAAACAAACTGATGGTCGTCGTAAAAAATCTTCGTCTCCTTCACGATCAAGATCTAGAAAACAAAGTCAATCTGATGGTCGACGACAAAATCGTACCGGTTCAAAAGGTCGATCAAAATCTTCAAATAATAATCAAGAAAATAATGCCGATCGTCGTAAATACAATAAACCACCACAAAATCAATCCAAATTATCAAATAAAAGTAAATCTCCTGGTCGTAAATCTACTAAATCATCTCAAAGTCAATCACGATCATCGTCCAAAAGTACAAAAGGTGATGGTCGAAAATACAATAAACCACCTCAAATGCAAAATCGATCACGTTCATCAAATAAATCAAAAACTAACAAGAAAAATCAACAACAAGAAGATGATGATGATAATGAAGAATCAGAAAATGAAAACCAACAATCACAACAACGTGGCCGAAGTAAAGGTGGTCGAAAACGACAACAACCATTACATGAAGGTGATGATAATCAACAATCACAACAACGTGGACGAAGTAGAGGTGGTCGAAAACGACAACAAGATGATGATAATGAAGAATCAGAAAATGAAGATGAACAACAACAACGATCCAAATCGTCAAAGAAAAAATCAACAGGCAAGAATAGTAAGAAAATTTATTTTTTTCTAGCAAATCAATTATGATTTCGATTTACTTTCTTTTATAGATGATAATAGTTATTCATCACCAACAAAAAAAGCTCGAAGTTCTACTGGTGGTTCTAACAAAAAGGCCAACAAATGATTGGAAAGAAAATCTTTCTCATTACTTTTTTTTTTGTTTGTACATACGTATCCGATGATAAAGTTTCGAACTATTTTTTTTTGCCGAGTACTTTATTGTCTTTTTCTTTGAAATATTATTGATCTTCTTTTGTATAGTATGTATGTTGAACCTATCGACTTTCGGAACTCTATATAGACATTTTTTTTTTGTTCTTTACTATTTATATTAATTAATCTCGATGAGCAGTGTGCCTCTATTTTTTTTTTTCGATATATTGTTGAACTTTTTTCGTGTGTGTGTTACTCGATTTTAACTATGGGAGTAAGAGAAAGATTAAAAATAATAATAAACAGAATTGATAAGAACAGCAAAGATTTTTTGTTATAAATGGAAGAAAAATACAAGATTTCACTAGGTATTTAATGTTGTTAATCTTTCATGAAAAATGAATACAGTGTAGAACGCCGAATAATTTATATATACAATAGAACTGCTGATGACATTGGGTATATGTTCGTTATATTATTTATTAGAAAAAAAGTATGATAGCAAGTAAGAAAAGGCAAGTTAACGGCTTCAACTATGTAAAATTTTTTGTTCTCTGCAAGTTTCTAATTAATATTTAGCGATTTTAGACACTGAAATAATATATAATATATATGAATGATGGATAGAAAAGTCTTTTTTCTCCATCCGACGATTTTTAGTTCAATGCCGAACAAAGTATGAAAAGGATTCCTCAAAGACTAGCAACAGTTGTATTTTTGTTAGTTTTCGGGAAATATTCTAAATTACTCATTGAAAAATATTTCATTAATATTATCACACAGAAGAGTCTGGGTGTGGATACTATATACTTCAACACTTCAATACTAATTTCCAATTATATTTTATAAAATATAAAATACCGTGAAGAACTATCCATTAGGAAATAATGAAAATAATAAAAAGGAGAACGTTCGACGCTCAAACGGGCACGCCACACGATGTTCTAAAAATTATCTCTTTCTAATGACGAAAACGTTTCGAGAAAGAACTCTTTCTTTAACTTGAGCGATTTCAGTGTATTGTCACAATCTTTGTACGAGTACTCAGAATATCAACATGACAACGGCAATCGTCATGAACAGACAGCAAAAGATAATTGTTTGCTTTTCTGATATATGTTGTAGCCTACCATTTTCCTCATCGATAGTAAAGACAAAGATCGATCAATGTTCTCGGCAAATCATTCAGTTTTTCGAAGCATTGTATTAGTGTCAACCATTTGAAATATACAAAATAAAATGTTTTCAAGCAGTTTTATTGTCTTAATATCTGATTTTATTCAGAACAAAAATTACAATATCAGATTCATGTTTAGCATCAAAACCTACATCGTATAGGTCACTGTTTAATTTGATCTAGCTATTTGATTCATTTTGTGAATAGATTTTGTATTGAGAGGCAAACATGGAAGCTTTTTCAAATTGAATGCTTTTCAATAACCAAAAATGTTTTCACCAGAGTAGGCAATATACAGAAAGTCATCTTCGTCCTTACATTCCGCATAGATTGTGCCCATGGTCGAAGTCAGTTGTGGGATAATCCATGCCTGTTTGAAGTTGTTTATGAATTTGAACGTTCTTTGGTCTGTCTTGCTGACAAAGACAAAAATGGCGCTTTCGGCTGGCAATTTAATCCGTTTCCGAATATTCCAGATGAATTGTCCCATACTGATATCGTACGGAACCAGAAACTTCCGATTTTCAATTTCAGATATTTGTGAGCCGGGTACTCGCTCAACGACAACTGGAATACGATCAGGATATCTCATGAGAGCATTCGCAGCATCTTGCTTACGTTGTTCAATGGATGTCTCTTCCTTCAATTGGAATTTCATTGTATTTGGCAAGTATTTAATGAAAATAAGTAATGTGAATTGTCTAGTTGCTCTTTGTTTTTATTCTACGCAGAAAATGATCATATCTGGGTAAAATTATCAAAAAGGTATTTTCACAATCGATGAGTAATATGTATTATTCCCTTTGCTCTTACTCATTGGATTTTTTTTTTTTTTATTCTGTTACTTTGTTGATGTCACGCAAACAATGATAAGTTTGAATAGTCACTTTTGTTGGTATAGTGAGGATTGATAAGCAGTCAAAAAATGACTAACTTAGTTGATTATGATCATTTGTTTTTTTCTTGTCTAACCTAAAAAAAGAATAGCAAAGTCCACATTCGACTATAATGCATTTGAATCAACATATAATTTAAATGATACTATGGCTTTTTCCTTGTTGTTGTGAAAGCAAATTTTTGAGATATTAGTGTATAGAACAGCAAATAACAGCGATAATAAAATAAATTGGCATGAAGAAAGAAATATATGTCATCAATCTTAAATTATCGCATTTCGAAGGAGACCATTATATGGATAGAGGTGAAGCTCATGTCATGCTTGTTTGGATGAGTTTGAACACCCGTTTTTTAATTTAACTGTGGCATGAAGATCACTGAGAAACATTGCTAATATTTCTAAGCCAGATCACTTTATGAAAAAGAACCATTTCAATGAATATCAGAAGCGATATTTTCTTCAACCTTAGACTCTGTTGAAGGATCAAGTTCATGAAGCAAGTGATAGCCTAGAAAATTCGACTAAGTAACACAGTTGAACTAACGTGTGGGTGTTCATCGTACTGATATCCACACTTAATTTTGAACGACACATTGACCAATAACGATCATTCAAATTGAATGATTGAGAGGCAATAGTATTGTTGCACCATAATCCGTCACTCGATTCAAATACTCGATGAATGCATAGTAGATAATTGCATACAGATTTCCACTCGTTATTATCTCGAACTTTTTTTCACGGTAAGTACGTCGAGATTGAATGAGACAAGAACTGGTGTCAAGTCTTTTGTATTAATTGTACACATCTCGGTAAATCTAAATGAATCAACAACAACGAGACCTAAATGAAATTCTTTCGTCAGAGCTATTCAAAAAGTTGATGGACGCGATTGTATAGTGAATAACTCGGACATAGAAATAGTTGGTATTCTGCAATTTTCAGTATTTGAAAGAGATCAAATAATTTTATTAAACCACGTAAAAATCAAACAACCAAGCAGTGGTTAGTATTGGCCAGTTGTTAGTGACCATTTTCAAAATAATACTCAGAAAAATCTTCTCATCATATGTTAACTTTCAAGATAGTCATTCGACAGAGAAAATGAAGGCCTGTCGATCCACATAAGGTCAACGTTTCCAGATGGTTTCGTTATCATAAAGCAAGTATTCTTCTGAGACTCTTGAAATCGGTCAACTGACCATTGATTACTCTGAAATGAGCTGATATAGAACGTTTTGATCATGTTGAAACGAGTAGTCGTGTTTATTTTTGACTTTTTGAATGGGCAATGGTTTAAGTCATCAATCTGCATGATTAAGTAAATATATCTAGTTTTTCTTCTTATCATCTACATGAGAAACTACTCTTACCAATCACTATCGAGCTTTGATTTCTTTCTAAAGGTAATAATATGATGATTCTGGAAGTTTATCAGTAGAGAGTGTGAACATTCTCTCAATTCATCAACACCTGCACACATACGCACAGCCTACCCACACTCACACTCAGTTAATTACGGAGGCGTGCAATCATTGACGTTAGTGTACACTGCCGTATTGATGAAACTATGTCCGTGTTAAGGTACGTATATCTGTGTAAACAATGTACACATATTACGTCGTATACGACTACGACATCATACAGTTGTACTACTCCCTCTACCAAACAGGTGAATTACAATCCATAGACGATTTTAATTGTAATGTTTACATGCGTTTCTATCATCATAAATGCCAGAGTATAGTCGTTTGCGATTGTCGTAATGATAGGTCTGAGAAGTGTCTTACATATGAACTTATCAAGAAACCTCTTCACCAGTGGAATCATGGTGTTTAAAGGTTTAAACGAATTGATTTACTTTCTCAGTGAATAACTATTGATATTATGGTGGACAGAGATGAAACTTTTCTAATTAGAAATTACATGGTGGCTCAAAAGTCACCCACTCAACAAAAAAATTGAATATCTCCATTAAAGTTTGAGCAAACGAGCTGATTTTTTTGTCAATGATAGAGGTATGTTCAAGGTTTATTATATCCATAGAGACAAGCCTAGAGAGACCGTTCATTAAGCATCACCAGTTGTCTCAACAAAAAAATGTTACTTTTTCACAGATAGGGAAAAAACCAATATACAAGGATGATACAAAAGTCACTTTACCGAATAAAAATTGAACATCTCGATTACGGCTCGAATAAATGAGCTGATTTTTTTTACCAATGATAGGGGCATGTTCAAGCTTTATATCCATAAAGACATGCCTAGAAAGATCTTTTGTCAAGTATATTGTTTTTTTTTCTTATCTATGAAAAAAATTTTTTTGTTGAGATCACTGGTGATACTTGCTCAAGCGTTAATGAAGATATTCAATTTTCTTATTGGATGCGTGACTTTTGGGCCACTCTGTATAATAGTAATTCTATGATCAAATTAAAAAAAATCTTCTTCGAACAATTCTAATTTAATGCAATTACTGCTTTGCAAATCAGAAATTTGTGATCATAAAGAAATCTTCAATAGCTCGAGTATTCTGCAAATTAAATGAAATATATTTTATCAACAATTCAGTTTAAAAATGTAATTATATTGTTATTTGTCATCGTCAAAATAGATTTTAACGTTTAATTTTGTTTGAACATACTTATAATTATATTATTAGAAATAAAATTAAAGTTTTTCTCCGCATTAGATATTAAAAAAAATATCAAAAACTATTTTATACATTTGACAATGATCTCTGTTACTCATAAAGTATGATAAATTCCAATAAAATAACATGAAATCAATTGTTCAAATAATAGAATATGTAAATCTTTGATAATTATCAGTGCACAGACAACAAAATAACAATCCTACTCGACAAGTTTCATGAAATGCCTATTTTTGTTAGGTAGCAATGATAAGCAAATATTTTTCTTTCCTGTCTATGAATGCATATACTATTAGTAATGATGACGAAAATAGCGAGAAATAAACATAATACACAACTGTCTGAATAAGCCTAAGTCACGAATGAAAATAATAATTTCTTCCTTTTTGTGCTCACACGCTCGATATTTGTTATGGTTCGCTGCTTTTCTTCCCTTTTATTGATAAATAAATTTGCAGTACATTATTTCAAGCTTAATCGATACTCACAATGACATCAAATCGAAATAATCGTCATTTTTATACATCTTATGCTTTATATGTGCCTCCTAATAACAATTCAAAAGACAATGATTCTATATCATTTACAAGTTTAGATATAGATCGAATTTTTGGATTACGTCATTTATCTTCAAATTTAAATACACTTTTAAATTACCGACATATATCAAATAAGAATTCAAAAAATTCAATTGGAGATAATAAAAATTCAAATAAAAAAGATTTAATCATTAATGGTCTACTATTTGATACACAATTATTTCAACCTATTCGTTCATCTTATATAATTGATTATACAGATGCACCAGAAGATCTTAATCAACATCTTGAAGGTCATAATATATCATCAATATGTTCATCATTAGACACTCATCTATTTAAATTAGCATTTATTATAACATTATCAGATGGATATGTTGATAAAGAACTTTTACTTGAATATTTTCCACGTGAAGATATAAATGTAAATATTCTTGAAGAAATTTCATATTATAAACGATTTTGTTTTCCTGAATTAAATTCTAAACATAAAAATCGTGGACAACTTTTAACTGATCCATCAACATATGTTTTTACACGTATACTTTCAAATGGAGAAGTTGAATATGGTTATTGTCGACGATTAACAACAGTATCTAATCAAATAACAAAATTTCCGATTGTATTTTGCGTCGGTAATAATCAAAATATTTTTACCTCATTTTATAACAATGATACTTTTTTGTTTATTTAATTATAGTTTCGACTTATTCATGTTTTAAACTGTATGACGCTATTTTGAATGAACTAACTAAAGGTAAAAAATATTTCAAAATAGAATATTAATCTTATTTGTATATGATTATTAAAAAAAGAAAAAAAAAACAACTAAAATTGATATAATATTTAGTAGATCATCGTTCAACAAGTCTTTTTTCTGTATATTTCATTTTATCTTTTGATCTCATATCGAGAATTCTTTTCTTTTCATATATGTGAAGTATTTTATCTAGAAAGCACAAAGGATAATATTCCTAGTAATTTATACTTATAGGTGCTGTACTCGTGAAGTACTTATGCTAGAAAATACTACAAGTACTCATAAGGGTATATTCTATTTTGTATTGTTTTATTATATCTGTTTTATTTACATATAAAACTGACAATAAAAGATAGAGATAGATAGAATGAAAATTGAGAAATATTATAACAAATAAAAATAAAAAACTAGTCTTAATTATTACAAAAAAAAGGTCACAAATTGATATTTTAAAATTGATGAATATCTCTCATTTAGTAATTTGAAATAAAAATAAAATTATTCATTTTTAGTATGATGCATATCTATTTATAATATGACAGTGCAATTGTTTTGTAAGACAATTTATTAGTTATTTTTTTATTTCGTTAATTTTTTACTATCTATTTGAAAAGAAGTCTATTCTAATGCAGAAGAAGATTTTTTTTTTGTCTCAATCTAGGAAATGAAATTTTATCTCAATCTAGGAAATGAAATCGAACAAGTTATCATTTATACATTTAGGACGATGTTCAATTTTTCTCGAGAAATGAGTAGTTGTAAATGAAAAAAACATGCTTTTCCTTTCTTTAAATTATCATTTATTGAAATTATTTTGAATGATTCATCACAAAAAAGAATAGAGAAAAAAAAGTAATTACATTATTAAAACAATGTATTCTTGATTTCTCATTTAACTCACGTCAATTTACTTTATTACATTAATTCAATCTATTTTTATACATGATACTGCAAAAATATTTTGCTAAATATTCTCTAAAAAAAAGGACAGAATGAGTACAATTGCTGATGTACACGAAAAGTATACATATACATATCAAAGTTATACATGCTAGCAAGTCAATATTTTCACATGGAATGATCTATTGTTATTGAAGTTCATATTTGTTAACAAAAACTTTAAATATAAACGTTTAAATTATCAGATAGATAATCATCGATTATAGTAAAGAAAATTTTTTAATGATTATGATATACATTCGTAGTACTAGAATATTTAAAATTCTCTCTTATAATTTTAAAATCGAAGTTTTGTCAATTTATTATTATCATTTCTTATTTTTTTCAATATTTTTCTAGTATACATATCAAATGAAGTTGAATGTAATCTTTTAATACGATCATTCTATTCAAAACCATTACCTGCTCCTACACAAAATTCATCAAGTATAACATGTATGCTAAATAATCGTCGTATATTTTATTATGTATGTCCACGTGATGATCGTCTTAATCATGATTATTATTCTACATTACTTTCATGTTTATCACCAAATCATATTGTTCATTTATTTGAATCAATGTTATGTTCAAAACGTATATTAGTTTTTTCACGTTATCCATCAAAATTAACAAAATGTTGTCTTGGTCTATCATTATTAATTTATCCATTTATATGGCCTTATTCATTTGTTTCATTAATGCCATCATCATGGTTACATGATTTAATTGATTCTCCATGTCCTTATATATATGGTTGTTTATATGAAACAATACAAGATATGCCATTTACATTTGATCATGATGTAATACGTGTTGATCTTGATATGAATACAATTGAAGATTCTACTGATAACATATGTTCATTACCATATAATCTGCGACAAACATTTGAATCTTCACTTGAATATATAATAAAATATCGTTTAATAAAATTAAATTCAAATTTAATTAATATAGCTGTTAGTGAAGCATGTTTACATGTATTTATAGAATTATTTTATCTTTTACCAGATTTTTTTCAACATAAGAATATATCAAATAAAAACTCTAATGATCAATTTTCAATATGTTCAAATTATTTTAAATATCATGATAGTGGAATTGATCTTCAATCACTTGTATCTGTTGATTTAGAAGAAACAATAACAGATCATGAAGATAAACAAGATAAAATTCAATTTGATTATGATTTTCATTCCGAAGAGTTTCTTAATGTACAACCAAAACCTTTTGTTACATTTCTTAAAGGATTTGTTCATGGTAGGACGAATTTATTTATAAAAAAAAAAAAAAAACAAATGAAAATAACACTTCTAATTGTTTAGGAATGATATTTTTAAAATTTCTTGATGATTATCAACGAATTGATGATAATAATCAAGAATCATTTTCACTGTTTTCTCAACGTTTAAATGAACGACGTCAAATGACAGTTGAAGATTTAGCAATACATCCATTAACAAAATTTCAACAAATATTTGATTTATTGGTACAACAAATTAATCAAGTATCTAAACAAGCAAATCCATCTTTTTCAAAATATTTTAAAAAAATATTTGAACAAAAATAAAAAGACAACGTACCTAACAAACAAGAAAAAAAAAAGGATTTTCTTGTAAATTTTTGTTTTCGAATTATCGAAGTACTAATAATTGATTTGCATAAAATTTGTTTTTTATTCTTCTTTGAATTAAAATTTGTTGTAATATTAATAATTAAAATACGCCATTCTGACTTATTAACTTCTCTTTTTTTTTTTTCTTTTACTAATATGAAGGCGTAAATTGTGTTATAAAATGTGTGAATGGAAAGACAAAAAAACAGAAGTGTGAGTAAATGTAAATCATAAATCAATATCTATGGAGAAAAAAAAATATTACGACAAAAGTTCGGATCAACTAATTATATTAGTCATTACTGGTAGGTTTAAAATACACATGAATTGAAAGTTTACAAAGAACTTTTTCTATATACTATTTTAAGAAAAGTAAATGCTTGTATCTAATGTAAGTGCAATGTGTCGATTGAAAAGAGACTAGCTATTATCATTGTACACTTGAGACAATCTCATAGATTTTATAAATTTTGGTTCTTTTTTATCCTCACTCAGTCTTTTTCGTTCTCTCAACGATATCTAGGCTTCAATGCATGATCAATAGCACAGTCATTTTGATTAGCACATTGATTAAACATTTCTAATAGTTGGTTTCTTTATCGTCATTATCTTCAATATATATATATATATATACGTATGTGTTCTGCGTTTTGTAACCCAGCTAAAAAAATCAAACAATGAATACAAGAGCATTAAGAAAACAAAAAGCTTCCGTTACTCTTGTGTTCACTCGATTGATTATCTATTATAGAAAAATTTGTCTTCGAATAACTAATACGTTCAATCATTAATAATTTTCAATTCATTGTATTTCGACATTGCAACATCCTCCTTTTTTTTTTTTTGTCTTTTAATTCAGTATTGCCTACACTAATGCCAAACATATAAACCGTACGAGACAAAGTAATGATGACGACTCAATCTGAGTGGGAGAGAACATAACAAACGGGAAAAAAAAGAGAGAGAGAGAGCGCAAAAGAAAGAAGAGCTAAAAATCGATTAAAGAAAAATCTCTGTTGAAAAACGACACTCATACACATATAGACATTAGACCGAACAGCTAATTGTCCATTCATTTTTAATCAAAGCTATTATTTGTATATATATAATAAGCCAAAAACAAATGCAACCAAAAACTAAATAATAACTACTGTTTATCATTATCAGAATATACTAAGACTATCAACATAAGTAATTAGTAAAGGTAATAAGAAAAAGATTATTTTTTATACTGTGTCTGTTTCAGTAATCCAAAAAATAGTAATAATTACAACGAATATTTGAGTTTTTTTTCTTGTCATCTAGTGAGCTGTGAATGACATTGATTAATTAATATTAAAATAAATTATTAAGTATTTTTTCTATTATATTTGGATCATTAAGTATCGTAAGCCTTTCATAAAACCTAAATATAATGATGACTTTAAAATATAGAAAAATTATATTAGACATTATTAGGAGAAAAAAATCCAACCATTCTTTATCCGTTAACATAGTGGGAAATCATCGAAAGGTATAATATTATTGTCTAATGCATCAACGCCTTGAGGTATGCGTGCACATACGTCATTGCTTCATTTTTTTTTAATTTTCCATTTTCTCTCTTTTAGAAAACTTATTTCTTCTTTCTTACCGATTTATATATATATATATAATTATTGTAGACTATTTACTTTCATCTCGTGTCCGTATCCATTCTTGAAAACGTGTTTTCTTTTTTCTCTTCAACTATCTATATAGATTTATTTATTCGAATAAAATAATTAATTTTATAAAATCATGCAATATCAATCAATTATCGCATATATATTTATCGTACTTTGTGGTATGACAATTTTAATGGCACAAGCTAATAAAGAACGTGAACAATTTACAGCTCTATTACAAAAACGAAAACATCTTAATGGTTATTGGGTGGGTAAAAGATATTCGAGTGTATCTGATGAAGATTTATATGATAGTGGTAAATAAATGAAAATAAAATGGTTATTTTATCTTTTTTTCTTTGTTATTATTTCTAGATGAAGATCAATCAGCAGAAAGACGAGCATCTTATTTAGTTGGTAAACGTCGTACATATTTGGTTGGTAAACGTGCCGCTTATCTTGTCGGACGTAAACGTCGTGATCTGATGGCTAGTGGCACTAGTCAAAAATAAACATTTACCAACATTTGTATACAATAAAATAAATATATAAAAAGTTTTTTTTTTTTTTGTTGGATCTATCGCTCAACATCATTGAAAAATATATGAAAGACAAAATCATTTTTTGCTTAACTTAATAAATGAAACGATAAATATTATCAGCGAATACATATAATTGAAAGCTTTCTTAAGAATTTAAGAACTAATTATTTTTATAGATCTTCTCAAGTCTATATTCAAAATATTGAATTTTTATTCTAAAAACAAACGTTTGCTATTTAACATGTTTACATCGTAAAAGCTTGTTAATTGACGAAACATTAATAAATTGACTATGACTGTTTGTTCTAAAATTGTATTTAGTTTCTGTGTCTGGGGAAATAAATGTCTGAAATATTAAATCATGATGGTTCCACATTGTGATATAAAAAGATGCGAAAATTTTAGTTTTTATATATTGATAATTTTTATTTATTTTTTTATATTAGTAGAAATATTACTAGGCCAATGTTACGACAGATAATATATGCATTTTGATTATAAGAAAAAAAATATGAGATTCTCTAAAAAAAGAAATCAATTTTATTCGAAGAAGAACTACTTTAATTACCATTTATAATGCTAATAATCAGCTTGTTTGGAAACAATTGATAAAAGTAATATATTTCTATTGAGTACTATTGAATATGAAATTGCTAAAGTACTTTATGGTATACTTGTATGGAGACATGTTATTATCACTCCATTCAATATAACAGGACAACGTGATACACATAAATGTTAGATTATTTGCATCAAAAAAGTAGAATAATACAAAACAAAGTGACAGATATGAGATTTTTCGTCAGAGTAATGAACAACATTTTTTTCGTGCATAGAATAGGCAAAGTTAAACTTTAGACAAAAATTAAGCTTAAATAGAATTCTTTTTTTGTTTTAATTAGGTGCAAAACTACGAAATAATTTTCTTTTTTTTTAAAGATGAAACTCTAGTTTCCGTTTGCATTAAGAAAACGTAGCACACACCTGTTTTTTTACTAGATAGAGTATCCATTTATTTCCATTTATTCACAAGGACGTAGTGAAAAGAAAAAGCGGGGGGGGGGGGGGGGGACGGAGTACGTACCCTTTCTTCTCACGGTCACATCCCTGCTGATTAATACTGTAATACATGCATCAATGATTTATTCAATGTTGACATCAAAAATGATTTTCGAAAGTATTGCTATGAATAAGCAAATTAACACTTTGAATTTTTGGAGTATGAGATTCTAAGAGAAGGCAGCTATTATTTTCTACCACAGAGAATATATCAGCTAACAAATCCTTTAGTTTTTTTTTTTTGGTTTAGAAATAAATTAACAAAATTTAAAAGCATAATATATTTATACTTTACATATCATAAATAAACAACATTTTTTTTTATTTTCAGTTGAAGCTTGCTAAGACAAACCAGATTTCAATTGAATAAACTTGTGAACTCTACAACTTTCTGCATTTAGTTAAATTTCAATTAAAGTTGAACATAACTTAATATAAATAGATGAGACGTCTTCTCTATGCTCATCTTTTTCGATTTTTTATTTTTTTAAATCTTTTAAAAATTCTATTTAATTTGTCTAAATTCGAACTTTGCTTGATACATATTTTTCTTTAATAACCCCAAATCATTAAGAGCATCATCAATCCTATAAAGTATTAATTTTAGGAAAAAAAACAAAATATTTCTTTCAACTACATATTTTATTTCATATTTTTCTAGAAAGTACGATCTCTAGTTTTCATTTTATCATAATACAATAGGATCTTGTGAGAAGCTCGCTATCAGATCAAATAGAAAATTAGAATAAGATCAGTTTCAACAGTGCAAAATGAGTACTGAGAAGAGCCGAATCATATCTAATAAACTGACTTCGACCTGAAGGACCTTCAGTAAATTGATAGTGGGAGTTATTGTCAAAAACTGACGAAAGAATTACTGAACTTACCAGGAAATAATTCTGTTTCGGACGCTCCGTCATTCAATGATTCTAATCGCATGTCTATGACATTTTTAGAATGTCGTTTACAGAAATAGCAAATTTATGGTAAACGTAAACGACAGCTAATCATAACTACTACACAGAATGTGCATGAAGCGATATAGATGTTTGTATAAAATGAATATATATGGTCATTATAAACGATAGTCGATTTCTACCGTATTGAGCTATTGTCACATGACAAAATATGATCGCAATATTTTTGGTACTGAAGTAGTCAAACACGAGCAGTATACAATCGTGATACATCCGTGTATGGCTGTTAACGATTTTGGCTCTTTCACTTGGATGAGCTTATAGAAGTAATAAGCCTTAAGAAGGGTTTCAGAATTTGCAACCGGTTGCGAACCATTGAAGAGTTGAAGAAGGTTGAAAATAGCCTAATAAATGGTGTCGAATATTCCTTATAAGAGGTTCAGACGAAATACGAAGCGATATTAGAAAAAATTTCTGAAAGAATTTATTGGTATTTTCAAGAATGCTTTCAAGGTTTCATAACTGATTACATTTACAAAAACGATTTGATCGTTCTTTACGTGATCCAGTTTTGTACGATGTTGAAGGTTGTGAAATAGATAGTTGACTGATGGATCTCGTTTGTCTTTGCGTGACATTTTCATCATCATCTTCTTGTTTTCATCATGACGACCATTATCGTCGTCATTGATTGATAACAGGACCTATTCGAATTAGGATAGAGGACATCAGAGCTTTTTATTTGAATGAAAAAAATGAAGTACCTACTCGAGCAGTAAAATTGACACAACTGCATCCATCTCTTTGATTTCGACATTTTTCTCATCGACTCGAGTATTGTCTTCCGCATGTTTCAAGCCCGTGTGTGTGTCATCGGTTCTAAGCCTTATGCAAGGAGATCATGTCAGTAACGTTGCAGCGTCGGATATCCTTGACTTTTCATATTTTTTATTTCTGCTGTTGTTGTTCTTGTTCAGTGTGCACTTGTTTCGGCAGAGCTTAACTTCATAAATGATCTTCCGCATCTTGAAGTCGACTACTTTTCGTTACATCATTCTCGTTGCTAGTATCCATCGATGTAGAAACAATGACTATTAAGACGTTGAGTATGGGTGCGCGTAATTTATCTTCTTCGTTTAATAGATCAAATATTTGTTTAATTAAAAAATTGCTATAGTATAATTTATTGTAAAAAATAGTGGTTGTTAAAGAATACCAATGAATCAGCACATTATTTGATTATATTCAATATTTATAATCGAATAGATTATAAGAATTATTGTCGTCGTCATATGATTATGATAATTGTTATTATTGTTTTCAAGTCTTGTTTCTTCTTCGAATGATAATTTTATGTTTAATCAAACATATAATATTTCAATGTATTTGTAAGACTTGAATATATATTTAGTTATGTCTATGCTCACAAAATAAATCATTCGAAGGATAATCATTTAATGAAAATGTTTACAAAAAAAAGTAGAAGACGATAAACTAATATTCCTATCAAAAAAATGTTCAATCACATTTTGTTTTAGAAGCTTTTCTTTTTAATAATGATTCAATAAAAATAAAAAGTGTCTAAGTTATATTCGTATACAATCAAGCATAATTTAAATATTGTCTGATATATCAATGACGTAAGTCAGTAGAATTCATCATCCAAGTTTGTATTATGACATCACAATATTTCTCGTAGTCATACAGACAGACTAACAAAAAGAACACTTGTATTTAGTCTCTGACATTGTTAAAACATACATACACACACACTGATCTATTATATGCTCGAGTGCTAAGAATACAGTATATGCTCTCATTCATATTCAGTTGTGCATATATCAGATTGACTGGGTGTTTTTTTTTTATGCAATGCATGCACACACTATCTTAAGGGCTGCACATTGCATCGTTAAATGTATTGAGCGTATATATGCATATATGCATATATATGTATTTTACTTGATCATTATCATTGAAGTGCGTAAAAGACAGACAGGAGAAAAAAAGCAACAAACGTTCATTGACAACTCATTCATCTATTTTACAACGAAGCGTTTATATATACACAAATCATTATCATCATTCTTCTTCTATATTCAACATGTTCTTATCTTATACAAATCGAAAGGCAATTTTTTGTCTTTTGATTTTGTTCTGTTTTAATGATTATAGTCAAAGTATTGATGAATCAAATTTTTTTATTTATAAATATGGTATTGAATTACCAAAAGAAGATGATACACATTCAGAACAAATTATTCTTTCACCTGAAATACCATTTATTACAAATACATATGACAGTGTTTATGTATGTAGACTTTTGCTTTTATTTTTTTTGTTTAAATTCTGAAAAAAAAATATTTAGGTTAATACAAATGGTTTTTTATCATTTTTATTACCAATAGCATATTTTTTTCCTCAAATAACATTGACAAGTTATAGTGGATATGCAATTATTGCACCGTTTTGGGCTGATATTGATGTATCAATTAAAAATGGTTCTATAACATATAAGTAAAATTTTATTCTTAATTTATTTATTGCTTATCATACATATATATTGTGTTTTTTTTTCTATATAGATATACAAAAGAAGAAGATTTACTTAAAAAAGCAAAAGAATTAATTCAACAAGGTTTTTTAAATTCAAAAACATTTCAACCCAAGTCAATTTTAATATGTACTTGGAAAGATGTTCATTCTTTTTCAGATAAATATAATAAGGTTTGAATAATTTTGAAAAAAAAAACAATATTTAATTTTATGAGGTTTTTTTTGTTTTTTATTCATTCAAATAGAAAAATACATTTCAAGTCGCTATTGTTAGTGATGGTGTACAAACATATTCTATATTTATGTATGCAAAATTAGAATTTATTTCAGCTTATAGTCCTACAAAATTAGGTCGAGAAGATCGATATGCTGAAGCAGGTTTTACTGATGGTACACCTCAACAAACAACAGTTTTACCTGGATCAGGTGGAGCAGCAATGGTAAACTTAGTCAAGTATGTAAATAAGAAACTTTCAATATTTATATCACTATCATAAATAGAGAATCAAATATTGGTAAACCAGGTGTATGGATTTATTTAATTGGAGATCGACGTCGTTATGGAAGATTTCGTATAGTACCAGCAGGAACTGATGATGATTATGAAGAAGCTTTTGTACCAGTACAACGTAAGTATAATGTAGTTTTTCTATAACAATGTTTATGGTTGCTTCAATCGAAATGTTATGATATATTCAAGTTGATTTTTTTTTTCTATAGCACCTTATTCATCGAATATGTTTCAACAAGAACGTCATAATCTTTATCATGAGCAAGCAACACTTCCATCTACAACGACAATTCCACCAGGTATATATTTATAAAAAATTAAATATGTTTTTGACTAAGAATTTTAATGTTAAATTTGAGATGCTGTCGAATGTCAAACATGTTCTCGTCATGCTCAATGTGAAAATCAAGGCAATGGATATTGTTGTCGTTGTCTTTTTCCTTATTTGGGTTCAGGACTTCGATGTGAACGAGCTGGTAAATTTATTTTTCATTATTATTATTCTTTTGTTTTATTTATTTATTTATTTTTCTATAATGATTTCAATAGAAAATTATCCAGTTGTGGGCAAAATTAATGGTGAAATTAATGGTCATAAAATTGATTCTGAATTACAAGGTTATGTTTATATGGAAGATGGTCGAATACATAATTCACTTTATAATATGCCATTAATTTATTCTAATCTTCAACAATTAATACCTTTATTTAATACAATAAATTGGTTATTTGGTGCAATTCATCGATTTTCAGATCCTATTGAAAATGGTTTTGCTCTAACAGGTTAAACAAAGAAGAAGATTTTTTTTTTTCTATTAATAAATTATTTTTATATATTATAAAATAGGTGGAGTTGTGAATCGTTCAGCTTTGGTACGTATTTTTGAAGCTGATAATACAACTGAACAAACAGTTTTAAATATTGAACAATATTTTCGTGGAATTGAATCAGGTGTTCTTTCTGTTGATACTTATATCAATGGTAGTCTTCCATATCCAGAAGGAAATCTATCTGTTACAATAGGAAATAATAATATTAAATATATAAAACGATCATTAGGTTAGTATAAATTTTATTTTAAAATATTTATATAAAAAATATTAAACAGGTCATTATGATGCAAAATCATTAATAACTTATACATTAAAATCAAAAATTGATACTAACTCAAGTATTATTTATAATATGAGTTATGAAATTGAAGATAGTTTAACATTTTATGAATGTCTACATAATCCACATCGATCAGCAAAAGAAATTGTTGTATCAAATCATGATAATCATATTTATCATTCAATTGAAGATACAACTATTCGATTTTTTACTATTAGTAAATTTGGTACTCAAGGTATGTGTATATATTAATATTATTTAATATATAAAAAAGAAAACAACATATTTTATCTAGCTCCAAAATTTGATCCATGCGATTCATTACCTTGTCATGGTTATGCTCAATGTATACCAAATTTAGAACAAAATTCTTATGATTGTAGATGTAATCTAGGTTTTATTGGTGATGGTACACGTCGTTGTGATGGTAAAAAAAAAACAAATCATATGAAAATCTTATGTTCATGTTCTTCTAATTTATCTTCTTTTTTTTTTGTTACAAAGATATTAATGAATGTATTCAATCACCATGTCATCCAAATGCAATATGCACAAATACATATGGAAATTTTACATGTGAATGTAAACAAAATTATATTGGAAATGGATTTTTTTGTAAACCTATCAACGATGAAAGTGAGAAATAAGAAATTGTTTTTTTTTTCTTACAAGAAGTAGAGAGATAATTTAAAAAAAAAATTTCATCTAGTTGAAACATGTGCAACAAAAATTTGTCCACAATTTTCAACATGTATACAAGATCCACACACAAGACAAGCACGTTGTTTATGTAAAGAAGGTTGGCAAATGGTTGATGATCATGAAAATTATAAATCTATTTGTAAATCAAAACAATGTAATGAATACTATAATTGTGATATAAATGCTAATTGTCTTATTAATGAAAATACACAAAAATATGAATGTATATGTAAACCAGGTTTTTATGGTGATGGATATTCATGTACAGCACATTTTTGTTCATCGGATGGTGATTGTGGATATAATGCACATTGTTTACCTGATGAACAACGACCAGGTTTTAGTAAATGTGTTTGTGATCCAGGATATCTTAATGATGGTACAACATTTTCAACTTGTGTTAAAGATGGTAACATAAATAAAAAGAAGATTAAATATATTAAAATTTTTTTCATTTATTTCATTTTAGTAGTTTCATGTAATATTGAAAATAAATGTCATACCAATGCTCAATGTGTATATAATGAACGTATAGATCGACATGTATGTTTATGTCGAACTGGTTATAAAGGTGATGGAATAACATGTCGACATGAACGTAAGAAATTTATTTCGATAAAAACGAAAAAAATTGTTTTTTTTTCATCAATATTAGATTCTTGTCTTGAAAATGCTACCATATGTTCACCATCAGCTGCTTGTGTTTATGATTCAATTCTACAAGATAATGTTTGTTCATGTCGAGATGGTTTTGTTGGTGATGGAATACAGTAAGTAGTTTTTTTTGTTGTTGTTGAATTTGATGAATCAAAAAAAAAATGATCGATTTGAAATATAGTTGTGCTGAAACACTTGGTGGACCTAAAGAACAATTTTTAATTGTTAATCAAGGACAAACAATTTTAAAAGTACCTTTAACAGCATCAGGCTTAACAACTAATAATGATAATCGTATTCTTTATGTACCACGTAAATAGAATAAATGAAAAAAAAATGTTGGTTTTTTTTTTACACATGATTTATTATATACATATAGGAATGCGTGCTGTGGCTATTTCGATTGATTGTCGTCAACAATTTGTTTATTTTACTGATACATCAGGAAAGACAATACAACGAATGAAATATGATGGTAGTGAACAAAAAATAATTCTTAGTGGTAAATAAAATAAAATAAAATTTAAATCATAAGAAATTTTTTTGTTTTATCTAATTTTAGGACTTGGAAGTCCTGAAGGTATTGCTGTTGATTGGGTATCACGTTTAGTATTTTGGACAGATTCATTATTAAAACGTTTGGAAGTAGCTAAATTAGATGGTAGTCTACGTAAAGTTCTTCTTGATAAAAATATTCAAAATCCACGTGGTATTGCTATTAATCCAGAACTTGGGTTTGTTGAAATAGAATTTTAAAAACAAAAAACCGACATATAATCTTTGATTTTATTTTGTTTTGTTTTGGATTTTTTTTAAAGATATATCTTTTGGACAGATTGGAATCGACAAAATCCTCGTATTGAACGTGCTAATATGGATGGTAGTGAACGTAAAATTCTTGTTTCAGATAAACTTGGTTTACCTAATGGTCTTTATTATGATCATCATCGTCGAGAATTATGTTGGGGAGATGCAAAAATGAAAACAATTGAATGTGTAAGAGATGATGGATCAAATCGACGTATTATTTTAGCTGATCAAACAACAATGATATTTGGTCTTAGTGATGGACTTCAATATGCATATTGGACAGATTGGTCAACGTAAATAATTTATATAAGAATATTTATTTTGAATTCTTTTTCTTTTATAAATATTTAGAAATAAAATTGGTCGAATTGATAAAACACCAAGTCATACACCAGATAGTGTTCTTTTACCATCCGGTGGAAATGGAAAATTATATGGATTAGTTGCAGTTAAAAATTCATGTCCAAATGATAGTAAAGAAAACAATGAGAAATTGATTTTAATATCTATTTTGTCTTTCTTTTTGTTTTTGATTATTTTAGTTAATAATGTTTGTAGTGAAAATAATGATTGTACGGCTGGTCAATTATGTTTACCAAATTTAAGTCTTCGTGCTAAACGTGTTTGTCAATGTGCTGATAATGCTGGTTTACAATGTCTTCTTCGTGAACGACCACCACCACCACCACCACCTCAATTTGGCTAGACTTTATCTTATATCAGATTGTCATACTTTCTATCATTAGAAAAAATTTTTGTCTTTTATTATTATGTAATATTTTCTGATTGATGTTTCTGTTTTTTGTTCTTATGTTCCTTTAAACATTGAAATTTGATAGATATCGCTAGTAATCTATTGGAATTCGAAAGAAATTTCCATTTTTAATTGACGAATGATGGAAAGAGAATCATATGCATATGAGTCATGTGAAATTTAACAAAAAAAAGAAAGATATCTCGGAAAAAAAACCCATTATTGACATATATTGAAGTATGATTATGTAAATCTACAATGAAAAAGTATGTTGTTCTTTGTATTAAGTTTAAATCTGTCAATAGATATACGACTTTGAAAAATTCTACTTTTGTTTTAAAATTTACATCAAATTTACGTCATTTTTGTTTTTTTTACTTTAATTTGTTTTTTCACAGCAATAAATCTCCTAGAAATTATAGTTTTAGATGATAATATGAATCAATTATCTTCAAAAACTGATTTAAATGATTCAGATGATGATAGTACTGAGTCAGATCATTTATCACCACAGGCAAAACGTCATTGTTCATCATCTAATTCTCAATGTCTTCCAAATCAATCACCTATTTTAATTGATTTAGTAGCTGATGATATTAAAGAAAATAAAGAAGAATGTAAATCATGTGGAAAACAAGAAATATTATTACGAACATTTAATTGTCCATCATTACATTATTTTTGTTTAAATTGTATTTTTAATTGGACACAAAAACATATACAGGTAGAAGAAATAACAAGAAAAAAAAAAGAATTTTTAAAATATAATAATTTATACATATTTTGTAGACAAAAACACCACCGATATGTTTAGCAATTAATTGTGGTTATTTATTAAAAAATGATGATCTTGATGATTTACCAATAACTATAAAAGATCATCAAATACTTCTTCAATTAATTCAAATAAATATTGATAAAAATAATAAAATAAATAATTTTCGTATAAAATGTGATAAATGTGATTTATATATTGATCAACATAATTTTTTTATACATAATAATGAATGTCTAGGACGGTCATTAACAATTCCATGTGAAATATGTTATTGTCCTGTTTCAATTAATGATTATGAACAACATATGTTAATATGTACTAATGATGATAATTCAACATTAGCAAAATTTTTATTTAAACATTTACAAAATCCAAATATTGATGAAAAACTTATTAAATCATTTATTTGTTCGTGGCAACGAAAACATCGAAGAGCTATTGATGTTTATGAAATGATAGAAGAATTTAATCAAACAAATGGTATATTTTTATTTTTTTGTTTTAAATTTAATTTTCATCATCAAAATTTTTTTTCTTTTGTTCTTATAAAATAGGTTTTTCAAAAGAAATTTGTGATATATGTAAAAATACAATACGATCAGATGATTTTTTTTTTATTAATTGTTATGATAATCATTCCTTATGTTTATTATGTTATAAACAACGTCTACAAAATCAAGTAAGTTTATTTATGAGAGATCTTAGTCAATAGGAAGATAAAGCAGCTAAAAATCGCAATTTTCGTTAATCCCTACTCTTTCTCATGTTCTGCTTCGACTAACTCCCTTCACTAATCCTTGAACATCCAGTTTTTTAAATCTTTTTCGAAAGATTCTATTTATTCAAATATACTTTTTTTTTATTTTTCTGTTAAACGACTGATATACGTGATTTATCCGTAGATAATATATCATAGAGTTTTGAAAATACCGATCAAAACCAATTTAACTAAAAAATCTCATGAAAAATGCTTACAAAACGATAAAGAAATCATAATAAGTGTCCGGACATCGAAATACGTCTTACCCACTTCCCCTGTACACATATGTCCAGTTTTTACTGACTCTCTCTCCCTTTCCTAGCCGTCCTGTATGCATGATTTGATGATAGACTTTTTTGATAAAGATGACAACTCGAAGGTTTTCAATAATTAAAATTATGTATGCACTGATTCCAACTGTGGACTTGGAATTGATGCATTCCTAATTAGAATTAACGAAACATTGTTCAAAACAATTAAGTATTTCATCAGATGGAACGACTCTGGTGGATATTTTTTGAATCATGTGAAGTATTGAAGATTATGTATCTGATGTATCTTTGTGAAAAAAAGTACAGCTTCAGCTGTTTCGATAAAGAATTGAGAGTAGCGGGAAGTGTCTATCGATGTCGAGGTTTATATGTATTTTTTCCTCTTAAATTCAATGATCAATTTTATTGAACAAATACAATAGTTGTACTTAAACATTAGAATTAACATTTGATCCAGGTTTTCTCTTGTAGATAGACGACTTAAAACTGTGCGGTGGTGAACACTTATTTTTGGGAGTGCGGATCTATAGGATGTAGTACAATAATTGCAAGTTCCGAAGAAGCAAACCTAATCTTCGAAAGGATACCCTTCCCTCAGTCCATATCCTAGGTGAAACACTGATCAGGATTTGATGTATGTCTAGTTACATTTCTGGACAAAAGTTTCTCTCTCCTCGGATCTTAACCACCACAAGGGCTAGAGATCTGAAAATTTGTGTGTACCTATTCCACTAGGAATGTAGACCAATGGCACTACTCCAACTTCAATTGCTTGAGAGGAAACGGAGTTTTGATGAATGATGTCATATAAGTCTTGTAGAAGTTCATTAATTGGTGCAAGAACTGTGGTCATTTTATTGTAACCATCGGTGCGCAAAAAATCCATCTAGTGTCTTTTGAAGACCAATAAGTCAATGATAGTTGAATGAATAGACATGAAACTTTCAGAGACGCTTTCTACATAGTTTGGCCTTGCTGCCTGTAAGTTTCAGAATCCAATATTGTCTTATAGAGAAATGGCACATTGATAACCATTGTGTTAGTATCCAGGATCTGGAGACAACAATATTCGAGCCAACGAACTTATTTTTGAGAAGAAGAAAGACCATTGGCTGGACTTTAGTTTCATGTAGAAATATTCAGAATTAATCACGTACTTGATAAGAAGTAGGTCATACTTTAGTATGCATTCCTTTTAAGTTATGAAGCTCAGAACAAAAAATAGATACTATCCATAATAACTCATTTTTCACTCAAGTAATCGGAGTTGGAGGTAGTGCCACTGACCTACATTCCTGGTGATTGTGATTCGAGGAGTAAAAGACTTTTATTCGCAGGAGTAACTATTGAATTTTCTTCGAGGTATTGATTGTAAACTCAACTTCTTCATTGTTGGTGATGTTTTATTTAAATTTAATGTAATATTTTGCTAGAACTTGACCTTCATGTCTATTCCAAGATTAAAATAACTCTTTTTTTTCTAAATTTGATAATATCTCGATTAGCAAAATTCACTTCAGAATATTACAAGAAAAAAAACTGCATTCAAACTTTATTAATTTCTTAAAATAAAAGAAATTCATATAGAAAATATTGTTTTTCTTTTCTTACAGATGAACAATGATCAAATATTGACATGTCATCTATGTAGTTATCATTTACAAGATAAAGATTTGTCCGAAACTCGTATATTAACAAATGAAGAAATTCATTTATTTCAAAATTATCAAAATAAAAAAGTTCTCGAATTATATAGTAATCTTTATGGTGCAGAAGATACAGATGATATAAATTCTACTGTTCAACCACAAAATGACACAATAATAATCAATAATAATGATACAGCTCGTCGTAAATGTGATTTATGTTCAAAACAACATTCATATGGAAATATATTTGTATTACATTGTAATTGTAAAATATGTTATGATTGTTTTGCTAATGAAGTTAATCGACAACGAATAACAACAAATGAAATACTCAGTTAGTTTTTTAATCAATTAATTTATTTATTTTATTTTTTCTTTTTTTTTTCTTAGTTTGTTCACTTTGTCGTACTCCAATAAAACATAATGATTTATCAAATTTACGTTTAGCACCTGTCGAAATTCAAACTATACAAATATATCAACAAGGAAAATTATTTGAATCTGAACATGCAATACATTTTAATAGACAAAAAAGTAATCAGGTAAATTTCTTATAAAAGAATTTATTTATTATTTAATTCTAATTTATATAGACAACAAATAGTAATAATAATAATGATGATAATGATGATGATGATTTTGATTTTGATTTATTACTTTTGAATCACCAACAATGTTTACCTAAATATTGGACATTACCAATGTTAACAAATTTTTCTCGTCATACACTCTATCCAGAATCAACAGAGTATAAATTTGTAGCTGATAAATTTCATCAAAGTTGGACAAAATTAAAAAATCAACATCCTATTCCTGTTCCGCCTCCAATATCAGTACGGCCACCATTACCATTACCACCACCACCGCCATCATCAGTTTTTGTTCCACCAATAAATAATCCTCCTCCAGCACATTTTCAACCACCATTATTACAACAATTTGGTCCAATACAAGTTTCTATGAATAATAATACTATACCTACAACAAATCAACAACCAGCAAATCATGGTTTTGGAACTTTACGATATCCGGTGTCTATTGGAACGAATACAATGGTTCTTCCACCACAACTACCACCATCATTACCTGCTTCTTCTTCTGTTCCTTTTCTTCCACAACCAATCTATCGATTAAATAGTTCCTATGCACATCCAACAGGTCCAAATTCATTGACTATAAAAGTCCCAAAATTATCATCCCGCCAAACACGACCCATTACTCATGGTAATGGTATACCACAAATACTTCAAATAGAACGAATACAAAATCAACGATGGTATAAACAATATTCTGCACATGAATGTGAATTTCGACAAAAATTAAATAAACAAACTGAACAATGGCTTTTTCATGGTTAAATAAATAATTTAATGAATTAATTGAATTCTATTTTTGAATTTTTCTAGGTTGTGATGAGCGATCATCGAAAAATATTGAAGTCGAATGTTTTAATCGTTCATATGCTGGTCAACATGGTTAATTAAATATGAAAAAGACAGAAGATAAATAAATAAATATGGATTTATTTCCTTTTTTTTGTTTAGCTGCAGCTTTTGGGCAAGGTTGTTATTTTGCACGTGATTCATTGTACAGTCATAGTTATGCATTACCTGATCGTAATGGTATTCGACGAATGTTTCTTGGTAAATAATCTTTTAATATTAAAGTTAAATTGTTTTTTTATTTTCTAGCTCGAGTTCTCGTTGGTAATACAACTCAAGGAAATTCCGCTATGCGTGTTCCACCACCTGGTTATGATACTACTGGTGATGGTCAAAGTATTTTTGGTATGTTTTTATATTATTATTATTTTTTTATGCAATATTGATCTTTAATTGATTTCGTTTTTTTTTTTTAGTAACATATCATGATTCTCAAGCTTATGCTGAATATTTAATATGTTATCGGTGATTAGAAAGTAACAAAAAGAAAAAATACTAATTCTGATTATTATATATAATTTCTATTAGAAATAATAGATAAAACAATCAATCAGTCGATGGCTTTTTTTGTCTCTTTTGATGAGTTCTTGTTATTTTGCTTGTATAAATTTTTTTTTTCTGTTATTTCTTTTTTTTTTCATTTTGTTTACCATTTGATATTAAACAAGGAAATATGTGTATGAAAAGAGAAGATAAAGAATTTTTATTAAAGAAGTAAAGTAATTTTATGAAAATTTCAATGAAAAACTTTTGAAATATTTCGTAAGTGAATGGATTTTTTTTTACAATGTACTGTTTGACTTATTTTAATATAACTATTCGAATAAATCATCAATTAATCATCAATATTCATTTCTATTTACGTCAGATAGATTTTAAGACGATGAAAGCTTTTCTTTTCTATGATTGCTTGTCACAAGCACGTCAAGGTTTAATGATCACATATACGCACAAAAATAGACATAAAGAGTATGCATAAATGACAAGATTTACCATAAAAGATAAACACATGAAAGAAGATTAACAAGTCGATCAATCACAAAGTACATTTTGATTTTTAAATGGATAATTTAGAATCGGATGAAGCAAGAGTTTTACCAGAAAAAACTCGAAAGAAATCATCATTTAGTGGTAATACATTGAATCTGGCACGACCACTTCGTTTTCTAGTAAATCACCAACGATCATCAAAAGGAAATAGTAATGCTGCTTTTGTTCATCAAATGGATACTATGGATGAGTCGACATTTTCTATATCTCCACCAACCTATGGTAATTTAGAACATATACAATCTTTTAAACCTTTATGTAAACCGGATGATAAATCTCTTCCAAAAGAAGTCAGGTAATTCATATTAAGAATTCTATTTTGTTAATTATGTTTTTCTACTTAATATTCCAATAATTTGGTTTTCTTTTTGACAAAATGAATTATTTCTATATATTTAAAAACATATGGGATTCAATTATTAAAAGAAAAAAAATGATGTAAATATTTATTAGATAATAATCAATAAATATAAAAAATTGAAACATAATTATTCTGTCATTAACTGTTTCTTCAATATATATATTTTTTTTTGTTTGGAAGAAAAAGTAGAGAGAAATATTAGTGTAAAAACTGAGTTGATTAACTGTTTCATATTCAAATTATTAATTTAGAAAAAAAAAATATTAGAGAAATTCGATAATATTTAACACGAATGAGATGAAATCTAATTTTAATATTCTCAGTATGTTTGCATTGATTTTAGAGAATTTTATGAAGATCAATTAGAATTAATAACATCCATCGAAGATATTCTCGTACCGAAAAGTGATGAAGTGATAGATCATGAAACGGCTTATGAAAAACGACGTAAAAGAACTATTAAATTGTTAACCATGATCACCTTAGTCACCAACATTGTCTGTTTTTTTTTTGTTTTTGCGAATATCTCTGTTACTAATTATGATTTGATACTTCATTCAAGGTTCTTGTTATTATCAAAATAGTTGCTGCAGTAATATCAAAATCTCTTTCAGTCATTTCTTCAGTTGTTGACAGTGTTGTTGATCTTCTAACAAGTCTTATTCTCATTTGGACAGCTCGAAAAATTAAGAAACGAGATGCTTATAAATATCCTGGAGGTTATTTTTTTATTTTGAAATAAAATATAATTATAAATTAAGTTGTTGAATTTTTTATAGGACGAACACGTCTTGAACCAATTGCAATTGTTATTCTATCTGTAATAATGTGTTCAGCGAGTGTACAAGTTATTTTTGAAAGTGCCGGAACATTAGATCAAGACATTGAATATTTTACACATCAAAATAATGGTTCATCAACAAAAACATTACCTGAGATAAATATGAGCATAGTACCTATAGTGGCTATGGTTCTTACTATTGGTAAGTTTCATTTTCTCTTTTGTTTAAAAAAAAAAAAAACAAAATAATAATTTCTTTAATTCAAGTTTCGAAATCAATTCTCTTCGTTTTATGTTATCGAATTAAAAATCCAACAATGTATGCATTAGCAGAAGATAGTCGAAATGATGTAGCATCTAATATTGTAGCACTTGCTTGTGGACTCATCGGTATATGTTTATTTTTACATTATTTGTATTCAAAATTGATGAAATAAGATAAATTGCATGTTTTCATAAACTTACCAGGAAAAAAAATGATCAAGTCGTATGAAATATATATTGACTTCTTTTTTAGCTTCAAATGCTCTGCACGGCAGAATTAAGAAAGAAGCTATTGTAGTCGATCCGGCTGGTGGTATTCTTATTTCAGTGTATATTATTATCGCCTGGATCTTACAAGCAAACAGTAAATATCATTTATTTTCTTTTGATTACAATGAATTTTTCTTTTTTCATAGGACAAGTACGTCGTCTAACGGGTCTTACAGCTGAACCATCTTTTCTTCAAAGACTTACTCATGTTGTTTATAATTATCGTCCTGATATTGTCACAAAAATTGATTTTATTCAAGCTGTTCATCATGGAACGAACTTTTTCGTTGAAGTTGATATTGGCTTGCCAGCTTCGATGCCACTTGCCATGGCCCATGATATTGGTGACAAACTACAAAATCAACTAGAAGCAATTGATGATATTGAACGAGCTTTTGTTCATCTCGATTTTGAATTTTCACATAAGCCAACTAGTGAACATAAGGTTGTTTGATTTTTATTATTTTACTTGTACAATTTCATATAAAATGAATATTTTATTCTATTCATATGATTGTAAATAACCACAATAATAAAGTAATGTTTTTAATTGAGATCAAAATTTTTGTGAATACTATTGGTTCCCTCCAGGCTTATCAAACCTTGTGATTTGTCCAGAAGGATCTTGGTTTTTGAGTCTTTCTCCTGGTGAAAAAGTCTTCTGATACCAGAAAGTGTTTTCCAAGATTTTCTACTTTTCTTTTCTTCATCTCAACTCTTAACGATATGTTTAACCAATAAGAAAAGCGATCTAATATCACAACATGATATTAAATTCCATAAAAAATAGAAAAAACATCCGTTAATCAGATGCGACCACTTGTAGGTTTATCTCCTCAATAGTGAAAATGTACCTGATTCAAAAAAAAAATTAGTTCAGTTTGCTTTTTCCATACCGGCCTCAAATGCCTTTTATGAATCTATTTTTTAACCACATGAAATTTTTGTGGAATAATAGTTGAAATAAAATGAAAAAAAACCTTCTTTGCATTAAATTAAAAATTACGATGCACAGTTGTTTTTATTGTACAGAATTTTATGAATATCTCATACATCAACCAGATCTCTTGAAACAAATTCGATCATCAGAAAAATATTCTCATGTTGTAAAAGTGCCACATACAATACAGTAAATAACATATGGTTTGTATATTTTAATGAACAAATATGAAAAGATTAACAATATTAAAAAAAAAATATGATCGTATTTGTTTTTTTTTTATACCGTTTGTCATCAAATTCCACTACAATTGCTATATTAGAGAAAAGTAACAAGCGCTTCTGCGAACGAAAATGCCACTAAATGCTTTCTGCTTTTCAAAAAAACTCTCCTGATTTAAAGAAAAACTCCTGGTGAATTTTGTCGTTTTTTTTTGTGAAGGCCTCCTAGTTTCTAAAATATCAATTTGGTAACCCTAGTTTCCTTCGAGTTTATACAAAGTTTAATGAAATTAGTAATCATCTTTGGTAGAGTCTAGCCAACAAAATATTATGCCTGAAAAATTCCACTATGAAGTATGATTAATAATTAATGCTGAAGATAATCTGCCGCTATCTGATGAATAGAGTCGTGCATCAGAGTGTATGCAAACTGTGAAAGTCCGAAAATTCTATTTCATTTTTTTCTTAAATAGTACTCATTTTTGACAATTGCGATGTCCAGTAAACGACAACTATCAATCCAATAACCAAATGACACGAAAGAGAAAAGAAAGCAAAAAGAAAACATCTACACTAGATTAACTTTTACAAGTGATGACTGTGAAAAAAAGATCAGCACTATTGATTATCTCTACTTGAGTCATTAGATGTATTTTCATCATCTTCAGGCGATCTTAAATTACATAATATTGCTGGACACATAAGCTCTCACAAATTTACGAGAAAACAATTTTCGAAATCAAAGTTGGAAAAGTGTGACTCTGCAGGTCTCTAACGACACTTCAAAAAATTGATCGTACAGATTTAATTTCAAATTTTTTCGAATGGAATTAAAAAATTGTTTTCAACAATGATTGATGAGAAATAAAATCTTCACAGTATTCCAAAAATTCCATGATCTCTACAAAATCTAAAACTTAGCTTATCAGTGCACAGAATCCGAAAAACGGTTCTTTTGATTACACAAAGCTACAGTATAATTAATTCTCTACAAAATCAGATGTCTTCGAGCTTACCAAGACGGTTTTTGAATGAACTGCATCGTCATTAAGAAACATCCAAAGATAGTTTTTTCGGTATTTCCCAAGGAGAAACTGAACAAAAAGGACTTTTGGGCTTTTGTTATTTATGCAAATTATTCAAAAAAAAGTCATGAAGAGTTCAAAGACATCTAATTTTGTAGAGAATTAGCTGCTGTGCTGTCCTACATACTCAAAAAAAGCTTTTATGCTCGGGTTCTGGGTGCTGAAAAACTAACTTTTGGGTTTTCTAGAAATTCTGAGTTGTTGCCAATACTGTAAAGAGTTTATTGCTCTCAAATCTTCACTAGAAGTAGTCTTCTCTATCCAAGTCTCTATTTGAATTCTTTATGCAATCTACCATTAGGAAAAAAAATTGAAATTAAATCTCTGATCAATTTTTAGAGACCCTGTATATGCCAGTGAAAAAAAACTTTTTCAGAGTCCTTCGAAGTCGAAAAACCTTGGATCTGCAGGGCTCTAGTGATGAATAAGGATTCTATTAAATTACTCGTTGCCAAACTTGAAATTATACGATTTCTAACGATTATGAAAGTCAATAACAAAGGGCAATGGAAGAGAGTACACTTATCTCTATTGATAATAATCATCAAGGATATGATTTTATTATTTGTAATTTTACATTGAAATGACTTTTTCTTGAAAAATTCGTTCTATCTATGATTATCAATGAATAAATATAACAAAGATTAGTTCAATACTACATGAACTCTACCTATACTCTCATTTACTACAATTATTTAGTACATGAGTGTACTATAATTCACTTTGATCCGATAAGACGTTCATCCAATTCATTATCAATAAATTTTTTTTTTTTAATATATTGTTCTGTTGAATAATAAAAAAAACCAACAACAAATAAATCAACCAATCATTATATATAAATCAAAGTATTTTTTTTAATATTTACTCGTTTTTCTTTCTGTTGATGGGAAGGATTTTTTGTCAGTTATTTGATGTTACAGCAAAAAAAACAGAAACATGTATAACAGAAGAAGAAAAAAAGACAAAGAAAGAAAGAAATTGTATCATTCCAAGACGAAAAAAAAAAGAAAGAAGAAGATTTAGATTCTATACATACAAAAACGATTTTCTTTCCGTATGTCCAAATAGAGACAGAAGAAGAGAACGTACAAGAGAGAAAGAATAAGAAGGGATATGAATCAAGAAAAAAAATAAATAAATTAACTAAATCATGGAATTCGGTCGAGTAGTTACATGTGATGTTTGTTTACAATGTTCAGATGTTTGTCGAGGTACAACAACAATAGGACTTGATTTATTTGGAGATCGTGTTCGCATAAAAACTATAGAATTTGGTGATGATGAACGTTGAACAGGTAGATTTGATGTACTTTTAGTACCAATCGATGTTGAAGATATTGCAGGTGTAGCCACTGTTTTTTTTCCAATTGTTGTCGTTGTTGTTGTTGTCTGACTGTCATTTAATTTACTTCGAAATGTTTTACTAAAATTGATAAAGAGAAAATTTTTTTGATTTAAAAAAAACACAAAAGTTTTTTCTAAATTTAATTTACTTTGCTGCAAGTATTCCTTCATAAATAAGTAATTGATTTCTAAAACCACCATTTGGATTGATACATGATCGTCGTTTTTTAACATGTTCCAAAGCATCAGTAAATGAATGATTGCTTTCTTTCATAAGATATGCTAATACCTAATTTTAAAAAAAAGAAACAATTACAAAACTCATTTTCTTTGATATTTTACCGTCGATGCAGATCGACTAATACCCATCTTACAATGAACTAAACAGCATTGATTATTAGCTCTATAAGGAAGAAAAAAATATATATATATACAGGTTTTTTTTCTTTAAAGAATTTGATAATTTACTTTGCTTCATTTATAAATCGAAATGTTTTTTCCCATTCTTTTAATAAATCTGCATCATCATGATCATGTACACGAACATTTAAATACTTAAAATGGCCAGGAAAAAAATTATCTATTTCTCGTGAAACATTCAATACATAACCAATATTATTTGCTTTTAATTCTTCAAAATTTGATGCATTCCATTCAGAACCAAGATATAAATGCGGTAATATCATTGTTGGTTTATCCATTTGAGCAAGAATATGTAACATAACATCATCAATATACTGTTTATAAGGAGATAAAGACATTTGAAAGGCATTTTCTAATTGTTCACGTAACTTTTTAATTAAAAAAAAAAACATTTATTCAAATCTTTCGAATAACAACAAAAAACAAAGAAATTTAACTTACAAATTTCGATGTCACTTCATCAAGATCAACTTGTAACATAATTTCTTTTAATTTAACATGTATTCTAGCACGAAGTGTTTCTTCATCTGACGATAATCTACATTGAAAAAGAAAAAAGTCTTTTTGTACATTCAATTATTTTTTTTTTTTTTTTATTATATACGGTTGATATAAATGAGGTGAATCACTACGATGTGATAAAATATCATCCATTTGATTCCATTCATTAACATAGATTTGATTTGAACGCATATCGGGATTACGATAATATTCAATCCAACTGTGTGTTACACCATTATTAGCTATATAATTATAAAGACGAGCTTGATTTGATGCTTTGTGCAAACTCTGATAAGCAGTCCTAATAAAATAAAATTGCAATAATTATATATAAAAAAAAACCTAGAATAAATTTCAAATAATTACCACAGAGCTTGTACGCTCACCGGCTTGAAAATATGACATCGATCGTACGAAGTTAATTTAAAACCACTAAATTATATTATTAAAAAAAAACGAATTTTCTATAATATAATTTTTTTTCTTCTTTTAGACTATGTAATTTTATAGAATTTTTGCTGTTATCATATATAATACTTGAGTTCAATCCGGACAAATTCATATAATTACTTATATTGTTGCAGAAAAAAACTTTATCAAGCGATTTTCAGGTTTAGCTTTTTTTTTTCTTATCAAAATTCACAACATTTAAAATTCGTTAAAATCTAAAGAACTTTACCCATCACCGTCGAGTGTTATATCCAAATCGGCCCATATTGGTAATGTCATACCGATTGTAATCTCGTTTGTATCGACATCGAAACCAAGAATAGCCGATCTGTAAATAAATAAATAAATACTAATAATATTTTGTTTTTTCTTTTTACTCTTCTGTTTCTTGTCTTCCGACACATGTAACAATGACTAGGTAACGAAAACGATTTGGAAAACCACTTTCCAATTGAACCATCTATTAAATATACAATTAAAAAAAAACTAAAATAAAAAAGAATGGACAAACCAAGGTAAGACGATCGTCGGGTCGCAGCAGTTTATACATCGAGTCAAGATGTGCACGTAAATTTTCTTAAAAAAATAAAAAAACTTTCTATGATTAATAACAAAAAAGAATAAAATAAAATAAACATAACACACCTGCATTGCCCGTAACGATCCTTGCCAGATGATGGTCAATTATATTAGTAGCTGCGGCGGCGATCTTTGGTACACTCAAATTTTCATTATTAGGAGATGAAGCAATCTGTTTATTTGACAATGAACTAGACATAAAAACAAAACGTAATCAATACTAAAAACTAGAAACTCATTTCAATGAAAACTAGAACATAAACTTTTTCATTCCTTTTTTTTTCGTGCTTTTATTCATTTATACATCATGATTGACATTTCAAATGGTATTATGTTCATTCAATATGAATTTAAGAAAAGAAGAAAAAAAAATGAAAACGACCGTATTTCTTTGACTGTACTCCTAACATCTCACCTTGTCGCCATTGGAAGTGTAATGTTTGAAGAACAAAAAATTTTGAAGAAGAAGAAAAAGAACGAAATTCTTTAATACGTCACATTCGAAAATGTTTATAAATTTGAATACATGAAAAATTGGTAAATGATGATTATCTTGTTTCTCTATGTACTTATTTTATGATAAACAAGCAAGAAAACCTTGTATGAAGATTATAATTGATTAATTATACGAGTAATTATAAACAACGTAAGAAAAACCCAGCAAGAAAAAGAAAACGACAAATATGATAATAGATAACTATCTTTCTTTCTTTTCTTTTTTCTTTTTTATGTAATCATAAAAGATAAACAAGAAGATACCTTAATTGAGATTTGGAATGTGTTTCGTTATTAATCAATATTGTCAGTTTGAACAAAATTTATAAAAAATACATGAAAATAAAAGATGCAATAGGGACGGATGGATTAGTAAAATCTGAAATAAATATTTCGAAAAAAAAACTTGTTTTTTTATTGACAAATTGTGAACTTGAACTTTTGTTATGTTTATTATATATATATATATATGTATTATCGTCGAACAGGTCTCCAATCGTTTTGATACTGACAAGATGAGATGATGAAGAACGAATAAGAAAGTGGACAGATTAATACGATATGCTACCATAAAAGGAAGATGGACAGTGAGAATAGAAATCAAATGAATCGACAATGTCAGCTGATGTATTGACAGATGTCGTATGATGTTGGGAGTGCTAGAAAAAAAAAATCTACATTATCACATATAGGTATACAGCATGTTTTTGGATATCACAATTAAGACTAAATCTTCAGATCAAAAGAAACTTTTTTTTTTTGAAAAAAAAATTAGTTAAAAAAATATATTTGAATAAAGATTGTCTTTTTGAACGAAACTCTATGAAAAATAAGTTATCTTGACAATAAGAGAATGACTCGAAATAAGGAAATAAATCTCGCAAAAAAAAAGAAATAGATTGACATTAATCAGAAAAATAATTTCCTGTTGTTCTTGAAGTAGAATAACAGACAAGGATGTGGCGAAGAAACACTAAGAAGGATGAGCACCTTCTATCGCTATATGTCTGATGACAGAAAATTAAAATCTAATACATTAAAAGCTTTCTGAAATTTGTCACCACCGGAACTTTTGAAAAGTGTTTCAATATTGATTAGTATTCATCTATGAGAGATATTATATATTTTACTACGAAATGAAAAAAGTTTCAGAATATAAACTTCTTTATTAGTTTTGAAGTAATCAAAGACCGTTCTCTGTATTGTTTAGCTTTCTTTATTTGAATATTTATGAATCCAAAAAATGTTCAACAGAATGTAAAACGTTGCCTTTGTTTCATAAAGCCTTGTATTATGGTTTCAATCAAGATATATGTGAAATTGATGAACATTGCTCTATAATTCATGCAAATATATATTCATCAAGTTTTATTACGTCAAAACTTTTGAATTTTTGTTTAATAGTTTGATTTTGATTTATTTGATAATGATTTACATATTCTTTAATTGTTTTTTTCGTTTTAAAATATTGGATATAGAACTAAATGAAATATTCGAGTTTTCAGCTAATTCACATTGTGATAAACAACTATTATTGTTGTAATTATTAATTAATTGAACTTTTTTGTATTTAATGTAAGATGATGATATAATGTCATTACCTTTTCTGATATGCATACAGTTATAGTAAACAATGAACAGTGGGAAGTTGCGGGTCCACGTTTTCCTGGACTCGAAACCGATCTGAACTCGGTCAGATCCAAACCCGAGGTTGTTTCCATCAATACCTGACACCTTTCGTGTACATGAGCAAGTGAAGGATCAAAGCTTCTTAGCTATTTATTCGCTACTTTCAGAAAAAACCTCAACATACGGTTATATCTTGTTGGTGTATTTTCCATCTGGGAAGCAACGGGTCCACAAAAACGCGTAACCGGGTCCAACACAAAATAAAAGGTTGCACCCGAACCCAAAAGAAAACTTTGGACCTGAAGCTGGTCGAGTCTGGAAGGATTCGCAGCTCCCTAATGAACAGTAGTTTTAGTGCATTTGTCAGAAATTATGAAGAGCAGAAGAAAAAAGTACATCTATGTTCATTTTAAAAGACTTTAAAATACCAATCGAGACTTCAAAAACAATGCTCAAGTCCAGAATCGAAAGGTGTTTACCTATGAAAAATATTTACTAATAGAAGTTTCACTTTATAATCATCTATTATATATTTATTCTTCTTTAATCTATGATTCAATGAAAATATTTATTTTCTTTGGTTTTATAATAAAAAGAAAATATATCGATCAATTATTTCCTTTTGAACCATTGCAATCAACAGGATCGAGTAAAACTGTTTCAGAAGTATGTGTTGCTATTTTTGTATGCGTTTCACAAAGTCCGCTGTATCTATTAAATAGAAAAGAAAAAAAAATAGAAAAAAAATATGACTATATTTGTATACATACACAACACTATCTTCAATTGATTTCAAACGAAGTTGTGAAATAATAATATCATTACCTTTTTCACCACCCCATCCAAAAACTAAAATAATAAAATCATATTTTCTAATTAATATACATTCTAATAAATACATACGACTTTTTGCTTTATTAAAATGTACGATAGCATAATCAACTTTACCCAAATCAGTTTTATAACTGAATACACGACGAAATATATCACCTGGTTTTATATCGGCGTTTGATCTTTATATAATGACATAAATATTGAATTATATAATTTCATTTTTTTTTTGTTTTCTTTAAAACTTACTTCATAGTCATGCTGACATTAGCTAACATTTCATAATTTGAATGAATTGCAACAAAAATTTCACCACTTGTTGTAATCATATCTCGATCAAGTACAAGTTCAATAAAATAATGATTACCTATAGATTGAAACGAGAAAAAAATAATAAACCAATAAAATACAAAATTGGATATAAATTCTAACCACAAAAAGGTGAAGTATCCTTTGTTGATAAATACATATTACCACGACCAAGTGAAGAAATCGAATAAAAACCTTGTGTGAAAGAAAAACACAAAATCAACTATTCATCATATGAATGCAAAATATTATTTTAAATACCCATTTTAGCACAACCTGATGTTGGACATACAAGACATTGACCACTGACGAAGCTATTCTAAAATAAGAACATCATGAAAAGAAAAATAATTCTTTTTTCTTTTTACATAATCACGACATGGAAAAGCATTATATCGACAATTTGAACTAGAATATAAAAAAAACAATTGTTCTAATTAATTCATATAAATAGAAACTATACTTGATTGATTCAGTAAAATATCCATGAGAACGAGCTAGTTATAAATATAAAATGTTTTTATATTCAATATATTTATTTTTTAAAACTCACAATGTGAACATGATGTATGTTCAAAAATAGCTATAAACAAAAAAATCATATATCCTCTATTTATTTCAAATATTTTTACCTTCACTATGACCATTCATTGCATCACCAAAAACTGAAAACCTTTTGTAAAAAAAAATTAAATTAAATTGAAGAATAAAAAGAAGTTGTTTTCTTAAAACAAAATATTTATATTTACATTGAAGGACAACCTGGTTGATGTTCTCCACCATTAACATAAAAATCTACATGTCCTGATGATTCACTTGATCCTAAACCAATTCCCAAAGCAATTTTTGTATTTGTATGAATAACATCAACAAATTTTGCATCATTTTTATCAAGACGAACAACTACGTTTTTTCCTTCAAATAATGGACCAGCTGGATCAAGACCTGAAATACGAGCCATTTGATTATCAATTGTATCTGATGCTATACCACATGCATGTGCACCAAGACTGTGTCCTAATAAAAATAAAAAAACACAAATAACAATTAACGTTTTCTTGTTTTTAATATTAACGAACCAATACAATGAATTTTCTCATATGCAAATCCTTTCATATTATGTAATTTTTGTAAAAGTAAACCAATTTGTTTACCAACAAGACGTGTATTTGAAGCGGCATTTGTATATAATGGAAATTTAGCACCATGACCCCAATCAACAATAAGTACATCTGATAATTCATTCTATCATATTCATTAAGAATAAGTCTAAAATCTAAGAAAAAATAAAATAATTTCTTACATCTTTTAATTTTAATAATTCATCTTGAAGTGGTTTTATCCAAATACTATTTCGATTATTCGTAAAACCATGAACAATAATTCTTAACCATCGAGAAGAATTAAGACGTGAGTCTATAATTGATTGATCATTGGTATCATAAAAAAGAAATTCTGGTGTTTCAGGAGCTTCTTGTGTAAATAGAAGAAATTGTGTATCAATATGTTCAGGTGATTGAGGTACTTCTAAACCAGCATTATTATATGGTTCATTATTATCAAAACAACCAACAACTGGATAGCACACTGAAGTATTAGCTTGTTTTGATGTTACTGCTAATTTGTTAAGTCGATTCATTGTTGAAATTTCAGAAACGATAGGTACATTATTAATTGGCATAGCATCGATAGTAAGTGGTTCATTAGCCACAGATTCTGATGGAATAAGTCGAGCATCGATGAATTTAATCAAAAGAGTAATAAGTAAATAATGTAAACCTCAATTGAAAGAAAACACAAGAATCATATTATTTTTTATAGAAATAAGATATATTCGTTATATTTTTCTTTAATATTTTAAAATCTTCTGATGAAATAAACTGAATTTTAATTAATAGTTTCAATCAAAAATTGAGTTATAGTTTGAATTTTTTTTCAGAAAATTGTTTATTTTTAAATACAATTTCTTTTCTTATTTAGTGAAAAGGCTGTTCTACTCAGTGTTTTATCGAAATTTTCACTTCCGGAGAGCGAACCTAATCTTTGAATGATCACCACTCCTTCGGCTACCACCCTAAATAGAATATTGGTTCTAATTACATTTCTTTCATAATCAAAATATATTTTGAAGAAAATAAAATTTCTCAATTATTTTATAGACTTAAGAACATATTTTAGCATGCAGATTAAGACAGTAATGTTTACGTGAAATTTCACAATGAAATCTTCTGTAAGATTTATTAATCATTAATCAAGATGATTCTCGATAATGCTAATGTGTCAGACCACGTTAAACGTAGTCTTCAGGTAACTTGTAATCCAAAACAAATTCTAAAAAGTTTTTTTGATGAAGATATTTGTAAATGATGATTAAGTTTTTTTTTTAAATTGATCATTTAAAAAATAAGAAATAAAACCCAATAAAAATATGCGTGTCAATGTGTATGCCTTCATTTCTGTATTGGTGATACATTGGTCAAATATATTAGATGTTATACAGAGAAATGCTATAAAAAGCCTCTGTTAGTCTCATCCTTTTCATATGTCTCTAATAAATAGTTTCGTCTAATTTTAACAATAGTTTCTAGTTCTTAAAAGTTTTATTAAAATCATAACAGAATAGAATCCGATAATGATTTTCATTTCTCTAATCCGCTAACATTCATTTCGTAAATCTGTTTGACTTAGAATAACATATCTGCAATAATCATTATCTATAATTCACATACCGGTTTCAGAACGCATGATAATGACCGACGATTAACTGAAAACTGATGTGAGTAGTATCAGTCGTTAGGTTTATATTGTTTTCAATACTACAGCAAAACAAAAATACCACTTGGTTTCATTCCCATGCTATTGTATACAGGATAACCTATCTCGATCGAGCAAATTATCTTGTCTCTATTGCCACCTGACACGACGATATTTTACTCCATCATGATGATCTAAAGTGTTTTTCTTAGAACGAAAGCTCTTGTCCTACAATCAAAAGTGGTACGTCAATACTACAAGATATTTCAATTACTTTCCCGGAAAACTTTGTCTTGTGCCGTTCATGCTTACAATACGTATTTATTAAATATTCGTATTTTGAAGTACGATAAATATCGTTCATTTTATTCATAGATGAATAACAAAAAAAAACAAAATATTTATTATCAAGAAGAATTCTTGATTTTTGCAATATAATCTCATTTCTAACCATCAAATAGTGACATCTTTATTTTTTTATTAACCATTAACATATATGTTTGGTCTCCATTGATAAAGCAAATTTTCACACCAAGAAATGGCGAATTTACATTATTTAGTTTCATTCAGTTTTCTTTTTTGTCGGCGATATTTACTTTGTTACACATATATATATTCGACTGTAAAAGACAAATTATTCTTTACAATTCATAATGTCGTATATGAACAATCCTTCGAATGAAGATGCAAGTGGAAATATATGGAGTTCAGGATCCCATGGTGGTAAAACTCGAATGCATTTTTCTATTTAAATTAACAAAAAAAAAACAAACAATCATATGAATTTCTTCTAGGTTCACGTACAGGTTATTCTCATTCTAATAATGATGAAGATAGTCGTCCACGAGGAGCGTAAGTTGCATTATATAACATAAGTATAAAATTTTTGCTACTCATTCATAATACAAATAAAATTATTTTTCATTTCTCTTTGAAATAATACATTTCGATATAAATATGAAACGAAAATAAAAAAGCAGAACACAACATACATATCTTTTTTGGAACAAACAATCATATAAATTTCTATATTATTTCAAAGAATATATATATACAAGTAATGAAATATGATAAAAAAAAGTAACGTACGAAAATGATATAATGGGTAAACGTATATAGATTAACAAAAAAAAAAAAAAAGAACCTGAGGATATTTTTATGTATACATGATGATTGATTTGATGTTTTTTTCTTTTTGATTTCTATCTTACTACAGTGGATCATATCGCGGGTCATTTGGAAATAATAATTCAAGTAAGATTTATACACCCATTGGATCCACTTTATATTATTAATTTCGAATAAAAATAAAAAAAAAAAGAAGATATCATAGATTACGAAAAAAAAAAAATTGAACAGAATATTTGATTTCGAAAAATATATATATTTACTCTATTTATTATTAAACAAGAAAAAAAAATTCTCTCTTATTTTCCATTGGGATTTATTTTAGTTTCATTTTATTTCCATTTGAAAAACATGTTTTTGTAATTATCTTAGGACAAAGTGGTGGTTATGGATTTCGTCGACAAAATGATGATAGAGGTGAAGTTGAAATTCAAACTGATACAATATTTATTCAAAATTTACCAAAAAATATTACACGAGATGAAATTCTCGATATTTTTTCAACTGTTGGACCTCTTAAAGTAAAATATTATTTGTTTTAATTTTTTAAGTTATTTTTCTTTTATGTTTTCTCAGACGGATGATCGATCAGGTGGTCCAAAAATTTGGATTTATAAAGATCGTGATACAGGTGAACCAAATGGCCGAGCTACAGTTACCTATGAAGATGATGAAACAGCTAATAGGGCTATTGCAAAATATAATGGTAAACTTCATTTTAGTTGATTTCTTTTCTATTGTTCTTTTCGATTTATTATTTATTAGATCAACATATTGATTCAATAGGTACAAGTGTACGTGTGCAATTAGCACAACGTCGTAATCGTAATAATAACAATGATCGTGGTGGTCGAGGTGGTCTGTATTGTGTTTCATTTTTTTCTTATTTGTATTCTAATGAAGTTTTCTATTGAAACTAAAAGGTTATCGTGGTACACGAAGTAATTGGAATGATAATAGTGACTCTCGTCAAAATTATAGTTCCGGTGGTAATCGATGGGGTAGCTCGGGAAAAGGATTCTCCAATGATCGAAATGGTAATAGTAGTGGTGGTGGTTTTCGTGGTAAGTTATTAGAATGAGGAAAAGAAAAAATCTTCGTATAAAAAACAAAAATAATTTTTCAACAGGTATGAGTAGTGGCAGTGATTCATTTCCAGATGCAAATGATCGTGGTAAGTTTTAATTCAATAAATTACAATTTTCAATTTTTTGTTTTCTTTCAGGCAGTGCATACCGTGGTAATCGTAGTGGTCCATATCGCGGTGCTAGTCGCGGTAGTGGTGGTTCATCAAGCTATTCACCATATTAAACAAAAAATAAACGAAAAACATTCACATGATGACTTCAAAAATAAACTACATGTTCTCTTATTATTTCTATGCTCTCATACATATTTTACTATCATTTCATTGGCATAGAATCCTATTCATATTTGTTGTTGTTTTTTCATTTATTCATAACTAATACAGACAAAAATAAAAACCAGCCTAAACTTCATTTAAAAATGTCTATTTTATTGAAAAAAAAGATGTCATTTATTTGCTTGTGCTAAACGATAATAATATCCTTTGTGTGCCAATAATTCATCATGTTTACCAGATTCAACAATATGACCACGACGAACAACACATATACGATCAGAGTTTTGTATTGTTGATAAACGATGAGCAATAACAATAGTTGTACGACCTTTTGATGCTTCATCAAGTGCTTCTTGTACTATACGTTCATTTTCTGTATCAAGTGCACTCTAATATCAATTTAGATATCAATTAATAAATATATGATCATCTATTTAATACTTACTGTTGCTTCATCGAGTAATAAGACTTTTGGATTTCGAATAAGTGCTCGAGCAATAGCTAAAATTAAACACAAAAAAACAAAAATAAATTTATTTTTATTTTCCTCTAGAAAAGTTTCATCTGTTTCATACCAATTCGTTGTTTTTGACCGCCAGATAATTGTGTACCTCTTGCACCAACATTTGTTTCATATTGTTTTGGTAAAGTTGCAATAAAATGATGAATATTAGCATTTTTAGCTGCTTGTTCAATTTCTTCCATAGATACTATTCTTGATGTATCACCATAAGCAATATTTTCTCTAATTGTTGAATTAAATAAAACTGGTTCTTGACTAACAAAACCAATTTGACTTCTCCACCATTGAAGATTTAAACTTGATAATTCATTTTGATTAATTAACTAAAATATAATTTTTTCTTCTTTTAATTAATTTTTTTCAATGAACATTAAAAAATGTCTCAACCAGATACATGCATTTTATTCCTTCTATGAGCAAATTCATATTTTTTTTTTTTTGTAATCTTTGTAAAAATCTCGTAAGGAAAGAGTTAAATAATACTTTTATTTTTGTAAGAAGACATTGCTAAGATAAATCTCCTTGTTTGATGTTTTTATATTTTTAACTTACTATTTGCCCACCTGTTGGATCATAAAAATGTTCAAGTAATTGAATAATTGTACTTTTTCCACAACCAGATGAACCGACAAGAGCAATTTGTTTATCTAAATTTAAATGAAATTAAAATTTTTCGAAAAAGAAAAAGAAAGGATTGTTGTATACGAGGTCGAATTGTTAAATTAAAATTTTTTAAAACTTGTACTTCTCGTCGATTTGGATAATAAAATTCCAAATCTTTTAAATCAATTTCACCATCAAAATTTTTCTGTTAATAAATTACATAAGAACAACAAAAAAATCAAATATGTTTTACAATATCATTATTTTACCAATGTTACTCCAGCAGTTGAAGAATTATCAATGGTTGGTACACGTTCAAATAAAATCAAAATTTTTTTTGATGATGCCTAAATAATCAATACAAGTTTATTTTTATAATTAAAATTCAAACATACAATTGCTTTTGAATAATCCGGTGACATTGATGCAGTTTGACCAACCTTTATAAAACACAAAAATAAGTTTCATATATATTCATGTCTATGAATTGTCTTACAGCCATTGCACCGAAAAGTATACAATTAAGTACACTGTTTTTTAAATACAAACAAATTATTATTTAAATCTTTATAGAAAAGTTTCTCCAGACTTACAGCATAATATTTTCAAAACTAGAAAAATAAAAATCTGATTAAATGTATTTGAAAAATTAAGAATAATAACTTACGTCATTGCTCCTTGTTCAACTCTCCAAGCTCCAAAAGTAAATAAAGCTGCTTGTGCAAAAAACATAATCTTTAAATAATGAAATAAAAATTACGAAAATTTATTTAATAATATTAAATTTTACTGAATCACTAATACTAAATAAAATACCAAATACTTGTGCTCGTTTTAAACTATTTCTATAATAAACAAAAAATAAGAACATCTTTTTACAAACTTCTTTTTGACACATACCTATAAGGAAAATCAAGTAATTTACAATATTCATCACCAAAATATGGTTCTTTTGTTAATTGTGCAACTGTTCGTATATTTGATATAGCTTCAACAGCAATCTATTATATAAATAATTAATCTATGTCGCGAAAGGATTGACATAGAATATTTACTTAGTTTTCAACTACTGAAAAAGTACATGTTTAGAGCCAGAAGTAGTTAGTTAGAATTAAACTTTTTCGTTCTTTCCAAATATGTATTTAGAATTTCCTTCTAGGATGATAAAATTGAACATCATCAAATTGTTTCAGAGGATCCAAAAAGAAAGTGCCTGTGTATAGAATACTATTTCGATTGCAACCTATCAAATTTAAAATGTGAAACAATTTTTTTTTGGAACCTATGAAAAATTCTAATTCTAACTAACTGCATCTGGCGTTAACCATATGTCTTTTACGGACCAAAAAATGAACGAATATTTTCTTTTGCCAAGACTTTCACATCATAGATTATTTCAATTCTTAGTTATGGTTTTGTTTTTAATTACAAACCTTTCCAGCATCTTCTAAAGCTTTTTTATCCTATAATATAAATAATAGAAAAATTTTCATTCAAAAAAATCCTTTCAAAACAAACTTTATTTGCAAATCCAGTCATTAAATACATTTGTAAAAATCCAGCAATAATCATAAATGGTACAAAAGCTAACATAATTAATGTTAATGACCAACCATAAATAAATGCTAAAATAATTCCAACACCAAGATTTGATATATTTTGTAACATTGTTCCAATTCGAACACCAGTAGCCTAAGAAATAAGAAAAGAATTATTCTTTTTTTTTTTAAATTTCAAAAAAAAAAGAAAATCTTACTCCTTGAACATCTGAAGCTTCAGTTGCAAGACGTGTACATAAAGCACCTGTATTATTTTCTGGTCGATCAAAATAAGTAATTTCTTGTCGTAATAAAGTTTGAAAGATTTTAGCACGAAGACGTTGTGTTAATGTTTCACCCGATATTGCAAAAAGAAAACTCTAAAGAAGAATTTAATTAAAAATAAATTTAATTAATATTTACTTGTAAAAACATTGTAAATAATGTAATCAAACCAATACCAATAAAAAATAAAACATAAATTAATACACGTTTTTCTTGTATGTGTGGATCACATTCTTCAAATACCTTTAAAAGTAATTTTTATTTTTGTAAACAAAAGAAAAATTTAACTTACTGCAATCACTTTACTTAAAATAATACCAAATATTGGTTGAACACCTAAGATAAAATAAAAATATCGAAATAAACAGAACAAAAACAAAAACAAAAAAAAAGTATCATTCTAACCTCCATTACAAATACAAGCAAGACAAGCCAATATAATGTAAAACCATTCAGGACTATTCATTCGAAGTACTGCGAAAAATGGTGAACGTCCAGAATACTAATAATAGATTAGAAAAAACAAAGATAAATATAAAGTACATGAATATAACTAAGGTTATTATAGTTGCAAACACAAAGAGTCAGACTTTAAAAGCAAGAATTAATGGCAGATATCAACAATGTTATTGTGAAAAATAAGCATAGAGTATAAAAATAAATATATTTATTTGAATAATTACATGATCAGAAGAATAATCTTCTTATTTAAGAAGTGCAACTGTCTTAAACAAAAAGAAAGTTATACTAATAATAATCAAAGATGTTAACATATATATACATATGGAAAAACTTATTTTTGAATTAATTTTAAAACTATATTGCATGTTGAAAAAAAGTTTTTTTAGAGAAAGTAATTATATTATGATTTCGCTTAAAATTTTATTTATTGCTACATATATTAAATATTGTTTATGTTCTTCTTTTGAAGCAAAAACACAAAATTGATAATTCAATATTGAGTTTTATAGATTCTTATGAGTTTGATACATGATTATTTTTTTTGCAAGAAACATTCTTGGATTTGTAATGAAGTTAAATAACTGATACATGCTAAATTTTTTTTTATTTCAAATATATATCTTATTTGTTTATGATTTTTATATAATATTAGGTTATTGTAGATAAAACTTTTAATTTTTAACAAGAATTTACCTCTTGAGATTCGTCTATTTGATCACCTTTTTGATTTATTTGATCTTCTTCAATCGATTTATTATGACAGGATTTATTGTGATCACTTATTAATACAGATCGATTTAATTCATTATCGACTAAAATCAATTAAATATTATCAGATATTTTCTGGATATAGCTAATGAGAAAAATTCTCTAACTGCTTAATTGTTTTTTTTCCGTCTAGACTATTAGCTTATTGCTGCCGAGATATTGTATTTGTACAGTATTTTTTAAGTTGATGCCTTGGGCTCCTTCAGGAAAACTGATTTTCGTATTTCCATTCGAAACACTATGCACAGCGATAGACCTTAACGAGAATAAATTATTGTGAAAGTTTCTGATCTTTTGGTTAAAAAAAAGGTGTGAAACTTTCACGATGAACTGTTCTCGTTAAGTCTTGTTGCTGTGCAAAGTTTCGAGTCAAAATACGAAAATCAGTTTTTCTGAAGGAGGTTAAGGTATCAACTTAAAAAATATTGTACAAATACAATATCTCGGCAGCAATAAGCTAATAGTTCAAATTCTTTTCAGCATATTCAAATCTCATTAGAGTCTACATGATGCATATATATAGTTCCGACTCAAAAACAATCAATCAGTTAGAAAATATTCCTCATAAGTTCAATTCAGCTTTTCATATGAGAAAGAAGTAAAATAAAACATTTTTTCATACTAGATATTTCATCATCTTCATCATTTTCAAGTTCCTTTTGATCATTATTCTTCATACGTAAATTTTGTGCTTCAACAAGACCATAATAAACACTTCGTGCATTCATTAATGTTTTATGATTTCCTTAAATAACTATTTATTTTAATAGTTTCTTTCATTTTTTATTACATTTACCTTCTTCAATTACTGATCCTTTATCAAGAACAATTATTTTTGATGCATTTACTATAGTTGATAAACGATGTGCAATAACAATTGTTGTACGTCCTTTCGATGCACGATCAAGAGCTTCTTGTACAATACTTTCACTTTCTCTATCAAGAGCACTCTATAACAAAACATTACAATATTAAATCTTATAATCAATCAAATTGATTTATTTAATTTCTTCTTACTGTTGCTTCATCAAGTAAAAGAATACGAGGATTACGAACAAGTGCACGAGCAATAGCTATTCAAAAATTATTCAATAAGAAAAACAAATAACTTATCTTTTTATTTAACAATCATTATACCTATTCGTTGTTTTTGTCCCTAGAAAAATTAATTCATCAATAAATTAGGAAAACATAAAGAAAAGAATATTTCATACTCCACTTAATTGTGCACCACGTTCACCAACAAGTGTATCATATTTATCTGGTAATTCTTTTATAAAATCATGTGCATTAGCCATTTTAGCTGCTGTTACAATTTCATCTTGTGTTGCATTGGTTTTTCCAAAAAGTATATTTTCTTTAATTGTTGTTTGAAATAAAATTGGTTCTTGTGATACAACACCAATATGTTCTCGAAGCCAACTAAGATTATATTGATTAACTTGAATATCATCAATTTCAACAGAACCATCAATTGGATCATAAAATCTTTGCAATAATTGTATACATGTACTCTAAAATAAATGATTTATTTTTGTGAGAAGTTGATATTAAATTGAGATGTTTACTTTTCCACAACCAGAAGAACCAACAAGTGCTGTTGTTTGACCACGTTGAGCTGTAAATGAAAGTCCATTAAGAACAGGAACATCAATTCGAGATGGATAAGCAAAATGAACATTAGTAAATTTTATATCACCAATTAAATCCTCCTTTTGAATACCATTCTTACCATCAATTGAGATTTTTGATGGCTAGAGTAAATAAAATTCATATGATAAATGTATGCGAGTTTTCTTTTTTTCATAGAAAAGAGCAATAAATCTGTAATTATTGAGGAAAACTGATTGTGTATTGCTCTTTAAATTAGACTGAAGATTATCTGTTTTCTTTTGTATTTTGCGATTTTTTTGGGTTTATAAGAATTCTTTCAAATTAGATCTATGGTAATCTCTCTATTACCAAACCATATATAATATTCACATGTATGAAAATATCTAAATGTCACATTTCTTCCGATTTCGTTTTATTTTCATGTTTGATATGAAATATTTTTCTTGTTGCACGAGTTCAAAAATGAGTGCTTTCTTATTGACTACAGAAATTCTTGTTACCGTATCAATTATATTCCATAATGTATAAGCTGCACCTCGAGCTTGTGCAACTGATTGAAGATGAGGAGCTGCTTGACCGAGACCAAACATTGCTGTAACAAGTGAGAAAAATACCTAAATATAAATCAAACAGGTAAAAGTATCGAACTATTCAATGATAGACAATATTACAATAAGAATTCCACCAATGGAAAAATTCTCTTCCCGAACAAGTTTAGCTCCATACCAAAAACCCTAAGAATAAAAGAAAATATTTTAATATATTAAATAAAAATCAATTATACCAAAGCATAAACACAAAAGATCAAAAGCCACACAATACCCATTAAAATTCCATTTAATCCTCCTTTACGAATACCACTTATTTTTGCTGATCTTAAATGTTTTTCATATCTATTAAAATGAAACAAAAGACAAAAAAATATTTAATTAATCAATTATGATTTGTTACCTTTTCGATTCATAAGCTGCACCATTATATGAAAAAACAGTTCGTATACTACTTAAAACTTCTTCAGCAACAGCTCCAGCTTTTGCATATGATTTCAATTCTTGTGATGTCATTGTTGCTGTTATCTACTAGGGCATATATAAATAAAATAAATACTGTTAATTACTTGGTTTTTTTCTTTTATTACGTACTCTTGTACAAATAGCTGCACTAACAACAAGTATTGGACTGATAGAAAGTATCACTAATGTTAATTTCCATCCTTTAATAAATCTAAATAATATCTATAAAATAAAATCTATATATCTCACAAATTAATTCGACATACCCAAGTATAAGACCAGCAATAAACGAAGCAATAAATTGTAATGCTGAACCAATTTTATCACCTGTACCATCATGTACTTTATTAACATCTTCAGTCAATCTTGTACTAAGTTGACCAGTTTGATTTGTATCAAAATAAGCTATTTCTTTACTAAGTATTGATCGAAAAAGTGTTTCACGAAGACGACGTGTTTGACGTTCACATGCAATAGACCAAAAAGCAACTTGAAAATAACCTACTACAATTGTTGCACATCCCATAACTAAAATTAAGAAAATATAAAAAAAAAGATATATAAATACATAACATTACGATACTGACTAACAAGCCACATAGATTGTTTACCAATATTTGGCATAAAATTATCGTTTATTAGTGTAAAATTTCCTTGTGAAAAGTTACATTTTCTATATATAAAAATCATATTGTCATATAGATTAAAATAAAAATATAACCATACTTATATTCATTACGAAAGTTTTTATTAGTAAGTTGAATATTGTCTGGACAAAAAGAATTAAGTAGCGTAAAATTTACTTGACATAAATCAAAAGATCGATCAGTAAAAATATCTACTAAATTGCCAAAGACAAGTAACACTAAAAATAATTATAAAATAGTATCTTGAAAACGACTGAAATGAACTTTAGTGTCAAGCAGAGATAGAACCAGTCTGAATTTTAGACGAACAATACTGATACTGGTTCGACTGGTTGGTAACCACCACTGGCGCTATCTCTGCTTTTCTTCTTTTTTTTCGATTAGAAAAAGAAAATGATCAATCAAAATTATTTTAAAAAATTTTCTACCTGGTTATATGTTTGAAAGTATTTTTTCATTATGTTTTTTTTCATAAGAACTTACTTAGAGGAAATGCAGCACCATGTGCCAAAGCTAAATAAAATATATGTTAAAGATAAATCAAGAAAATAAAAGAAAAATATGATAGTAATATTTACCAGCAAATGTACCAATTATTATACAAATTATATCGATTTTATTAGCAAAACGAAACTAGAAAAAGTATAATTTATTAATATTAAAATCTAAGAATATACAGGGTGTTACAAAAGTCTATCAAGAAGAAAAACAGGAACATGAATAACTCTTGAACAATTCAAGTTATAAACGTGAGCTTCCTATCATAATTTTATTTACGATCACTTTTCAAAATGAAACATGCAAGTTCACTGTTTTCAAATTTTTGAGAAATGAAAGATTCGATAGAATTTTCATCAAAACAATTGCATTTTTCTCATCGATTCTTCCTGTTAATTCAACCTGATCTTTAACAGGTAAACATCCTATAGACATTGCCTTTTATGTGCTACCATATAAAGAATTCAGACAGATGCTAAGTCCAATGAGTGTAAAGTTCATTGAGAAAAAACATCTCTTTGTATGTAAATTACTTGAACTGTTCAAGAGTTATGCATATTTTGTTTTCATTTTGACGGGTTTTTGGAACATTCGGTATATATATAATTAATATATTATCATACCAGACTCGAAAAGCTAACAAGTTCTGCCGAACTTTTTTTTTCTTTTTTGATTTTATTATCTTCTTTTTTAAAAATTTCTTTCATTTTAAAACTAAAATTACATATATAAAAAGGCAAAATATAATATGAAAGAATACTTTTTGTAAACATACTTTGAAGGTGATGCTTTAGTAGGTTCTTCATTGATGAGACTTGTTCGTACTTTACTAGGTATATTACCATCATCACTAAAATGTATTTGACAACGACTAATATCATAAGAATTTCTTCGACCCATTGTTATAATTAAACTAAAATATACAATCGAATTGATACTTTCCAACTGTTAGGATATATTCTTTTAATGTTTTTTTTTAGAACATCATTAAAAAATAATTTCAATAGATCCAATCAATTTCAAAAGATTTAACCTCTTCTATAAGAAATATTTAATATCTATACCAACTAAATAAATTTCAATAACGATAAAATAACAATAAATTATAAAGAATTACATCTTCTGTGAGTCACGCATTCTACTATATAGTGAAGATAAATAAGCCATCTGATGAATGGACAAACACAGATAGAGAAAAACACATGTTAAATATGAATTAAACTTTAATTGAAATTATGAAGAATGTAGCGGCTCCATTTATAAAAGGATTAACGAATTCTAAACAAAACGACTTGGTTCAAATTATTATTCTATTTCTAATTATTTGTTTGTTAGTTAATTCAATGTAATAAAAGAAAAACAACCTATAGATAGACGAGAAAAGAAAATATGTGAAGAATCATAGAAATATTCGAATGCATACTGATTCGAAAAGCAGTAATACGACGTTTAGTTATAACAACATCGAATATATGTGGATGCAGCTATATTCTCTCTATTTTGATTCTATCGTTAGTAGCACTTATTCTTTCGTCTCTATTTAACAGAATGAATCTGTTTCTCGAATTACAACTGTTATATGAATCTGTTTTTTCTTTATTCTTAATATAGACTTGGATACAAGAAAATAGAAACAATGTCCTTTGCATGATTCAGATTCTTTTCTTCTTGTTTTCCTCAGTTATTTCCCTCGAGTGAATTTATTGATACTGTGCAGTCATGCATGAATCATCGAATAATATATACAAGTCGTATCGAAGTTATAACTTCGTCGATCGGTATAGCTTCGATACGACACTTTTTAGCGCTCAAGTTAAATCAGACCCTAAAGCATAAATTTACTTTAAATTGAAAATAAATTGTATAGAATAGTTAACTATTTTTTTTGGCCGAATTTCTAATATTGTTTTATTGTTGATTTTTATATTTCAATCAAATATAGCTTTTTTTTTATAAGATCCTACGACAATACTTCACCTTTCTTGACATGCTTCAAATATACACAAAAATAAACTCATAATTCATCATGTTCTCTCTTATATTTAGATTATTATCCGTGAAACGAACCGACGACAGGGACATTTCAATATTCTTTGAAATAGCATGTAGGCTTTGCGTTTATGGTTACAATAGTGCAGTGTAATTCGATTTATCAATACTTTTTATCTTGTATTAAGGATGAAATGAAAATATTATCATTATAACTGAATATAGACTTTTCATGTGTCTATATTTTCGTACTGAATTTCATCATCAAAGTAAATCTTCGTCATAGTTGAGAAACTTCCAGATTCAATGTCTCGATAGCCAAAGCCCATCACAAAACCGAACATGTCGACCCATAGTTTTATTAGGAATATCCATAACAATAGTGTGGGTAATATAAACGGAAAAATAATTTCATCGAGCCTAAACTATTCTTGTTATCAATTCAATAAAATAAAAATTATCTATACATAGGATGGTAACCTTGCTGTTTTTTTTTTCGGCATACTTTTCGTCTATTGATTCTTGTTTTTTGTTTTCTTTTTTTATTTTGTCCATTTTATTAGCCGAATCATGTACAATCCAAAAGAATTATCGCTTTGATTTTTATATAGAATCCAGGATAAATTCAATTTGTCTAAATAATAATATATTTATGATATACTGTGGTTTAGTTGAAAGTCTGTCCACATTCTTTTCTTAGTTTTCAATTTCTCGTCTGATACATACATCCAAAAGAATAAAATATATATCTTATTGTAAATAATATTTTTAATCCAGCAGATTATGGTCGTATAAGTATTTCATTTTGCCTCATCATTCTCTATTCGTGTATGATCGAAAAATTGCATTGTGTTAGAGTTGAATAGTGTCATGTGTGCAAAATAAAACATAAGAATGTTGTTAATGTATGAGATTCGAGCTGAATTTTTCATCCATCTCTATTCTTTTCTATCAGATAGTCCATCACAATATTTAACCTATACAAAGAAAGAAATACGATAAATGAACAATTGCTTTTCTCATTGTTTTTATGCGTGCTTTATGTACATTTTATTGTCTTCTTCTTGTCTTTTGTTCATAAAATCCTATTCATATTTAATTTTGTTTTTCATTTATTCACAAGTGTTACGAACAAAACTAAGAGCAAAATAAAATTTTTTAATATGGAAATGTCTTTTTTTTTTAATAGATAAAATGTCATTTCTTTGCTTGTGCTAAACGATAATAATATCCTTTGCGTGCCAATAATTCATCATGTTTACCAGATTCAACAATATGACCACGACGAACAACACATATACGATCAGAGTTTTGTATTGTTGATAAACGATGAGCAATAACAATAGTTGTACGACCTTTTGATGCTTCATCAAGTGCTTCTTGTACTATACGTTCATTTTCTGTATCAAGTGCACTCTAAAATCAATTTAGATATCAATTAATAAATATATGATCATCTATTTAATACTTACTGTTGCTTCATCGAGTAATAAGACTTTTGGATTCCGAATAAGTGCTCGAGCAATAGCTAAAATTAAACACAAAAAACAAAAATAAATTTATTTTTATTTTCTTCTAGAAAAGTTTCATCTATTTCATACCAATTCGTTGTTTTTGACCACCAGATAATTGTGTACCTCTTGCACCAACATTTGTTTCATATTGTTTTGGTAAAGTTGTAATAAAATGATGAATATTAGCATTTTTAGCTGCTTGTTCAATTTCTTCCATAGATACTATTCTTGTTGTATCACCATAAGCAATATTTTCTCTAATTGTTGAATTAAATAAAACTGGTTCTTGACTAACAAAACCAATTTGACTTCTCCACCATTGAAGATTTAAACTTGATAATTCATTTTGATTAATTAACTAAAATATAATTTTTTCTTCTTTTAATTAATTTTTTTCAATGAACATTAAAAAATGTCTCAACCAGATATATGCATTTTATTCCTTCTATGAGCAAATTCATATTTTTCTTTTTTGTAATCTTTGTAAAAATCTCGTAAGGAAAGAGTTAAGAGGTATGTTCAGATTTTCAAAAAAGGAAATTACCCAAATTTCTGAAATTTCCATCAGATCGATAACTATATAGCAGTGCAAATCAAAAGTTCTTAGACATATCGGAAATTTCAGAAATTTTAGCAATTTCTGTAATTTCAGAAATTTCTGTAAGTACATAATTGCGAAAATTTCAGAAATTTCGGAAATTACATCATTTTTAGGAAGTAACGTGCAATTCAGAACACAAATGCTTGAGAGCTCCGAAACTTCCGAAATTTCCTTTTTCGGAAGTCTGAACACTGCTGAGAGTTAAATAATACTTTTATTTTTGTAAGAAGACATTGCTAAAATAAATCTCCTTGTTTGATGTTTTTATATTTTTAACTTACTATTTGTCCACCTGTTGGATCATAAAAATGTTCAAGTAATTGAATAATTGTACTTTTTCCACAACCAGATGAACCAACTAGAGCAATTTGTTTATCTAAATTTAAATGAAATTTAAATTTTTGCGAAAAAGAACAAGAAAGGATTGTTGTATACGAGGTTGAATTGTTAAATTAAAATTTTTTAAAACTTGTACTTCTCGTCGATTTGGATAATAAAATTCCAAGTCTTTTAAATCAATTTCACCATCAAAATTTTCCTTTTTATAGAACAAATTAAAATAAATGGTTTGTTTGTAGAAAACTTTCTTTTATTACCAATATTTTTCCAGTATTTGAACAATTATCAATTTTAGGCACACGTTGAAATAAAATCAAAATGTTTTTCGATGAACTCTAGATTATTAAAACCGCTCATCTTCCTCATCTCGTTACAAAAAAAACCAACAATTCTAACATACAATTGCTTTTGAATAATCCGGTGCCATTGATGATGTTTGACCAACCTTTATCAAACGAAAAAAGTAAAATTCAAATATATTCATTTCTATGAAATTGACTTACAGCCATTGCACCAAAAAGTATACAATTAAGTATACTAAATTACATACAAGCAATTTAATTTTTATTCAAAAAATATTTTATACACTTACAGCATAACATTTTCAAAACTAGGGAAATAAGAATTTTATTTAATTTGTTTGAAAAAAATAAGAATAATAACTTACGTCATTGCTCCTTGTTCAACTCTCCAAGCTCCAAAAGAAAATAGAGCTGCCATTGCAAAGAACATTATCTTAATAGAATATGATTTATTTTAAAATAATCAAATAAAAAATAAAACTCTACCGCATCAGTAAAACCAAATAATAAACCAAATATATGTGCTCGTCTAATACTATTTCTAAAAACACGAAAAAAAAAACAAATTAATATTTAAAAGTAAACAAATTTTTCTTTGTATTTACTTAAAGCAAACATCAAGTATTTTACAATACTCATCACCAAAATGTTTTTCTTTTGTTAATTGTGCTACTGTTCGAATATTTGATATACTTTCAACCGTAATCTATTTAATTTAATGACAATAAACATTTTTCTTTTCTGTAATCATCTTCATAACAAACCTTTCCAGCATTTTCTAAAACTTTTTTATCCTATAACATAAACGGTAGAAAATTTTCATTTCAAATTCTTTTAAACATACTTTAGTTGTAAATCCAGTCAATAGATACATTTGTAAAAATCCAGCAATAATCATAAATGGTACAAAAGCTAACATAATTAATGTTAATGACCAACCATAAATAAATGCTAAAATAATTCCAACACCAAGATTTGATATATTTTGTAACATTGTTCCAATTCGAATACCAGTAGCCTAAAAAATAACAAAAAGAATTATTCTTTTTTTTTAAATTTCGAAAAAAGAAAATCTTACTCCTTGAACATCTGAAGCTTCAGTTGCAAGACGTGTACATAAAGCACCTGTATTATTTTCTGGTCGATCAAAATAAG